ACTTTCGAATTGTGGTATAGCAAAAAGGTCATTGTAACACATAAACACCATGTCTTTTTTACCAAATTCTTCATCTAGTTTTAAGAAGGTCCTAAAACACAACAACTTTAGGTTACTATTTTCTTTTTCAAATACGGACCCACCAATATATTCGAGCACTTAAACCCATTGGACTTACCGACCTTTACACATATCCATCGAATAAAAACTAAATTTCTTCACTCGTCAAACAAAAACAATAAACGAGAGGTTTAGTCACACACACCGACATTGGGATCTACCCTCGACTAAAAAAATACCGCACAAAAAGCAACAAAACATAGACAACACATTTCACATTGTTGGTAAATAAACAATCAAACATTAAACGAGTTGGGTCCCAAAATAATAATCTATGCTTTACTTGATAAAGATGTCTTCTTCCATGTTAGGGACAACTACTCAATCAAAACCTATCATATAAACACAATAAATTGACAATGGATGACGGACATGCATATAACATTTTTGGCAAAAAATTAAAAGATTTGTCCACTTTAGTTTTTTCCATTTTATTATGATTCGAATAAAGATAAATTAAAAAGAAATTGACACTCGGTAAGAGAAGACACATGTAATTCATTATTTATCGTGTTTAAATCAAATTAGTGGAAGAACGGTGGTTTTGGGGTTTCATTTTGAGGGTTTTTGGGTCACTATCATTTTGCCTAATAAAATTGTCCTCTTTCACATTAGGGACTACAACTCAATCAAAACCCATAAAAAATACGAGAAAAAATTGATGATGATGGTTGACTTTACAATTGCCCATTTTATTACAATTCAAACAGAGACAAAAGCATAATCAATTGACAAGGTTAAAGGAAGACGATGAAAACTCATTATTTATTGTGATTTAAGCTCAATTTCTAGATGATGGTTTTTAGGGTTTCAAATTAGGTGTTTTTGGATTTAGGAGTTTTCTAATTTAGAGTTTTTTAGGCTTTCAAATAATGATTAGATAGCAATAACATATGAAATTTACATGATTTTTGGTCGATTTCAATGGTGAGAAAATAATCTCACCAATAGATAAAAATCTAACTAAGATGAAAGGATTTTGGTTTAATCGCGATTGAGAGGAGAGAGAAAATTATCTTCTAATTTTATATCGTGTGGTAATTTTTTTCATCCAAAATGAATTTATTTAGGAATCTTGTGATTCTTTTTATTAAATGCAAGATGTATAAAAAACACCGACTTGTCACACCACATGATATTTTTTTTTACCATCTATTGCTTTCGAATGGAAAAATGGTCGAATTTTAGTGAGAAAGACCACATTAAGAAAAATAAAAGAGTACAAAGAGGGGTTGAACAAAAAAAAAAAATAAGTGGTCACATTGAGAAAATTAGTACGAGTAAAGGGACGTCCGATGAGATTAACCTAACAATTAAAAGTTGATATTTCTAAAATCATTTCAAAGTTTGAACAAAAAAGGTCAAACTCTTTGCACTATCATTTTTATTTGATTAAAATAATGCATACACGGCGAGATATATAATGTATATGGATAGATGTACTCAATTAGAAACCTTTGAACCTCCGAGAATCTAATTGACAAAATATTATTTAGTTCGAGAAGTAAATTGAGTTATTACGGTATCATTAAAAAAAAACTAAAACATGTGGGGGTTTTGAATAAAGGAAATCATTGTTCATCTCCTTGCAATTCACTTACTTGTAGATTAAATTTTTTTTTTTTTGTAATTTTTAAAGGGTTTCATTCGATCCCTAAAATTTTAAAATAAAAATTTTAGTCATCTAACTAATGCACTACACATGGCTTTTCTTTTTTTTATTTATTTTTCCCTTTGTTTTTTTTTTCATCAATTTATGTTTTTTTTATTTAATTGAGTGTTAAAATTTTAAAAAATCAATCGTTATTTTTTTCACACAAACTGAAAATTATATAATATATACGATTTGTTTTTAGATTTTAGAATAAATATATACTTGCTCTTTTTGTTTAAAATTGATCTTTTTGATTTATTATAAAAATTTCTTCAAGTTAATTTTTATTCTTATTTTTTATATAATTTTATTTATTAATAAATATGATTTATTTTCTCTATGTATGGATCCGAATAGGTTGTTTTTTTAATACTTGTTTTTATTTGCTTGATTCTTATATAATCAAATTTTAAAAGTAGAATATAGGTATTTTATTTTCTTATTCTTTATATAATCAAATTTTATCGAAATCAATTTTATAGTTTTTATTGCACTCTATTAGCTTTAATATATATATTAAAATTTATTTTTTAAAATATTTTTCAATTTGTGCTATACATTCTCACCCATTGAGTACGGTCATGATGATAAAAAATAATAATATTAGAGTCATTGATTTTATTAGAAACTAACTATGCATATGCACACACAATATCAACTATTTGCTATTATTTTTTTAATATTTTAAACTTAATTTTCAAATAAAATAATTGGAATAATATTTTAAAATAATCGTCAAATAATTCGAATACAATTTTATGTACTATATATTATTCACTATTTTGTTAATAAATATATATAAATCAAATATGCATATTTTTTAAAAAATCTTCTCAACATTAAAAAGGCTTCATTTGTTAATTTGCATACATGTTTTTATATTAATTGTTACTTTATTTCTTCGATGTAATATTATGAAAAAAATTAAGATGTTTTTTTTTAAAATTTTATATTAAAATTTATTTATTATGGGCTTTTATTTAAAAATGAATGCATAAGAAAGAACATATCATATTTTTTTTGGCTTCAAAATTTATCCAAAACATAATATATATATATATATACAAAATTTTGATTAAAAATTATAAAATTAGAAGAAATTTTATCTTTTATATTTAATTTAATATATTTTAATTAACGGATAATATAGTATATGTTATCAAACTGAAATAAATATGTTTAGTTCGATCCGTAGCATGGTATGTGAATTCGAATTGTTCATATACTTAAAATTTTTATCCACTTACCGATAATACACATAAAATTACTATTTACTTGATGACAATTTAAGTATTTTTTTTGTGTGTTTTTGGGCATTAATATGTAAATTTAACATTTTTTTTATATTTTCGTCCCTCATGTTGTAACATTGTTTTCTAATCCTTAGCTTTCATTTTTCATTCATTTTCACGTAGTATGTATTAATACACACACACATGCACACACTAACTTTTTATATTTAAAAATTAATATATATTTCTACTTATATTACTCTTATTATTTAAATTTATTTTTTTCTGAAAATTCTCATCCAATTAATATTTTTTATATAAAATTTTATTTACTGATAAATATAATTTATTTTTTCTATATTTGAATTTTAGAATAAAATTTTAAAACATGATTGTTTTTTCTTTTTTAAAAAATAAATTGGTATAATATATATCATTAATTCTTAGAATTTTTAAATGATTTTTACATATATATATATATATATATATATATATATATATATATATATATATATATTCTAAAAGGTTAAAAGCGTATTTCAAATAATTTGTCTCAATTCACTAGAGACGTATAAAAAAAAATTATCGAATCATTGTTTTTATTAAAAATTAACTATATATCTTACCACACAATATAAATTATTTACTCGTGAATATTTTTTTAACATTATAGAACGAATTTATTTGAAATAAAATAATTAAACAATTTTTAAAAAGAACAACTAATTATTAAAATATAGTTTTTTATGCTAATTTTATCTATTTTTTAAAATAAATACATACAAAGCAAATGCATATACTTTTTTAAAAATAATCTTCTCACCAATATTAAATAAGAATAAAATTTTATTTTTTTCATTAGTTAATTTTTATGCAAGTATATACATTGATTGTAATTTTATTTTTTGGATTCATTCTTATAAAAAAGATACATTTAAATTGTTATTTTTTTGAATTATTAATTATTTTTTAAGTTTAAATTATTATAAATTTTTATTTAAGAATCCACAAAAAAAGAAGAATAAATCATTTTTTTAATGAGAAATCTTATGAAAAACACAGAAAAAAATAGTAACAATTAAATAAAAAAATTAATAAAAATTATAAGATTTTGAAATAATTTTGTTTTATTCACCAAGTAGTGTTGTGCGAATAATTTCAAAATTTAATCTTCTCATCAACCTTAAATAAGATTTTTTTTCTTTTGTTAATCTTCATAAAAGTTTGTTCATTAATTATAACTTTATTTTTAGAATAAAATATTTTAAAAAATATATTTTAAATTTTTTTAATTTTTAATTAATATTTTAGTTAAAATTATTATAATTTTTTATTTTTAAATCAATGCATAAAATAGAATGATTTATGTTTCTGTAAGTAAAAAATTTAAGAAAAATATTTAAAAAATTAATTAAATAAAAAATTATAATTATAAAATTATAAAATAATTTTATAATAGTGAATCTGCAAGGAGGGCAATAATTTACTATTACGTAAAAAATTGAAGAAATAAAGAAGTGCATTTATTAGTTGACGAAGAAAAAATTAAGCGAAGCAGCAAAAGTTTTCAATCACGTGACCAAAGGGACACGTGTCGTTCATCCTAAATTTCAACCATAGCAGCTAGTCTTAATAGCAGGAGTACTCGTTTAATGTTTTTCTTTTCAAAATTTTAACACAAAAATATTTAGCAACTCTCTCTCTTGTTTACCCAATTTTTTTTTTTTCATTCTCTCTCTTTCTCTTTCTCTCTGCAAAAAATTCACCCCTTTGAATCGCATCCATTTTCCTCACTCGAAAAAACAAAAGAAAAATAATTAAAACTTCATCGTCTTCTTGCAAAGATCTAGCTAGGGTTGTTTAACAAATCGCCGAATCCAAGATTCATAAATTGAATTTGTAATTCAAGAAACTGTGATTTGATTGAAAGATTGGCTAATAATTATTATAATCAAGGGTTTGGCGATCTATGTTTTGGTTTGATTTTCGTAATTATGGAAACGACGACGAGCGATGTTGCCATGTTAGATGCGGAGTTGCTTCAGCTACCAGAGGTTGCTCCTTTAGCTTTCAAATCTTACCCTGACTTTGCGCAAAAACTCTTCGATCAGTGGCTCGCTCTTCCCGATGCCAATAAGCTGGTGCGTTTTCAAAATCTCTTCTAATCTGTTGCCCCTTTTCTGTTCATTTCGATTCCCTTTTTACCATTTTTTTTTCTGTAGTGGATTTTATTTTTGGTTTTAAATGGTGAAGTGCGTATAGTTGCTAGCTGATTATTGATTTTAATGTTGAAATGAACTGGAGATGGAAACAGAGATGCGGTTGGATTCACTTGATTTGGTAAATTATGAATTCTGCGAGTGGAGTTTCTAAATTGTATTACTTTTTGAGAATGGTTAGTTAGTTTTGATGGTGGAGCTGATAGCTGTAAAATGGAGATTATAATGAGGTTAGATTGAAAGTGTGATTAGAGGTATTATAGCCATTTTCTTGTAATATTTGAACCTCTCAAGAAATGATGGCAAGATAATTGGGAACGGAAGAGTTAATAGAAAAGAAAGGGAACAAGCAGTGCTGTAGCTGTTTTTTTGGAGATATCCTGCCCACTTTTACAATAAAGATGCAATTTTATTTTAAGTACGAGTGCTGGATGTTGACAAGAATGTTGAAATGTATCCCATGTTTCTTGTCTAGCTTTCTGTTTTTTCTAGATGTGAAAATAAGTGAACTATTAACTAGTAATGTGGGCGAAGTCACAGTTTTCGTAGGAAGCAATGACTTCTTTTCCTCCCAATAGCTGCAGTATTAACTCTCAAACTAGTCGAAATGTTGAGATAAACTTTGCTGATCATTTGTCTTCAGTTATTCTATTGAAGTACAATTTTTCTTTCCTTTTATTTTTACTGTTGGGTGCTTAATCATTCTGTAAAACCTTTACTTAGCTAATTTTTTTGTCTGGTTCTCTCCTTTCTTATTCCAACTGCTTCAACTGGTCCTTTCAACTTGAGCATCTATGTGTTCTTTAAGTTCCTCATTTGGTGCCACCTCCAGGGTCGGAGCTGGAATATGGTAAACTGGAGGGAGAGAGAGAGAGAGAGAGGAGAGTTGGAATATATACTCCATACTTAGCCCCCTCCATATTTATTATCATTTCCTTGGTTGTGATTTCAACACATTCATCTTAAAATCTTAATGTCGATGACCTCATTTTATGAACTGGCAACTTCTTCGCTATCTTGCACTCCTTCACTGTAGAGCATCACATATTCAACTGTAGTTCTATCTGGAAGGGACTTTATGATTGCATACTTGTTGCACTTCTCTATTTAAACCAACTTGCATTAGTGTTCCTGCACGTCCATGAGTATTATGGTCTAAGTTGATGAATTTTATCTTAGCACTACTAAAAAATCCTTTGGTTTTTGACACCCAAATAACTCTTTAAATAGTAGAATTAATTAATGAACATGCAAATGCTTCGAACTACTGCAGTGCTAGGTTGAATCATGCATCAGTTCTGTTTCATATTCATCAACACCTCAATGCCGATACAATTGCATGGCTGTGTTATCATTATCATGTAAATGTTTGTATATCTTATCTATGTTTATTACATAAGTCGATATATTTTTAAAGAGAATATTTTTTTTTCCTCGTTATGTTTGAGGAAAGCAGTTTAACAATGATGCTTGAAACCTATATCGGTTTGGCGTCACAACAGAAGTCCAATAGAAAAGTGAAAGACAAGTCTAATAGAAGTGTGAGTCTACATATGTAAATTTGAAAAGGGAAATAATTCAGTTTTAGTTTTTTAATCCCCATCCTTCTCTTCTAGTTTAAGTTCAGGTTGGGAGATCCAGTTCATTGTTCAAAACACATTTTATTGCAAGTATTGCTTTTTTAATTTTTGTGGCTCAATTTTGTTCACCATTCCCTTCCCTGTCGTCATCATACATCTTTTATGTACTTTCTGTTCTGGAAGGAAACACAACTAGTTATCTATTTTATAGAGACTTGCTCTTTTCTGTGGTTATAGAAGAAAAATTTTAAAATTCTTGCTGTCGTGTTTGTTTATTATTATTATTTTTTTTTGAATGAGTTCTTTTGCAAGCTCTTATAGGTGATTTTCCTTTGAATAAAAGATTTTATATAATATGATTGCATATTTCTCTTCTCTTCTTTCTTAATTGTCCAGGTGACATCCCTGATTAATGATGCCAAGACAGGCGCTCCCTTGAATGTCTCTGGAAACTCATCTAGTGCAAATGCTTCCACTGGCAATTCCTTACCTTCTATGTTTCCTGCGGGGAGTACACCGCCGCTTTCTCCCAGAAGTTCAACCGGTTCCCCTCGCGTGACAAAACAAAGGGCTGGCCCTTCTAATTTAGGGTCTCCTCTAAAAGTAGTCAGTGAGCCAGTAAGGGAGTTGATACCACAGGTTTGACAAAACCCAAGTATTTTTCTTTTCTCAAAAAATAATAATAATAATAATAATTAATAAATAAATAAATTTCTTTTGCATTGACCTGCTGTTTCCTTTCATTTTCTCTGATAGGAACAAAAAATTATATATAAAAAAAATGGAATAGTATCTAGAAGGAAGACTTTCTGGTTCACTTTGAAAAGAGATATGAATCTGGGAATGAAACTAAGTATAGCTGAATCAACAAAGTTCTGCAATCCACAATTTTTTTTCTTCTACCTTTCTCTTCATATTTTATCTACCAAAATTTTGTTATGTGACATGGATGACATGTTTTAATATTTATACTTGCGATGCTTGTAGTTTTATTTTCAAAATGGTCGTCCAGCGCCAAATGAACTAAAAGAACAATGCTTGATTCGGATCAATCACTTTTTCTATGGCCACTCGGATGGAATGCAGATACATGGTAAGATCAACAACAACACATCCACATCTGTGGTTTTTCATGAACTAACCTGTTCATTATTTATTTTGTATGGTTAGAGTTCAAATCAGTCACAAAAGAAGTATGCAAGCTGCCGTCATTCTTCTCCACAGCTCTATTTAGAAGGATTGATGTTAATACCACCAATTTTGTGACAAGGTATGTGCTTCTTGTCTTATTGAGAGAGAGAGCAAGTCGTTTCAGTGGTCAATTTATATTTTAACTGCAGTTTATTGGACCTATGTAAATTATTCTCCTGATGTTTCACATTGTAAATACGTTAAAGTCTTTTACCTGATTCAGTTATCGTTGACTGAGATTTCTCTTCGATACACGATGATTCCTACCTCGTCTGGAAATCTCTCTCATGGGATCTTCTTTTGTAACTATTGTCATCGACTTTCAACAATAATTTTAGGACTTAAAAGATGGTTGGCTAGATTGTCATGGAAGTTTGGGCAACTAGAATGATGGGACAGTAGTTTTCATTTTGAGTAGTGATTTGAGAGTTTTATCACAGAAACATTGAGAAAAAGACTTTGGGGTCTCTATCACACTTTCCTATCCCTACGGTCCGCAACAGTACATTTGAGACAGCTATAGAAAAAAAGTGCTGCACTCTACTAACCATCCTCTTTTCTAGTTTGATAGTAGGCCCGGAATTCAATTCCTTGATTTTGGCAGATCAAGAAATCAAAGTCAATACACAAGATCTGGCTGTTGGTTTACCAGTTGGAATTGTGGTGCGCATTGTCTGGCGCTTCTCTTTCTGTTTACAAAATCATCCATCCACCACCCTCCAATTGTAGTTACGAACCAGTTTAACATGTTATATGCCGGTCAACGGAAGGATTGCCGTACAGTTTGTAAACTGCTGGTTGGACTAATAGCTGATAATTTGTTACCAGGACTTTTAGTATGTGAATTTTTGTAGCCTTTTCTGTTAAAACTATTTAGATTGCGGCTTCAAAGTCAAAATACATTTTGCAGTTCTCTCTCTCATGTGCTTTCAGCTTTGACTGTTGGAATCTGGTCGTTTTAATGTAGATTGCTTTTCATGAAACAAATATGGTTTTTAAATTGCAGTTACAGTTGCAGCCATGGCATGCATGGTCTTTTAGTAATTTGTCTTGGTGAAGAGTTTGAAAATTTTGATAAAGGGACACTTCTTTTATGTTCAGTGAATGATAATTTCTCAAAGTCGAATATTTACTTTAACTCGTGATATTTTTTGTTACATTAGTGGCTCAAGATAGGTGGACCATGTTTTTTTGCTTTTTGTGGCGTACAATGGACTTGTTCTTGATGCATTTGGTGGTTTTAGGGAGGAGGAAGGATTGTAAGATTTTGAGATTTTCTATCTTTTATGGTGTCTGGGGATAGAGTAGAGTTCTGGGACAGGTGAATGTGCCTTTTTTGCTATTTGTGGCAAACAGTGGATTTCACCAACTAGGGTGGACTCGTTCTTGATGCATTTTGTGGATTTTGAGAGGAGGGTTATTAGATAGGTGCTATGTTTTATGGTGTTTGGCATGGAGTGCTAGAATTCAAGGTTCCTTTCTCTCAAAACATCTTTTCTGGGATATGATAATTTTTTGGCCTCCTTTGTGGTGGTGTATTCCTTGAGTGTCTTTGTAGAGAGTTCTGTGACAGATATTTGGTTTGTTTGATTGCGCTTTTAAAAAGCAATTCTTATTCCTTTCTTTTTACTTTCATGGAGGATGCTGTATTCTCTTAGTTGTAATTCAATATTCTCTCTTTTGGGTATTGATAGTGGATGTATAAGTGATGGGGTGTCTTGAATTCACTCCATGATCCAACCCATTAAGGTAGGGAACTCTTGAATGGAATTTTTCATGAGATCTGTGATGTAGCCGAGGGCTGGGCTGTTAGGATCTGTTTATCATCAATTCAATAGTTGGAACTTGCTTTTGAAAGGAAAAGTAGTAATTGTTGTTTAAATTTGATGTGGTGCAATTTGGTTTAGAAGAGGAAATGAGATTCAGAATTGGTGAAAAGAGAAAGGAGAGATGATTAACATTTTGGTTCCACTCCAGGGGGAGAATTAAGAAAGGGTGGATTGTGTGTAACTTGTTCAGTGGCTGCTACACAAATTGGTTTGTACATGCCTCTATGGATGCACAAATATAACACCCTTTAGCTTAACACAAGGGATATTTCTTGTTGCATAGCTGCTGTTATTTGAAACTATGGAAGAAATTAAAATAAGCAATGTTTAAGAAATGGCTAAATGGGCCAAACCTCTCCTGAACTTCAGTTCATTTGAAAATCAGTCCCTAAACTTTTAATTTCGGGTTTGACCTACCTTGAACTTTATCTTTTTTTTTTTTTTTTTCCAGATTTAGTCCATCCTATGATTTCTAGCTATCACTCCCTACTCTAAAAAAATTACTTCTTCGTATTTTGAGCTGATAATTTGCACATGTTGGGAAAAATCCAATCCATTTTGTGGAAAAATTCTAGAATTTTTCAAAGTTGTAAAGTATGAACATTAAAAATGTAGAAATTCAGGAAAAATAGAAAATAACCTGGAATGATCCCAAATATTTTGGGGAGCTCCAGATAAATCTTATTGAATGATTTTCATCATGAGATTATTTATGTGACCATTATTTATGACAGAAAACTAAAGGATGACTAAATCTAGGAAAAAATATATATATATAGTTTAGGGGAGGTCAAATCCAAAATTAGAAGTTTAGAGACTGATTTTCAAAAAGACTAAAGTTTCAAGGTGGTTTGACCCATTTAGCCTTAAGGAATAAATTAACATTTTAGGTTTGATAGTGTAATTCTAGGGTGCATAATGTTGCATTTTAGGTGGTGTTGCCCTCACAAAAAATGTTTGCATTATTTTGTTTCCTAACTTCTTCCTAATTTATGTGCAGGGATGCTTTTCTTGATTATTGGATAAATGGCAACATGTTGACATTGGATATAGCAACCCAAATATTTACAATTTTGAAGCAACCAGATCTCAAATACCTCACCCAGGTAGGAAGGACTATTTGTTTGTTAAGATATTCAGTTCTGGGTCTTGTTATCAATGGATTACTGCTGTTTTAGGGATGATTCATTGTCGTAGTTGTTGTTTAACTCATGTTTAAAATGATTTCCAAATTGATAACAGGAAGACTTTAAACCTGTGCTTCGAGAATTACTGGCAACTCATCCTGGATTGGAGTTCTTACAGAGCACACCCGAATTTCAGGAAAGATATGGTTAGTTATGATTATTGATCAACTTTTGATTGTTTATAATTCAAAGCAATTACTCATATTTCTGATTTCTTTACCTTGCGAGAAGCATGGGCTGCTATAATCCATGCTTGATTATTGGCAAATTATCACTTATTACTGATGATATTGGCTCAATTTCATACATGGCAATTCCACCAAGACCAGGAGTGGCCTAGATTGATTTGTTTCTTTAAATATTTGTTTGATTCTGATTGGAAGTATGTAAAATTTTGTTATTCCATAAATGAATAAGGTGCTGTTTTCTGGATAAGAAGAAAACATCTAAACTTGAAGTTGGGGGTATTTTGAAGAGAATCCATTTATGGTGTGTGATCATCCCATGGAAATGGAATCTATAATTAAAAAGACATAGAATTTTGGGTTTATGTTGCCGTATGGAGCTATTACTAAACTTCTGTCATGACCAGGTGCCAAGTATTTCAAAAGCTACCCTTTCTAGTTTCAAGAGTGCTGCTATTCTTTTTTGCTGGAGCAAGGTGTTTCAAAAATTGCGAAACTATAGATCGGTCTATTTGAATGATGAATTGTAATAAGATTTAATTAGGAACTAGATGAACTAGATGGGACAGTTCAGTATTTATGGGCCCAAAAGCACCCAAAAAGTGGCGACATGTAGTTTGTAACTGTTATTGCAAAAACAAAATGTGTTTTTTCTTCTAAACTTCCAGATGGTTTGTCAGTCATCTGAAAGTGCTTGCTGGTTTTTTCTTATGAACTACCAACTGGTTTCTCTTTCTGTATAGAGGGTGACTTTAGGAATACAGACAAAGGCAAAGAAACTTTTGCATGTTTCCTTATTTCAGCTGTTGTGGTGTGTAAACTCTGCCAGATGCTTTTTTTTGTTGGGCTGACTTGTAATTGGTGGACCATTCAATTGAATTGTTTTTTCTGGTTAATTCAGTGTGTGTAGCCATTTAATTTCCATTGCCTGTTTGATTGATTATTTATATCGTCTGAAGGAGTATAGCTGGAGGTTGACAGCCAGGATAAGCCTTTATATGCCTCTCTATGCTTTGAGCTTTTTGTAGTGTGGATCTTGCATTGTTATAGTTGCTATGCATTTGATGTCTTGTAATTTATTGACATGATTTTTCCTTTGCAATTTGCAGCTGAAACTGTAATATACAGAATTTTTTACTACATAAATAGATCCGGGGATGGTCATCTTTCCCTCAGGGAGCTGAAACGTGGAAACTTAATTGATGCAATGCAACATGCAGATGAAGAAGAGGATATAAATAAAGTTTTGAGGTAAGTATCGCTCTGAAGATGTGACATGGATTTTCCTCAAAGGAACATTATGGCAATCATAAACTTGTAAAAATATGAAACATTAACATTTTCAGACAATTAGAATTAGTCTTACAGAGTTGGATTGAAATTTATGCTTATAAAATTTTTTATCAAAGTTTTAATGACCTTAATTATTTTGCTTATGATTTCATGTGCAGGTACTTCTCTTATGAGCACTTTTATGTGATATACTGCAAGTTTTGGGAGCTTGACACAGACCATGATTTTCTTATCGACAAAGAGAACCTTATCAGATATGGGAACCATGCACTTACCTACCGGATTGTTGACAGAATATTTTCCCAGGTTTGTGGCACTCGAATGATGCTTTTTAAAGCAAGAAATTTTCTTCCATATTTGAAGACCTAAACTGTTGTTCTTTTATGATGTAAATACCTTACAGGTAGCTAGAAAATTTACTAGTAAGGTTGAAGGAAAGATGGGATATGAAGATTTTGTATATTTCATACTCTCAGAGGAAGACAAGTCATCTGAGCCTAGTCTTGAGTATTGGTATGTTTACATGTCTTATTCTACAGAGTCAAGGAGTTGAACTAAAATTATGCACTGATGGAAATACTGGTACTTACATATTAGGGAAATATTCATTTTATATTTGTTTCATTTATTAGATGCCAGTGCAGCCATGAATAATAATAAAGCATTATTAAGCTTTCTGATATATTCCTTGTTCAATATTACCTGGGAGGCGTGCTTTTGTTCTAGCAAAAAGACAACAAAAAAAAAAAAAAAGACTTAAAAAATTTGTGAAATTTTTTCTGAAAATGGTGAAACCTTTAAGACATTGTCGAGAAGAGAGAGTGATAGGTAGGGGTGAAGTTTCCTGTTCGTTTTCTTCAGTCAGTTATACTGGCTAAGCAGATTAGAAAACAAATTTCTCTCTCTTTTCATTGTTGTAAAATCTATCTTATAATGTTTCTTTGTTGCTTCTATTGGGAGTTACTTCGTATATAACTGGGAACACATGGTTTTCAAACAGTGAAGGAGTATTTTGGTTTATTGATCAACCGTGCACGAGTTCTGACGCTCAATTTCTTTCTTAGGTTCAAGTGCATAGATTTGGATGGAAATGGAATTCTGACACGGAATGAGATGCAATTCTTTTATGAGGAGCAATTGCATAGGATGGAATGCATGGCTCAAGAGCCTGTGCTTTTTGAAGATATATTGTGCCAGATAATTGATATGATTGGACCAGAGGTTTGCCTTTTGCTCTTCTGTAATTTTACTGGTAGTTCCTCTCTGCTTCAACGTATTTAAAGTGCACATGGATCATGTTCAAGGAAAACTACATATAATGATCTAAAACTTTTGCCTCCTACCACAGTACTGTCTCATCAAATTTAGCTAGTCCCAATGGGAGAGCGTAAACGAAACTTGATTAGTCATTAAGTGCCAATTTATTTCTTTGCTTCTCCCAAGTCCCAGCACACCATCATCTTGAGATGTTTTAGCGGTTGACTCTTATGTTTTCTTGATGCAGAATGAGAGCTATATCACCCTCCGTGACCTGAAAGGTTGTAAACTTTCAGGAAGTGTTTTCAACATCCTTTTCAACCTTAATAAATTTATGGCCTTTGAAACCCGTGATCCGTTTCTCATTCGTCAGGTAATTTAGCACTTAATTTATGCTCTATGCTCAATATGAAATTGAAATTAGCATTGCTAATAAAAAAGCCTTGATGGCATTGCAACAAAACAGGAGCGTGAGAATCCAACATTGACTGAGTGGGATCGCTTTGCGCATAGAGAATATATTAGGCTTTCGATGGAAGAAGATGTTGAAGATGCTTCTAATGGCAGCGCGGAAGTTTGGGATGAATCACTTGAGGCTCCATTCTGAGTTAAATTAAGTAAGCCACTTCAGTTTTTGTGATGCTAGTTCTATTTTTTGTGTTGTACGTTTTATTCTTGTTCTGGCCCTGCACTCTTTTTCTTAGTCACACAAGATAAACTGTTACATAACTTATGAGGTGATGAAGTTTTAGCATTCAGTTCCAGCAAAACACTTGCTTTATGAACTTTATGCAGATCACTCATCCGTGGCTAGATTTTCTAACCAATTGATCATTCTACCAGACTCTGTAATTCCTATTATAGAAGAGGGTCAAAAGTCCTCCACACAGCTTTGCACATCCTGTGACAGTTCTGGCAAACTTCATCCTTCTTTGTACTTTCATTCTTCAAAGGACTCTCTATCCTTACATATCAGAATATGCTTGCTTGAAAGAAAGCTAACTTGTTCTGAATATTATTCCACTGGGTGCTTGCTTTTCCCTCCCATATAATTACTGCATCATCTACACTTGCACTGTGGAGTATGGAGATTTAACAAAAACCTCTTCAAATGAAGCATTTTTCTTTTTTCATATTTTCAGGGTCTAGTTTTGTGTTTTGATATTCGCTAGTTTGCTTTTGCTGAAGGTAAAAGCTCCAGATTCTTCTAAAGAGGCCGTGAGACAAGAAAACAGGAAACAAACTCAAAGGATGATTCTTTTAAGGAGTGTGCAACAGTTTTTACCTTTATAAAGAGAGTCCAAAGGTTGGCAGGATGGAATGCATTTTTTTCATGTGCCAGCAGGGAACATATTCAAGCTTTTGTGTGCATAATTCGAGAAAAACCAAGGAGCATTACAGTAGAGGAGGTAGTTTCCAAGAGTTGGTTAATCAAGTCCAGGTTGAAGTAGCTCAGAACATTGACTGCATATTTTTTATTTATCAATTTGTAAGATATAATCTATGTCGAGGTCCTCTAATTTAGTGGTTGGTTCTTTTGATATGTCTTCTGTACGGTAATCTATTGGGTGCTGGGTAGGCATCCTTTGTTTATCAATTTTTGGATTGTCATTTATATGTTACTATATTCTTAGTTTTTCTCCCCATTTCCCACTTTTGTGTACACAAAATGTAGCTTGCTGTTTTGTCTTTTGGAAAAAATAATTTTCTTTTTTATTAGAAATTTTTAGGCCAAGATTTTCGGACCATCAAATGAACCTTGGAGTTTCCAAGGTATTCATTCCTCAACAATAATCTTAACGTATGAACAATCTGTACACTCAATCCTCCAGGCTTATCATTCTCGTTTGTCTGGTTTCGTGATGCGATGACCATTGACTACTAATTTCCAGATTACCTTTCTTTGACTAAACTTCTACACAAGCACAACAGTGCTTGTGTAGTAGTCGTAGGATTCTTTGTACGTTTGAATGATGCGTTATATTATTTATTTGTGTCGTAGTTATCGGATGTTGCAGATCTAATCTATGAGCTGGTCGATCAGAATTAATACAGACTGAAGTGATGAAATTTTGATTTACTATGATAAAAAAAGTCGCATAAAAGATGGTCCAGTTAGTTGAGGAAGATGATCTATGTTGTCAAAACTTCAACTGGTTTTGAAAGGATATTTTTTAAAATAATCTAATCAGGTTAGACTAACCCCATGTTCCCAACTTCAAGTTTTTCGTTTTAAGTGTGCATTTGGTGATGAGGTGTACGGGAAAAAGTATCAAATTAATATTTTTAACATCAGTATATCCCCCAGAAAAAAAAAATCATTAGTTACTATTTATTGTATTATTTGAAATATTATTAACTTAGACTCATTTATATTGTTTACCCAATTCAAATACACAATTTCTTTCACTATAGTAATATTTTTGTAGCTTTCAAATATTTTTAAAATTTATTATGAAAGTTTTCGCGATATTACACTTTAGTTTTTTTTTTAGTCCAAAAATATTTTTTATTGATTTTGATCTCACTTTTTTATTCATTTTGGTCACTTTGGTCCTTGCGTTTTTTTTTCTCTGATTTTTTTTAATTAAAAATTTTAAGGTAAAACGATGTTTTAAAAAATAATTTACAAAATAAGGTTTTAATTAAAAACGTGAATGAAGATAAATAAAAAATGTTTTTTAATAAAATTTTTATGAACGAGTATAAAGAATAATTAATCAAATAGAAATTTTTGATAAAAAAATGATAAAATTAAATGAATTTTTATTCAATTTTGATTTGGTATATTTTGGTAGAAGCGAGAATATAACACGGGATATCAAAATAAAATAATTTTATATATTTTGTTCGATTCGCAGCATAACGCGAGTAAAAAAACTAGTTGAAACTATTCAAAAATATCTAAAAAGCATGAAATTTATGTGTTTCAATTCTAAATATATTTTCAAACATAGTACAACCACATTACTGAACGTCTTAAAATAGATCATGTTTTTGGTCATCAAAGTTTTCTCTCACTCTCCTCTTTAAAATATAGGGATTTTTTTATCTAAAAGTGTTGAATTGAATAGAAATAACTCTAATAGCTTAAGTAAATAGTTTCGGATTCAAGTATTTATGTATACGGAAAACTTTTTGAATAACTATATCTATTTTGTGTATCCGATCGAACGGTGAGAGATTGGTTTCAGCCTTTGAACAAAGACTATACCTTGAGAATCCAAAATATATATATATATATTTAAAAAAATTTCTTATTATAATTATTTATATTGTTTTGACATAATGGAGAATGTAGACATGATTAGATAAAAAATATTTAAGCAAGAGTAATTTTCATGGTAAATATGAAATTCAAATCCACTTTTTTTTTATCTTAAATGATCAGGTTTTAGTTAATTGTTTTGAGTATTTTTTGAGAAAACTTGACTGAATTTTTTTTTCTTTGCAAAATGATAAGGATATTTTTAGTTTTTTTTTTTCGAAATTAAATGGCTCTTCAATTAATTCAATCTTTAAGTAGAACATCAAAATATAAATATACATTAGTTTCATTTTGAGGGAAATTGTTTCCTTGATCAAGGAGTGGTCTCTTATTAAAAAAATCACGAATTCAAATTCTAAAACTTTAATTTTGCTAAAAGCTTGTAAGTTAAAAAAAAAAACTGGTTTCCTTGAAAGTCGAGAAGTTCTGACATATTTAATGGCAAATGGCATTTAGTTTCTTACCAAAAAAAAGGCATTTATTTATTTATTTCTATAGTAATAATATAAATTAATGGATTTTTTTTGTTATTTTATTTTTATTGAGAAACAGATATACAGCTTCTTAAGACAGACGAGCCAAAATCCAAATACCCCAAAAGAAAGGAGTAGCGACTCAAACTGGTTAACAGTTTTTGCAGAACGGAAGTCAGAGGAACAAGACTGACCATCAACTAAAGCCCTAACAGTGAAAAGGAAGATGAAGGTGGTGGCTCTAATAAGCGGCGGCAAGGATAGCTGTTATGCCATGATGAAGTGCATCCAATATGGCCATGAGGTCTGTCTCTCTCTGTCTTTGTTTTTTTTTTTTTGTTTCCTGAGAAATCAACACTTTCTCACCCACCAAATATAACCCTTTCCTTTTATTATTTCTTTGTCTTTTTTTTTCCTAATTATCTTTTCTTAATGGGTTTTTGTTTTTTGAATAATTTTGGTAGATTATTGCATTGGCAAATTTGATGCCTGCTGATGATTCAGTCGATGAGTTAGATAGCTTCATGTATCAAACTGTAAGTCTATCTATTTAGATATTGATTTTTTTTTTCGTCTTTACATATTAGTTTAAAGTAAGGATTTGGGTTCGATGATTCTTTGATGGAATTTTAAGATTCCGTTTATGTTGGGGCAGTAGCATTGTTGATACAATTTTTGGGATTGATAAAGATATAAACTTTTGTTAAAAATGAAGTCTTTGTGCACTTTAAAGTTATGCTAGTTAACAATGTTTTTCTTTCAATGAATGGCTTCTTGTTTCAATTATATTGAAGTATTTCACTTTTTTTTTTTACCTGCAAGTCGTGTTATTTATTCTAGTGTATGATTGGAACACTTGAATTTTTTTGCAGGTTGGACATCAAATAATTGTCAGCTATGCAGAATGCATGGGATTGCCGTTATTCAGAAGGCGAATACAAGGATCCACAAGGCAAGCTCATTTTTAGAGGATTTTATTGGTAAAAGTAATTGTCTTACTTTGGACAATATCTGTTAAGAATTAGGCTTTTATGTAATGTCTTCTGGAGGCAGTGTGAAATCCATGATCATATTTTGACTGTATGAAAACACAGGAGGCTCTTGGTAAATTCATAGTAATTGTTACGTGAAAATTCTATAGCTATTCTGTATCGATAAAAAAAATTTCCAAACTAAACTGTGATATAAAAATTTGATGGATTAGCAGTGTTTTTTTCAAAAAAAAAAATCACCAGATGATGTGAATATTATCTAACTGTTTTTGTGGATTATAGGCATCAAACACTTAACTACAAGACAACGGCAGGTGATGAAGTTGAAGATATGTTCATTTTGTTAAGTGAAGTCAAAAGACAGATTCCCTCTATCACAGCAGTATCTTCTGGTGCTATTGCATCGGATTATCAGAGGTTACGAGTGGAAAGTGTTTGTTCGAGGTTAGGGCTTGTTTCTCTAGCATATTTGTGGAAACAAGATCAGTCATTGCTCCTTCAAGAAATGGTAAATTGCATTTTCTCAATATGAGTGGTATTCCATCACGATCTGAATTACCCTTTTAGTGGGATAACTTTGTTTCCTGTCCAACCAGATAACAAATGGGATTTTGGCGATCACTGTAAAGGTATGAAGAGAAACATCTTTTCAAAGTTACACTCTTGGACTATGAACTCAAATGTGAAGGGTGATAATCTTTAATGCCATAGGTAGCAGCCATTGGTTTAGACCCTGCAAAGCACTTGGGCAAAGAAATAGCATTTTTGAACGCCCATCTGCATAAGTTGAAAGAGTATGTGCTTGTTTTTTCTTTTTTCTTCTTCCTTATGTTGTAGTGTTTTTCCGTTGTTTAAGCACAACTGCATACCGACATTGCTCATTTTGACATTCTTTTGGTAGCCTGTATGGAATAAATGTATGTGGTGAAGGAGGAGAATATGAAACACTGACACTCGACTGTCCACTTTTTGTAGTAAGTATACCTGATATATTCTAGTTGTAATCTTGATTCCCAATCCCATTGCCACTCCATCCATCCTTTCTTCTTCATCATCTTCTGGAAATCGTATGGTATGTGCTGAATAAGATGCATCATCCATGTAACTTTTTCCGATTCTCAGAATGCCAGAATTGTGCTCGATGAATTTCAAACTGTGCTACACTCTCCAGGCTCCATAGCTTCAGTTGGGGTCATTCATCCTCTGGCATTTCATTTGGAAAATAAGGAGACGGCCATTTCATTAAGTAATAATGACAAAGCCACTGATTCCTCTCTGGAAAAAGGATCCGTGTTTGTAGTGCAAGGTGATCACCCACAAAGAAATGAGACTTGCCAGTCTAATGCTGAAATGACTAATTTAGCTGAAGTTAGAGATGCTAGAATTTACATATCTAGAACGAAGAAGGATAATGTATTTTCCATTTGTTGCTGGTTACAAGATTCATGCAAAAATTCTGCAGGTAAACATCAGAAGAATGATGCATTTGCCTTTATCACTTCCCAGAAGTATATATTTTCACCCATGCCCACAGCTTCTTTCACCTATCCTTTTGACTCTATGACTTTTTAAGGGCTTTGGACTGCTTTTTATTGGCAGGTTCACATGAAGATCTGGCAGTTGTTCTGAAGCACATTGAATCACAGCTTGCAGGATATGGTTTTGGTTGGGAGCATGTCCTGTATATTCATCTCTATATTGCTGATATGAATGAGTTCGCTGCAGTAAATGAGACATATGTGAGATTTATTACCCAGGATAAGTGCCCTTTTGGTGTTCCATCACGCAGTACAATAGAACTGCCTTTGTTGCAAGCGAGTTTGGGGAGAGCATATGTTGAAGTTCTCATGGCAAATGATAACAGCAAAAACGTGTTGCATGTGCAAAGTATTTCCTCTTGGGCTCCCAGTTGCATCGGACCATATAGCCAGGTATTGTAACTTGTTTTGAATCCATTTATCAGTCAATTGGTTCTGCTGGTAGTGTTACCCTTCCCTCTCCCTGATTTTGTTTTTCTTTCCCAAATGGTGGTGAAAGAAGTTTGAATAGTATATACAAGGGAAATTTTAGCAAAAAAAGAAAAAAAAATAAGATTCTATCTGTCTATTGGTAAGAAAAATTTAGTTCCCGAGAGTATGTTAGATGAACTTGGGGACAAGACAATTATATGGGACAGATATTGCCAATTGTGGGGAATTGGATTTTATGGTTGCAGGACAATCTTGACCCAAGGGATTGAGTTTGCTTAAATGTGTTCTACTCCTGGATCATGAAAATTCTTGATTAGAAAATGATTGCACTGTTGATATAGTCTTGAACAAAATGACTGTATTTGTAGTCGAACAAATTTGTCATTTCCCTAGACATGTATGATTATATTTGAGTACTTCTGCTATCACTGTGCTTGAAATATTTGCATAATCACATGTAGATTTGAATGTTTTTATTTTATTTCACTGTTTGCTCTAAGGCAACCTTGCATAAGGAGATACTACACATGGCTGGACAGTTGGGGCTTGACCCACCCTCTATGACTCTATGCAATGGAGGCCCCTCTGCTGAGTTGGAACAAGCGCTAGAAAACAGTGAAGCAGTGGCAAATGTCTTTAACTGCTCGATATCTACATCTGCTATTGTTTTTACCATTTACTGTTCAACAAGTACTCCACTGCCAGAAAGACTTCAGATTCAGGAGAAGCAGGACTCCTTTCTGAAGCAAACAAGATTGCTGCAATTAGATAAAGGAGTCAAGTGCAAAATTCTCGATCCAATATTTCTATTTGTTCTTGTGCCCGATTTGCCAAAAAGGTAATTCTTCTGTACATCTTTATGATTTTCCTTTATGACCTTTCAAGCGGGAATCCCTATGCCTTTATCTATCATCTCATATTATGTTATTTCATATTTAATGCATATCTTTGAATTTGGAAACCTGACCAAACATATTGGCCACCAGGCATGTCTTTGCATTGTTTATATTTGTTTGCCAACTATTTTCCAACTCATCATAGTTTAAAAATAATTTTAGAAACACAAATAGAAGTAACAGACAATAGTAAATACGATAGTGTACCTGATGAAATGGGTGAAACAAATAATATCAATTTGGATAAATTTATTTGAGAGAAATGTATAAATATTTGAGACCATACCTATTGGAATCTTTGAAAAACAATGGTGATTAGGATCTGAGCTATCAAGTCAAATTTAAGTAATTTGGTCCTTGAAACAGTTGAGGAAAAAATAGTATCCTTAAAGAGTTTAATAGAAGAGAGCATATCAGCTAGTGCAAGTATACATTTTAAGTTAGATTATCATATTGTCAGATAGGATTTCCGTAGTGTGTGTGTTTGAGTAAGGAATGGCTTGTGTGTGTGTAACAGGTTTGGATAAGGCTTTACTAAATGTATAAAAACAATTATATTGAATTTTGTATATTCTGCCATGTGTGTTTAATGGTATTTGTTGTATGCCAATAAGAATATCTAACATCTTACTAAGTATTTAAAAGAATGTCATGTGTGGAACTTGGAACATTTTCTATAACACCAGTTATTTGACACACGTCAATACTATAGTGTGCGGATTTGACTTGTATATATAAATGTGCAGATTAGATTATATATGCTGAAATTTACCTGGGAGAGCTTCTCTCTTGAAATTATTTGGGAAATGCTTTTCATTACCTCTCTGATTACTGTAGGGCATTTGTAGAAGTTAAGCCCATTCTTTTCGTTCCAGAGGATGCAGAAACAGCAGTTACAAGTGTTCAAAACCCATCCTCTTTTACAGTGGCTAATTATTGGGGATTTCAGCATGCACAATGGCATGATTCTTGCATTCAGAAATGTGTTGTTAGTGGGAAGATATGTGCAATTATTTTGTCGATTACAGAAAATATTGTTGTGAAGATCTGTTCTGAGTCTCTAGGTATCAATGATGAAGACGTGGATCATCAAAATTCTGTCTCAAAGGGGCATATGGAAAGAGTATCAAGTTTTTGTGTTTATCTTCTTGATAAAGTGATCATGGATAATGGATTTTCTTGGGAAGACACAATGGTGAGTTTCCTGTACTCTTTTCTAATTACAGCTGATTAGTATTAAATTCTGATCACTTCTCTCGACTATATCCAATCATATATTGCAAGGCCTTGTGGATGTTGCAATGCTACTGTACTCTTTGAACTTTTGAAGCGCCCTGGAATCACGACCAGGGAATGCTTGTACAGATGCAAGAGACTGCAGAAAAAGCAAAATGCTTTCACACACACACACCAGAGAAAAACCGTGCTGTTTTTGTTTTCGTTTAACCTTTTCATATCTTTTCGCTTTAATGGTCTCATGCAGTTGTTTCTTTTATAGAATTTAAGGATCTACTTCCCAACAAACAGTGGTATTCCACTGGAGACATTGTCACTCACATTCAAAAATGCTATGAATGAACTTGCTGAGATGGACCAGAGGATTCAACTTGGGAAAGAACCCATATTTAACATCGTTCCAGTATTAGGTGCTGGGAGCTCTGCTGCGTCGATGAATAACATAATCACATGTGAACTATTTGCTCGGAAATTTTGAATCCACCAATTGTGGATTATTGGCCTCTGAACTGGGATGTAATTGCTCAGAGTCCATTAAACTGCTTCAGAATTTTTGTACCAAGATGTAATACAATCATATTTACTCTTACCAATACAATTGATTTATTTCTTTTTGATACTTGTGTTGATGGATTCATACTCATTTATAGTGAACTCATATTTGCTCCCAGATTTTACTCTATAACTTCCTCTCTGGCTCGCGAGTCTCCTTTGCGGACCCATTTGGATAAGGTAAGCACTCCAAAGATGCAGATGCAGGCATTTCTTACACTGAAGTCATAAACACACGACCACATCCCAAAGAATGGCCATTTGAAAAAGTTTTTGAATTACAATTCAATGCAAGTTGTTCGTAGGAGATGGTCATTTTTATAGAAGCAGCTCGCTTCATGCAGTATTTTCCTAGTCTTTTCCCTTTCCTCTGTTCCCTTTTGGAATTGTACAATCGTAGATTAATCAGTCTTCCATGGAATTTTACAGTTATGCATGATAGAGAGCACTCAACATTATGACACTTCTTAATTGAGTTCCCTACATCTCGTTGAACCAAAGAAAATTTGTCAACTCATCCTCAAAACATGGCAAATATCTTTGAGCAATTATTCAGTGTTTGTGTAGTAGTAGAACAACTACTCTCGACATAGAAATGAAGCAGTATCCATAAATAATTATCACGATGAATTTTACTTTTACCTGATCCGAAAATGTATCAAATAATTTCTCATATCTTTTTTTTTTCCTTTTTTAAGAATTTCAATATTAAAAGATATAGAGTTATTTCTATCACCTTTTAGAAAAGTTATTATTAGACAATACAATACTCGTTCTGTCTTCTCATCTGTAAGAAAGCTATTGAACTATGCATTGGTGGGTAGATATTATTCGGGTTCGGAGAGGAAAAAAAAGAGACTGATATTTTGCTTTGCGAGAAGTGACCCTACTAAGTAGATGGCTCAGTGTCTTATCACGTAAGAAAAGAAAAGGCCTAGAAATCTCATATGAAACAAAAAATGCACTCATCCTTAATCATACGTACTCAAGATATTAAGGCTGTTTTTGTTAGTTAAATGTAATTCTCAAGGGACCAATGCTTTTTGCAATGATAAAAAGTATGGGCTCTCCCGACAACAACTTTTCAAGTAAATCTGGGAAATAAAATTGGATTTTCTTGTCTAGTTAATGTTAATCAATGTCTCAATCATCAAATGTTCTCAAAACATGGCAGCTTGATTTTATTTCATAAAATTAAACGTTCCCAATGAAGGGAATCAAATTTCTTTTATTTTCTTTATACAAAAATATAATTTTAGTTCACGATTTCTTGCAAAATTGCCAAAAAAAATTACTATGTGGTTTAAGGCTTGCTTTTAAGGGACAAAGGTTTCAAATTTGGTATTCAAGGTTTTGTGGTTTGCAAATTTTTAGAGCTGTCTTTGAGATTTTTTTTTTTTTTTTTTTGTAATCATTAAGTCATTAAATTAGGAGGAATTTACGTTAAATAAACAGGAGCACAATGTTAACCTACTAAATAGTTAGATAGTTTAACAAGATCTACACACGTATAAATCATGATTTTTTCTTCAACTACATTGAATATTAATGAATTATTTGTTTTCTGAAAAAAAATAAATAAATCATTGGAAATTAGTTTATCCTAATGGATTGTTAGATATTTTCTTTTTTTTTTTTTTGAACTAATGTTGAAATTATCATATCAAAATAACTAAATCGTTAATGTCTAAATAAAAAGTAAAATTAAGCAGTTCAGTGATTTTTTTTTCATACTAATGGTTGTCGGGAAAAAAATCCAAAATAAATCATTGGAAATTAGTTTATCCTAATGCATTGTTAGATCTTTTTTTTTTTTTTTTGAACTAATGTTGAAATTATCATATCAAAATAACTAAATCGTTAATGTCTAAATAAAAAGTAAAATTAAGGGGTTAAGTGAATTTTTTTATATATAAATGGAGGTTTTTTTTTTGGGCATTGAGGATGTTTCTGTAGTGTGTGTGTGTGTGTATATATATATATATAGAACCTGGAAGAGGCTTTATGTGAAATCACCTCTTTTTTTTCCGGTAAAATCGCTAATGTCGTTGTAATTTAACCTCAAGAAGAAGAAAAATCGTACAACTCATTGTTAGGCCCAAGCCCATTCAATGTCCAACCAATTTCTTCAAAAAGCTTTGATCTAAACCCAGCTGCAGCCCAGGAATGGGTGCCCCTTCTCATGATGGCTCTTTGGACAATCTTTTATTACGTAGCCCTAGAACAATCTATTGTCTAAGCTAGCTTCAAAAAAAAATTAAAAAATAAAAAATTCATATAATGACGAGGCTTCTTTTAACGTATTATCTACTAGTTATTATTCCTGTCAAGTACTCTTTGGCCTCACTGGAAGATGCATGTTTTCCATCATGACCATTAACTACCAATGTCCTGGAAAATACAAATACAAGCACAAACTTTATGTAAAACACTCCCATTTCCAAGAAAGCAAGAATAGCTGTTAGCTTGTTACCTAAGAGAAGAGAAGGTTTAATGATAAAAATTATTTTTGTTCTATTACAATTTAATAATTTTAAATTTTTATTATCATTTTATATAATTTGAATTCTAAATATTGATTTTTGGGTAAATTTTATCTAAATTCGTTAATTGTAACGATCAATAAAGTGGATTTTTAATTTTTTTTTGCTAATTTGAAAAAAATGTTAAAATTTCTTGTCTGATAGTGGTTTCTGTTGCAATCATAACTGGTTACCTAACGGGCAAAGGCCATTCTTGTTAGAGTCATATCAATCTCCATACATGTATACTCATTGTCATTGGCGAAAGTTGCCAAAATCGTACTTCACTCTATCCCATTTAATGGCAACAAAATTTGATAGTGACTTTGGAGAACAAGAGATATCAAAAAGATTTGAACAACCAACCATGTTATCCATAGAGAGGAATTGGAAGAGAAACGAAATGCCAAGGTTTTATATGTTTGTTTCTTAGGGCTGGCTGGCTAACTTTGTGGGGGCTTCCATGAAACAAAAGGTTGTGACTTTAGCGAGCCATGGCCACATGGGTGCGAGGGGACCATCGACATTAGTTTTGAGAGCAAAGCATGTGTGGGTTCAACCCCACATTTGGTGTTGCGGACTTGCATTTTTAAGAAAGTAAGAAAATAATTCCTCTAATTTTGAAAAAAAAAAAACTAGTAATAATCCCTCAACTTGCTTTGATCGTCAACGTTTTATAACAAACTTGTTAATTTTTCAATCAATAGCCGAGGTGATAGCTATCAAAATCTTAGTAATGGATGATAGATGATGGAATGGGAGGACCGGTTATAACTTAGAATTTGAAAATATATTCATACAGGGATTAAATGTGAAGTTTCTTAAAATGAGGGATTAGTTTGTATCTTCTTAACAAATTAAGAACTAAGTTATAACTCAGGCCAAAACGAGAATAGACAGCAAACAACGAGCAATGAAATCAAGTGGGCCTTTAATATGGTCCACTGAAGGTCGATAGGAAAAGACTACAAAGTCCTTGTAGGCTTCTAGCAGGGAAAAATGGGAAATGAAAACTGGAAAAAATAAAGCACAAGTAGCAAAAGATGCAAGCTGTTTGGTTCTGATTAAGTTGATTGGTCACGTGAAAACAATAATAAAAAAAAAACCTGTAATATTCTATATGACAGGAGATAGGAATAAAAATATGATATTATCTTTTAAACAATTTGGATGGGAATTTTCCTTTCTTCCTTTTTCTGTTGCTTTCTTTGGATATAAAGAGCGAGACAGATTTAAATTTTTATAGAGTTATAGGTGCAGGAAATCTTTTTATTATTTTTTTTATTTTAATCATTTATTTTATTAATTTTTCAATAATCATGTTTTTTTATTCTTAATTTGTATCTTTATTTCATTCTTTCAGCCAACTTTTTTGATAAATGCATCAATTTTGGATGATAAACTTATAAGATGCTGACATATGGTATTTTTTTCAAAAAAAAAATTCTGAAAAAAATTTTAAAAAATCATTAAAAAAATTTCAAAATCCCTTATTTTTCTCTACTTTTAGATATAGAAATAAATAAATAATTTTATCTGTCAGAATTTTTTTCTTTTTTGCTTTCACTCAAATTCTGAAAAAAAAAATCCTAAAATGCTTTTTATCCGCCTTTTGCTTTTATTCTTATGTTATGAAAAAAATTCATAAATTTCTTTTTTGGGTTTGGATTTGAAATGAGTTTTCATAATAAATTTATGAAATAACTAAAAAAAATTTCTTATAGTCTTTCCTCTACATAAAAATAATTACAAAACCCTAAAATGTCTTTCTTTTTCATTGCTCTTTGCTTTTATTCTTATGTTATGATAAAAATTTCATTTTTTTTTTGTTTGGATTTGAAATAAATTTTCATGATAAATTTATGAAATAACTAAAAAAAATTTCTTATATTCTTTCCGCTACATAAAAATAATTACAAAACCCTAAAATGTCTTTCTTTTTCATTGCTTTTTGCTTTTATTCTTATGTTATGATAAAAATTTCATATTTTTTTTTGTTTGGATTTGAAATAAATTTTCATTATAAATTTTTGAAATAAATAAAAAATTTGTTTTAGTTCTTTCCTATTCATAAAATTTTTTCTTTTGTTGTTTGAATTTGAGAGAAAAAAAAACGAGGGATTAAATTAATTATCTATTTTTGTATATAAAGGTAGAAAAAAATGGGGCATTTCAAGTTTTTTTTTTCAGAATTTTTTTTTTTAAATATCACGTTTCAGCATCATGTGAGTTTGTCATCGAAAATTGATGTAGTTCTTAAAAAATTTAATTATAGGGACGAAATTGAGATACAAATTAAGAGTGAAGTGACACCATTAAGACAAATAAAATAGTTGAGGGACATGCTAGGTCTATAACCCAATTTTTATATATCCAACTACGGTTAATCTTATCCAATTTTTTTTATATAGTTTTCATAAATTAATTGGAAATTTTCTAGAGTTCATGATTTCAATCAGATCTATAGGAATTCGAACAAGTTAATATTTATTGTTTAAAAAACTATCTCAATAAAAAGAAATAACTATTGAGAGAAGCTAAAAAAATCATGATTTTATTTTTCAAAGACCAAGCAACAAGGGAATGGCTGAGGAAGAGGGGGAGACGAACAAAAGATACAACAACTCGTTCTTCTCCTTTATTTATTAATTAATTAATTTCTAAAAGACAAAAACAAAAATCTAAAAGAAATGGGAAGTAGTGGTACTTTGACCTCACATGCCCATTTAAAAGTACAAAGCCAATCAGATTTCACGTGAGGCTAAGGTGGCTCCTTATAGGTGGGTGATGCTGTCTTCCCTCCTCTCTCTCTCACTCTCTCTCTCGTCAAGCTGAGCCACTTGAATTGAATAACATAAGAGTTTGGAGGGCCATATGATTGGCTGGCTTGGAATTAAGGCTGTTCCTCATTTTCACATCCAACTAAACTAACTGTCGGTGGTGGCTCATCCTTCATCAACAATAATCTTGCAATTTAGACCTTGATGATATTTTTTTAAAAAAGGAAATTGAACATAAGTTTTTTTTTTAATCTACATAAATGGATATACATATATACGTAAGAAACTATGAGAAAATATAAAAAGGAGTAAATATGAAACAATTACTATCATATGTTATTCTATAAGATCTTATAATAGCTTGTTTGTAAATTATTATATGAATTTATTTATGACTTTTTAAATAAATTTTTTTGCATATATATATATATAACATTTTATATTATTATTTTTTCAGAAATATGGACAGTATTTATTAGATGGAAAAAAAATGACAAGATGGGACAATACAACCTAACCTCAAATTGTAAGGGACAAGAAAGTCTAACCCTAAAGAATGCATAACAAATGTATTATATACAAAAATTATATAGACCCATTCAGTCATGTCTATAAGCAATGATTATCTCTAAAGGTAATTCGTGGTAATGATTAAAAGTTCTAAATTTTGTATTATTATATGCTAAATTAGCTAATCTATCGGTTATTATATTACTGTTCCCATCAAATATGTGAGAAAGAGTTACTCGCTAATAACCTCGCGGTAATGTCGAAGTTGTTGAGTAAATTTTCAAAACCAATGAGATTTATTCGTAAGAGCCTATATTGCTACCATTGAGTATAATTCCATCCTCACTTGTCGCAACAATAATGCATGGCATATAATAAGTCCATCTCGTAATGCATATATTTCTCCATGCAAACTAGAACCTAGCCCATGAAAATTAGAGAAACATGTAATTACAATATCGTTACGGGATCTAATAATATCACCTCATGTACATAAGTCATCCCTTGCTAACTCATCCATATTCGAACTTAATCGAATCCACGGGAAGGGGATCTATCTAAGCCAAACTCCTTTCTTTACTGGGACTTTAAGAATCGATAGCCTAAGTATACCAATCATGAACCGTCCATGATAAGAAGATTCTTGTTTAGGGGTACGGATCAAGCATATATCCGAAAGCATTGACATGATATGTGAGGTTATCACTTCGAGCATTCATAGAGACATCATCATGTCTTGCCCGATAGCTATTTTTCCATAACTTTCATAACACATAAAAACAAGTTATTATCTCACACATTCCTATCCGAGTTCTAGCCGAACACAACCATATTTTCAAAAATAGAATCAACTTAATTAAACTCGGCTCATTTATAATGCTAATTTTAAAAGAGTACTAATGTTGGGCAAACAAATAACTTATTCAAAATTCTCATTAAAACATATGCAATACTTTCTTTCTTTTTTTCATATAAAAAAAATTATTTACACTTTGTGAAGTTTACATTTTACCATTTATCAATTGACGTATCTATTTGTGTGAAATTAATATGAAAAAATTATTCACATTTTTTTTATATAAAAATAAGCAAACTTGAATTGGTTATCAATCTTAATAAATAAACACATGCTAATAAAATTTCAAGTCAATTAGAGAAAAAAATCTTGAGTATATAGTTCAATTTGTTCTTATATAATTGACAAAATTATGCTTTTTCATGCTAACATTAATTTTTTTTTAAATAAAGATTTTAACTTAAAAAAAATTATATTCGTGTACAAATCGATGGTACTTGTCTAATGAAAAATATAATTATATCCATTTTGATAAAAAAAAATGATAGAAGGATATATTGGAAAATTATATGTTATACGGGAACATAATAGGTATAATTAAAAACATAAGAATAAATGAAAGACTTGACCTATTATATCAAGATAGATTGAACCATTTACCCAAATTTCTTATTTCAAGGAGAAATGCATATATAAAAAGAAAAAATCATGGTTGGGAAGGTTAGAGTATCCGTTTGGCATGACTCGTGACTTTGAACCATAATCTAAAAGTTGTTTTTCGAAATAACTTATGGTAGAAATGAGTTAAAATGACTATAAAAGTTGTTTTTCTATACCTATTCCGCCTCATTTCCAATAGCTTTATTCACCTTTTCTAACCTTTTAGCCACCACCAAGTCTTGAGGCATAACAACTCCTTCATCATTGAAGGCTCTTATTAGGGATTCCTCTATTTCCTTTAACCTACCCTTCATCTCAACAAGAAGGACTACGCATTCTCATCTTTTTCACGAAGGGATGCTCAATAGCTCTAGAATAGTCCATTAGCCTTAAAAATCTTTTTGTTTTTAACTTTCCACCTACAAAGGTTATATGCCTACATTTAAAAGGCCTTGTAAGTGAAATTGAGTATCTAATGAATAAAATTGGAAGTCAAAGGAAAAGATAACATATTGACGACAAAAATCAACAACATATTGTCATTCATTTAATGGACATGAAATTATTTTTCCAAGATTATATATCATCCAAAAACATAAAAAAATCCTCAAACACACGAAAATACTTCTTCCTTCTTTCATTTATTGGGTAAGAACATTTTTAAATAGATCATTTCTTATATGGAGTTACTCTTCTAACAAAGAAAGTGGTATGGCATCGACGAAGCCAATGCCTAATCTACTAGTATAAATCTCACCATTTTTCTTTCCTAAATGCCTCGTGGCACGAGGAGTTTCTCTAATTAGGGCATAACCTCGGTATTTGGTATAACTACTAAAGCCATAGCTTGTTTAGTACGAGCTAAGCCACAAACTAAGAAGTAGGTTGAGCCTTGCTTGATATATTGTGATACTTCCCACATTTGGAGTAGTGGACTTGATTTTTTACCTCTTAAGTAGATAAACCTTAGCTCCACTTACTTCTATTCTTTTTATCCCTTTATATATCTTTTCTAGGATAGACGAGTGAGGTATAGAAAAAGAACTTAGTTAATGAAGCTTTCTTAGGATGTTGGGAGAAACATTTATATAAGACTATGATCCCTATCCCTTAGGTAATTTGTCACGTGGCACAAGAATAAATTTTTTAACCAAGAGAATACCCTCTTTATAAGGGGCTTGAAACTTTTTTTCAAATATTCTTAGCTTAATTTCCTCTTCGGACACTCTTTCAACTACAAAAAAAGGAAAATGAAGTTATCATACTTGTAAAAATAAAAAATTCTTTGAAAAAGACTAAGCTTGGCCTATCTACCCCTCAAGATGTAGGTCAAAAAAGATCTTTTAGTGAGAAGATTGACTCAATATCTATTTTTCTTTGCTCCTTACCCTTTTTCAAACGTTTTAGTCATACTATAAAGGAATAACGTTAAAGTCATCATGAAATTTTCTTCAAACAAAGGCACATCATTATACTTCTCGACCTCTACTCGGAGGAATGTATCCGTATACCTTACCATAAACCACTCTTCTCTCTAATATCTAATGAAGTCAAATTTGCCAACAAACACTCCTCTTAGCAAGGCTAAACTCTTCAACAAAAAAGTATAAAGCCACATTATCCCCTTCGTTTCTTATGAGCTCTTAAAAAGAAGAAAACAATATATAAATATCCTAAAGGTGGGAGAGACATTGAACTGCCTATAAAAGTTCTCGAAGCAACCATAACGAGTCCACCTATTTTAGTGAAGCGGACTCATGCATAAACCATAGTGTTGAAATACTTTTGCCATAAAACTAAATGGAGGGAAAGTGTAATTATAAGTAAAAATGCATATAAGAACAATTATTTTTGGGTTCCTCCTCTTATGCGCAAATGTTTGATTTTCCTAGATAAAATATAGTTATCAAAATGATAGAAAAATAAATGACTTACATCTACATTAATTGAAAAAGATTAAAAATAAGACAAGTTAGATGAGCTTCTAATCATCCCAATAACTACTAGCACTTTTCTAGAAAGCCTAACTGTTAAAATAATCTTTTTAAAGCATGTTTTCCAATATTTAAAAGACTAATGATTTACTTAGATGACACATATCATCACATTACTTCTAAACTCCAATTGGGATCACATTTCGGATATAACTAAGCTGGTAAACAAGCTATCTACAATCATCCTCGTAGTTGTACGAGCATAGTCCCACCAACTTAAAGGATAAAAGGTACATGTATTTAACAAAGATATCTCTTCGAATTACTCTTGTCTAATATGCACCAACCATGATGTTAAAAAAGTCATCAAACAATGATCTATTGCCATCAAGAACTCTTGTCTCTCAAGTTAACATCAAAAGTTATTGGCAACATAAAAATGATTGTCTTACTCTCTTCTCCATGCAAATTAATCAAGCTCTTAGTTGTATAAATGACCAAGAGATTAGAGGTTAAAGGTTTTACTCTCTCAATCCTATTACTACTATTCATAATTTTTTATACACCTACATGACTACATCACAACCTAATTAGGTTTACTTTCGTCGTTGTAGCTGACTTAGTCATCGAAGTCTTCTAATGCACTGAGAGACTTATTCACGTAAGTACTTATAAGCTATTGGATTGCCATCTCCCATCAATCACCATTATTACTTTAGTCATAAAAAAGAGAAAAGCTGATGGCCAATTATGATTTTGAGGTCCATAACCTCGTCAACCTCTCTTCAAAATCTTAAATTACTTTAATCACCCATATTGTGTTGTTTGGTGTTTTTTTTTTCTCTTTTTGCATAAGGTGTATTATCATGACATCCATATATGTTTGGAAGTATCCCATTTGACATAATTATAACATAGCCTAAGCCTAGAAATGGTTGTGACACCTTTAAATTTTGACAAAGTTTTTATTTTAGTTCTACGTTTTTTAGGTTTTTAAATATATCCTTATTTCATAAAAAATATGTAATCTATCTTCCTTGGAATTATTTTATTATTCAATAACTTTTTTTTGAAATGCATCATAATATTTTATATTGGCATTTTTGCGTTTAAAATTCTAGTTCTATAAATTTCCATGACACCTACATTAATACCGAAGTTAAGAATATCTCCCAACAATAGAGCCACACACGGTGGTGGATCTAAGAATTTTTTAGTTGAGGCAATCAATAATCATCATATATTAAAAAATATATATATCTTAAAAGTATTTTTGAAAGAATATTAAATAAATAAAGATAATACATAATTAAAGAAACTGAGAACAAATAAGTGAAGATTTTTTTTTCACAACTATATACAATGGCTTCTAATATTTGAAAATGTTGCTCGATAATTCAATTATTATATGATACTTTAGAATAAATTTATATACAAATAAATAAATAAATATTAAAGTATAAAATATGTATAAATAAACAAGCACATTTGACATTTGTACTTGAAATAAAGCATGTTAGAAAAACCAATATAAAAATACAAAAAGGAAAAATGTACCTTTTTTTTTAATTCGTTAAATAGGGAAAGACTAAGCGCACTTGTTAAGCATTATCTTTTGCATTTATTAAACTCCATTTATTGTTTGACATATATTGAAAAAAATAAAAATCAAATATTTAAATAAAATAAATGATATTTATTAAGTTAATTAAATAAGTGCTACTATTGCAATAGTTTTAAGTGGTTACTATAAACTAAAAATAAATAAATTATGATTGATTAGAAGTATTAAATGGTTTTTAATAAGTGTCTTAAGGAACCCATTAACCGGATTCAACTAAAAATTTTGTCGAAAAAAATAAATTGAGGAAAGATGAGATGAGAAAGGAAAATTTGTGAGTAAGAAATCAAAAGAATACATATTATAGAAATGAATTTTATTTAAAGGCCACTCTATATTTTTCAAATAGTTAATCACATTTTCATTTTACCAAATTATCAATTTTTTTCTAATCAAATGTGTACCTTTTAATCTTCGTCGTTTGAGCAATTCAAGTTATAATCTTTTTTTAATCAATTGTCTTTGTTAAGTTTCAGTCAATTTTTTTTTTTTTGTTATTTGCACATGTAGCTCGTTAATAAGACTCATTTTACATGTGACAATAATGTGACGACTACGAGTGAGACACGTGATCGCGACGCGTAAATGACATGAAAAATTAAAAAAAAAACTAAGAAAAAACCTATTCCTCTTGCCAAAGAAAATTGTTGCCAACCACCACCATTATCGTTGCCCATCCCCGACGTTAGTCACCCTATTGCCTCCAAGCAAACCTCAAACTTAATTGCCGCTCAAACCACCATTTGTAGCCACACGAGCCTCGGTCCTAAAATAACTCGTTCATCCTATAGCCACCGTTAGCCACCATCCGGTCTTCCTCTTCGCCATTAACGACCATTGTTACTCTCTCTCCAAGAACGAGTCTAACTTTTACCAATCAAATCTCCACAGCGAGTCTAACCTCCAACATCTAAACCTTCGTCAATCCTACCTCTAACAACCATACCTTTACAATAGCCCGACATCCGACAACCACCTCCAAAGACTCAAGACCACAACAATTTCCAAATCAATGAACACAATAAGCTCCCTAGGTTAATGATGATGCTAAAAGGGAGATCGATGATGAGGAGTGGTTTAGCTAGTATAGGAGAGGAATTGTGAGCATGAACAGGAAAATGTAGAAATTGTTGTAGTGATAGTTCCTAGTAGTGGTTTATGGTGGGGATTTATGGTAATCGTAGTTTGCTAGAAGCAATGGGGTGACTTACAACGATGGTGGTGGTTAGCCACAACAAGCTTTGTTGGTAGTAATGAATTGGCTTTTTCTTTGGCGGGAAGATGAGAATTTTTCTTAGGTTTTCTTTTTAATTTTCCATATGATTTACATGTGGTAGCCACATGTCTAACATGTGGCTACCACGTCATTTCTATTTGTAAAACAAGTCTTGTTAATGAGTCATGTGTGTAAATAAGAAAAAAAAATTGATAAAAATTTAATAGAGACACTTGATTAGAAAAAAATTACAACTTAAATTATTCAAACAACAAAGATTAAAGAGGACACACTTGATAAAAAAAATTTGACAATTTTATAAACTAAAAATGTGGCTAACTCTTTTTCAAAAGGTCACTCTATATTTTATCGAAGTTTGGGTTTACCGTACAAATCTCTTGATAGAAACACTAATTAGTGCAAAGAAACTAGGCTAATTCATTTGGAAATAGAATGCACAAGGGAAAGAAAATTAAATTAGAAGGATCATTTATATTTTTAAAATTTTTAATGTTATCAAGTTAGAAAACTTAGTTATAGAGTAATTAAATTCTGGCTAAATTTACTATACTATCAATATCTTTTTCCAATTCAATGGTGTAAATTAACGAGGGTGATTATTTGATTTTTGATATTTTGATTTTAGTTTTCGGTTAACTAAACTTGTAAAAATAAAAAACAAACTCAAAGTGAATTACTATTAGATTTTTTGGTTTTCTCTTTCAGTTTTTTTGATTTAAACCAATTTTTTTTTAAATAATATAAATAGAATAAAAACATTACCAATCTATCATATATCTATAATAATATTAAAGTGTTGATTTTTAGTTTATTTATATTATTTTGAAATTGGAAAAAAAATCAAAAATAAAAATCGGTTTCGTTTAAACAAAACCAACAAATTCAAAAACTGAATGTGAACAGAAAAATAAAAATTAATTCACTTTTTGTTTTTTTAAAAATCGAGTTAAAAACTGATATTTCAGGTAAGTTCAATTTGATTTAAATCAAATAATGATCACCCTTAATTAACACCATATTCTAAAAGCTGAATCCGCTCCTGGCCCAGAAACTATAGTGGCACAACTCGAAAATATGTAATTTAGTGCTGAACAAAGCCAACCTACTAACCTGCCTTGTTTGATTTGAAAACACTTAGGTATCGACTACCTTTACCTTATGCTTTGTTGTTATATTAACATTTTTTTTCCTTTTCTTTTGTAACAGAGGACAAATGGCACTGCTTTTACTTGAAATTTTAGTTTGAGTTAATAAAAATATAATGGTATGGTAATAACTATATTTTACATCAATTAGTCATTTCATAGATACAGAAAGATTATATAAATTTTTAAAGTAAGATATCATTCTTTTTGGTTAGAGCCATTTATTTTATAAACAAAAATAAATATATCATACATTTAAATGGTAGCTTCTATGATCCTTTCCCATCTTAAAAACGTACAAAAAAAGAAAACAAAATTACAATAGCATAAGAAGAAACATCTCGAAGAAAATCTATTTCTATATCCAGCCTAAAATCTAGAGATTTTGTTTAGAAAGAAAATCCCAAGATTTAGTTGCACCATTGATAAGTATACAAAGAAATCTTTTAATTCCATGAACAAACGAATATAATAAATATTTCTTTTCATATTAGACAAGCCAATTAATTTTTTTTTTATCAACTCCCTTATTATTTACCACATTTGTTCTGTTTGTTTTTGAAAAGAAAAATAACTTCTATGTAAATTATTTTTCATCCAAACAAGAAACGTTGTGTGCAAATCAAGATATATCTCGTTTTATAAATTTTTAGTCAAAAAAGAAAAAAAAAGTCTCATTTTCATTGTCAGTGCTTCAGAGTGCAGTGTCAGCATCGAGCATCATTGGATCTCTCAAACAGTAACCTTAGTACAACTTACTGAGTGGCAAAAAAAAAAAACCGTAAATAATTAAAACTTTAAGCCCAATTCATAATCCTGCTCTGAAAAACAGTACAAATTTGTAAAATCCAAACAACCGAAGAGACCCACCAATCGACTGATAGAGTAATTTATAAATTAGTCGCTTTATTTTCTAAAAATAGATTAATTACTCATTTATTTTAAAAAAATTAATTATTTAATATTTTGATTAGTCTTGATAAGTGTAATTTAATATTATTTTATTTTTAAAAATATCATATTTTTTCATAATTTTTTTATATTTTTTTCATTTTTTATTTAAAAAAAATTAAAAAAAAATTACAAGAAAATTTAAATATGTAGAGACTAAATAACTACTGTTTAAAGTAAAAAAATTAATTAATTCATTTGTCAAAGAAAGTACTAATTTATAATTCACTCCGACCGATAAAAATCCAGTAAGGACTGGTTAGCCAAGTGGAGAAAGGGGGATAATGGCGTCCTCGTAATATTCGAACAAAGCAAGGGCTTTTTTGTGATCTCGCACTTTCTGAAGAATTTTTTTTGCAGACTGTTAAAAGAACCAAGGCAGAAGAGAATAGGAAACAGATACAGAAAGAGATCTGACTGAGTTCGTGACCGAGTTAGGGTCGCGTCAAGGTACTGAGTTAACACTGATTTCAAGAGTCGAACCTGGCCGTTAGATCGCTCCAATATCAAACGTCCGGTTCTTCTTATCTGTTTCTCTCTCTCGCTTCCTAGCTCACTCTTCGTTTTTGAAAGAATCTGAAGCAAAAAATTCAAAGAAGCGATCGGGTTGGGTTGGGTTTGCGGTTCTAATTCTGTTGTGGTTCGAAATTTTCAGGTAATTATACTCGTGGGTGTGAAAAGAGTGTAGCTTTACTGTTTGGTTACTGGGAAAATGAAGGAAAAGAAATAAGACTTGATTTTTAGGTTTTTTTCATTTTTTTTTTTTTTTGGGAAGTGAAAAGAAAATTTAGTTAGTTAAAAACGGTTATATATTTGATTGGCTGTGTTAGGTTTTAGTTTTTCACTAAGGAAAAGAAAAATAAATATTTTTGTTTTTGTGCCAAATAGTTGGTATCCAAACACATAGAATAGTGATCTTTCACGTGTAGCAAAACTTTTAGTTGGTAACCTAGAAATTTTTTAGTTAAATGCGAGGTCTAATTGCTTTCTTTTAAATTATTTCAGATTTGAGCTTTGTGAAAGATTGATTGCAGTATAATGGAGCTTTATTGAAGTGGGATTCATTGGCTTTTCTTTTCTTTTTTTTTTCCGGGAAGCTGAGAGAATGGAAGACATTTGGGCAAGAAAAATGAGCTAGGATTATCTTGTGTTAAAAATTTTGATAATCTTGCCGATCTCTTTCAATTGGGTTTATTTTGGTTCTCCTTAAGGAGTTGCAAGTTTATTGCGGACAAGAAGAGGGTTCAACTGTGTAAACCCTAACCGTGCTGGGTGAAGTGAAACCCTAGAATTTTTGGAAGAGAAATAGAGATTGAAATGGAACAAACTTTATAGTGTAGAGATTGAAAGAGAAATAGAACAGGAGAGAAAGCCCAAATGGAAGATTTGTCCAAGTATGCCCATAGTCCTGCCCATTTAGCAGTTGCACGACGAGATCATGCTAACCTTAGGCGAATTCTCTCAGCCCTCCCACGGCTTGCCAAGGCTGGTGAAGTAAATACTGAAGAAGAATCTCTTGCTGCCGAGCAACAGGCGGATTCTGTCTCGGCTGTCATTGACCGGCGGGATGTTCCTGGCAGAGAGACTCCTCTGCATCTTGCTGTCAAGCTGCGGGATCCAACCTCTGCTGATATTTTAATGGCAGCCGGTGCTGATTGGAGTCTGCAGAATGAGAATGGCTGGAGTGCTCTTCAAGAAGCAGTTTGCACAAGAGAGGAGTCAATTGCCATGATCATTGCTCGGCATTACCAGCCTCTTGCTTGGGCCAAATGGAGCCGTAGGCTTCCACGGATTGTAGCTTCGGCAGCACGTATTCGTGATTTTTACATGGAAATCACTTTTCATTTTGAGAGTTCTGTCATCCCATTTATTGGTCGTATTGCCCCATCAGATACTTACCGCATTTGGAAGCGTGGTTCTAACCTCCGTGCTGATATGACCCTTGCTGGCTTTGATGGTTTTCGCATTCAGAGGTCAGATCAAACATTTCTATTTCTGGGGGAGGGATACACTTCAGAGGATGGCAATATGTCTTTGGCTCCGGGTTCTTTGGTTGTTCTTGCTCATAAGGAAAAAGAGGTTACAAATGCTTTGGAGGGGGCTGGTGCCCAACCAACTGAAGCGGAAGTTGCCCATGAAGTGGCTTTGATGTCTCAAACTAATATGTATAGGCCAGGCATTGATGTTACTCAGGCAGAGCTTGTTCCGCATTTGAATTGGAGGCGGCAAGAGAGGACCGAAATGGTTGGAAATTGGAAGGCCAAAGTTTATGACATGCTTCATGTGATGGTCAGTGTGAAGTCAAGACGGGTTCCTGGCGCTATGACTGATGAAGAGCTTTTTTCAGTGGATGATGAAGAAAGATTAGGAAATGCTGCTGAAAATGATGAGTTTGATGATGTGTTGACTGCAGACGAGAGGAAACAGTTGGATTCTGCACTTCGTATGGGAAACCCAGATGGTGCTGGTGATGATGAGGAACCTGGTGTTGCTGAGTACCAAGAAAATGGCTCAGGAGGTATCTATGAAAATGGTGACTCTAATGGCGCCATTAAGGAGAAGAAGAGTTGGTTTGGCTGGAAGAACAAAGGTTCAAAGAACACTAATGATGATCCCGAAGATTCAAAAATTTTGAAAAAATTTTCAAAATTGGCACCAGAAGGTGGCACCCAGAAATCTGTTGATCATCAAAAATCATCTGAATCTGCTAGGGAGGATATGGGGGATGCCAAGAGAGGAAAAGATAAAAGCAGCAAGAAAAAGAAGAAGAAAGGACCCAGTAGTGAATCTAAGCATGAGAGTGAGTACAAGAAGGGATTGAGACCTGTCTTGTGGCTCACACCAGATTTTCCCTTGAAAACTGAGGAGCTCCTGCCTTTACTTGACATATTAGCCAACAAAGTCAAGGCTATTAGGAGACTCAGAGAGCTTTTGACAACAAAACTTCCTCTGGGAACATTTCCTGTCAAGGTAAATCAGAGTCCTCCGATTTCTTTTCTTGCATTATTTAATTGGTTGCACAGCCTGCTCTGTCATTTATATCTTAGTTTGGTCAATTTACGTTTTCTCCTCCAATATTTGTTTATGTTTTTTTTTATGCGTTCATCATGATACTAAGCAAATTAGCTTTTGTTTCAGATAGTACAAGGCTTTCTTTTATTCATGGTGCTTTCTTTCTTCCTTTTCCTTTTGTAAGGAAGGAGGAGATGATTAGTGCGAATTTTGGGCCACAGGTTTCAAAGCTTCTTGGTTGCAATCTGCTCTTTTGTTCTGGGGTTCAACAGGAATAGGACTAAACCATTGTTCAATAACTCAATTGTTGGAATGTTTCAAATGGGCATGGCATTCCTTTTGTGGAAAATTTTAGTAATGGATAACCACTTTTGGCTCACAGAAAAAAACCTCTCATGGTTTTCCTTCAAGCATGTTGGACATTTCTCCATGCTTTAACTTCTCTTTATTGGCGTATCTGGTTTAATATTATGCCAAGCTCAATCATGTTACTACATTGGGCCAGAGTGATTTAAGCAATATTGACTACAGGCACCTTTCAGGAAAGCCTATTCTTTGTGAAAAGAAATATGTGCTATTACTTGTGGCTCGAGGCCATGGAAGTAATAGTAGACTATCATGACGAACCTTTTTTTTTATACATATATATATATATATATATTTACGGGATAATAAGAAGACTTTTAGGAGAGTTGAGTTAGATTGTACTCTGTTAAGATTTTAGATATTATAGAGGAAAGTTGGAACTAGCTGACATGATAGAGATCAAAGCTACAATTGGTTGAATTAGTTCTTTAGATTATGAAATCAGAAAATAGATGTGGATAGTTTTGTTATTTAAGTAATCCAATAATCATTTGGCAGTATTTGGCCGTTATAATTGTCCTTGTTATTGCTTCCTGTCTCATCTCCTTGATTCAGGAGTGCGTCTAGTGCTCTTACTAAGTAGGGGATTGGCTTTTATCCATTCTTGTTTGAAGTTTTTGTTAATTGTCAATTAATATATTGTTTCCTTTGATTTCTCATTAAAAAGAGTGAGAAGTTCTATCAGTTAAGACTTTTTATGGCCCTGTTTTTTAGTTCATGTTAGTTCTTACTGATTGGTGGTATGACCATTATATTAAAATTTATCAACAATTATGTTGTTCTCATTGATGCATCATGCATATATCTTTTTAATGCATAATAAAATCTCTTTTTAGGTGCTTTTTTTCAGAAAGTTTGCAAACAGTAAGAAAGTCAAGAGCTTTGGTCGAAGATGGGTCATTATGCTGTCTTTGACGTTTCAGAAATCAGTTTTTGTCCTCTTATTTCTGATTTGGACATTCCTTTTGCCTGATTTATCTATTGGTGCTTTACTTTCCATTGATTGAAAGTCTGTTGTTCTCATGTTTATTTTAGTCCCTGTCTTATCAAAAAACCACAAGCTGTATGCAGAAGGATGAAGTTGGTACTTAAGCTTGTGGTAATATAATGGTGCCTTCCACATCAAGAGGTCACGGGTTCAAATCCTAACAGACTAATTCTACTAGGAGTCTTGGGTGTGTGAGTTAAAAAAAAATATTTAAAAAAAATAAGAAAAAAAAATGGTGCCTTCCACATGTTAGCTGATATTTACTGGGCTTTGATACCTGTGTATCAAGTTGTTGATGGTAAATGTTCAAGTCTAAAAGTACAGAAGATCTTATGAGACACGGGTTTATGATTTATAATTGATGGCTAACTAATAGAATGGCTCTGAAATAATTTACTTTGGAATTTTTTTTCCTTTTTGGATTTTGAACTTCATTGAACCGATGTGATGTGAATTCTATCTGAAAGAAATCAGTGCATGCAGTAAATGAATAGATCCATACCTTTTGCATTCAAAATTCAACTGTCAAGTACATGATCAATATTTTTCTCTCTTTACTGCAGGTTGCCATCCCTATCGTCCCAACTATTCGGGTGCTTATTACTTTCACAAAATTTGAGGAGCTACAGCCATCAGAAGAATTCTCAACACCTCTCTCCAGCCCAGCGCATTTCCAGGATGCAAAGTCCAAGGAATCTGAAGGGGCTTCGTCATGGATTTCATGGATGAGAGGGAGTCGAGGGGGCAATCAAGTGATAGTGATAGTCACCGGTACAAGGATGAGATTGACCCTTTCCTCATACCATCAGACTATACCTGGGTTGATGCCAATGAGAAGAAACGCCGCATGAAAGCCAAGAAAGCCAAGAACAAGAAACACAGGAAACAGGGTGCAACCAGAGGTGATGATGGACGGGCACATCATTTGAGTGAAGATGTGGAAGAATAATTGGACCAAGTAGTCCAAGGGACTTTGCCACTTCAAAATCCTTTGCAAAACAGAAAGGGGAGGTGAGGCTCTGCTTGCACATACAAGGGACGTGACTAATCTTTGCTTGAATGAAGCAGTGGATGATTTACAGGATGTTTGTTAGGTGATTACTTCATCAGGAAGACTGTTTTCTTCTTCTGTTGTTTTATTATGTGATGTGAAACTGGAGAGCAACAAAATCTCCCTCTTCCCCTTTAATAGCTCACTTTCATTCCTTCACCCTTTTTTTTTTAAGACGTCAATCGCTGTATCTAAGCCTTTGCTTATCAAGTCTACATTTTTGTGATTGCCATTCTTTCCCCCTGGTTAACTTGACAATTTCTTAAAGCTATAGCAATTTTTGACTTTTATGAGATGTTTAAGACAAGAAGTTGCATTGCTATGTTTGAAAAACCAGCGGCTGCATGTGACTTGGATTTTGAACATCAACATTCTGTATGCAATATTTACAAGCAAACTCTTTCTGGTAGTTGATTCACATGCCCAAGAAGTGTTGAAGCAAATTATCCGTATCTATTATGTGCCTATGAACCTGACTTGGGGGAGATTTATTAGCCAGGAATAGTTTAAAGTAACTTGGGCTTGCTAGACAATTGCATCATGCTATTTACAGCTCGGACTTTGGAGGGAGCTAAAAGAAGAAAGAAACAGGCATGTGAGCCCATTCTCTCATCTCATTTTGCAGTAAGGTTTCTTCCATTTTTCCGTGAATGTACTGAAATAATTCAGAACTCTTGAATTTTTCTAAAAAGATTATAGCTGACGGACACATCGTGGCTTGGTGACAAACTTAAGCTTCTGCACAAGGATATTTAATTTTCTTGTCATGTGTTAGCAACAAATTGCTATATCCAAAAAAAAAAAAACAAATTTACCCAAGTGTAAGTGCATGGTTTCATAAATTTTCAAGTGGTGAAAGGCATTTTGGATACTGTATATGATCACCATCCAATCGAAGGGAGCAAAAGATCGCTACTTGTGGACATAAATTGTTGGTCTCCCTGCTTGATGGTATGACCACAGTCCAAAAAAGTCCCACAAACATCTTTTGAAGGCCACTGGAGAAAGAATGGCGTGAGAGAAGGCAGTTTTGAGTTTAGCTTTCTACATGCGCCAGAATCTCTTCCCTGCCTCAAAGCCAGCACCTTTGGCCGCCATTGGCAGACAAAACAGTTTTAGCCTGTAGGTCCCAGGACTGCTGCAGCCTGAAGGAATCTAAATTTGCTCAAGCAGTCCAAGAATTCTGGGTTTCAACTTTTTTAAGTGACATATCGATGCCCTAAACGACGCATAATTCAGATTCATCTAGTGTTTGCCTCGTTATGATAATTGAAATACTTGTGGTTTAAGGATTGTTTAAGATAGATTTGTCTCTTTCCCTTGAATTAGTCTGTTTGTGCAAGAGTTAATTGAAATGCAGAAATTAGGGTCCTTATTTTCAAACAAATATATCATTTCATTACCTACTATTTGTACATTAAGAGAATGTACAAGTGGAACATTATGGTGCAAAAATTAAAACTCATTTACAGATGAAATATTGCTGACCCTCGTTCTATTTTTACTTACAAATCCACTTCGGCAAATAATATCTACCAGAACCGATCTTTGTTAACGCTCAAGTAACCAGCCATTACTTTCCCTCCAGTATTCCTCATACCATCTATGAGAAAGCACCAGGTTGAACCCAGTGCTCCGACGAAAAAGTCGGCCTCTGTTGCCATCAAGAAATTGACAAGGGGATAATCTGTACTGGTTTGCCTGCCCAGACTTGCCTCATATGTGGCCATTGTCATGTTCCCAACTTGGCGTGTTACATTCGTGTAGTAGAAATTCCAATTCGTGTATAGCTTTGACTTATTGATAACTTCCTGAAAAATATATTGGATCGTTGACAATAATAAGAAAAATGCGTGAAAGTAAGTGAATATGGATGAAAAGAAAATACAAAAAAGAAGAAGAAGCAAGTATCAGGCTCTAACCTGCATTTCAGTTGATAGCCAAATGCTCTTAAGGTGCGGAAAACGCTGTCTGATGCGGTCAGCAAGATGCATGTAACCTTCAAACTCAACTACCTTCATTTCACATGCCTTGTCTCCCATTCTTACATGCATGCTCAACAATGGCCTAGGAATCCATGGCCTATAATTGGCCCATACAAATTCTTCAATATCTGACCTTCTCTTGTTCCCAAAATCCTGTTAGAAGAGGGTCACTGTGAGAATCATTTGGAAAAGTAGTTCATTGCAGGTCTCGTTAGTAAAGATCTAAAAATGCAGCTAATTCGAGTTCAAGACTTCAGATTAATCTACTGTGTAAAAGATTAATGCACAAGATTAAAGATCAACAAAACCTCTGGCCATTCTCTGCCAAGACTTGTAAGAACCATCTTTGCAGCTTCCTTCCCAAAAGCAGCATTTCGGGCAACATTCATCAAGCCGCACATGTACTGAGTTTGAAATCTCATTAAGTAGCGTATTGCCTGATGAAAATTAAATAATGAACCAATTACAAACTCTAAAAAATAAAAAAAATGTATTAATATAACGTTAATTGAGTGAGAGAGATGCTTGTCCACAACAGAAAGAGATTGTGCTGAAACTCCTGCTAAAACGTTAGGGAAGAATGAAAGATACAAATGGCATGTTGGGTGAGGTGCCAGAACATGGGATCCCAGAGGCTTTAAATCTACAATAGTATCCTAGTAATGCATGAGCAAGACGCCACATACAAGAAGTTGCTCACTGCCTGCAGCCTACATCACCCACAAACTCAAGTTTCTATAAAGTTATGCCTAATCATCTCTTACTGATCTTGTTGCATCTGTGTTAATATCATGAACTATTTTCTCTTGACGCAAAGTAGAAAATTTTTTATATAAGTTGAAAATTTGCAGACCTCATGTTAGTGAGATGGAATTTGTAAGATTCCAACTTCCAAGTTTGCCTTTAAATAAGTAAAATTCGAGAAATTATACACTTTATAATCAAGAGAGCTTAAGATAAACATTTCTAAGGAACCGCACCTCCTTTCTAGATAAAATTTAATTTGTACCTGTGCTCTCCACCACCTGCGATCCATTTTACGATGAAAAGCAACCAAACTCCCATTTATTTCTGTTGTTGGTTGCAAAAAACTCCAAGGTTCATTCCATACCCTGTTTTACAAATAGTGCAATCATTTGGGAATATGGACAACAATTATCTCCAAGGGTTAATTCTAATTACACATGCAATGATCACTTGCCTTGGAGTCCGTCCGGTCCATATTTCTTTTGATGTATAATTGTCTTTTGTAGTTATAATTCTCCTTTCCAATGCTTCTTTACTACCCATTAGCTCAAAAGCACGATCTCGACATTCTTGGGATGTTTCTGGAAAGAAGTAGCAAGACCAACTGGAGCGGAAAGAACCTACAAAAAAAAGATGCCAATGGTTGTTTATTAATAACAACACGGTTTTCTTTGAAGTGTTAGTCTTAAGTTATCTCTAAGGCTTCAGACTAAAGAATGCATTCTTGAAATGTAATACATCAGGTAAAGAAATGAGGTGCTCAGAAGTCATTCAAAGAACCAATGTTTACCCCTTGAGGAGAAATTTACCATTAAATATTGATTGGCCAAGTTCGTAACTTTTGATGCAAGGAACAAGTAACTCATCATAGGAGGTTTTTACACGCCAACATGTCCATTTAATACAACTTGGAATGGATGATAAATTAAAACTGCTATTCATTAATAAGAAAACAATTAGAAGAACAATCAATGAGTTGATTCTTCACTCATACCTTTACAACCGTCATGGTCAGCTCTATTATAGTAGCTGGTGACAAGGACTCTTTTCTCATTGATTGCAATAGCAAGAAGCCCACACATTCCAGCTAGCTGGGCTCCAATACCAAAACCAGGTAACCTCTCCCAGTCAGCAACCAGAAATCTTGTATTAGGATTCCTGCAGTTCTCAGGATGCTGATGGAGCCATATGTCACGCTGCACTTTCCTAGTAAGAGGATAGTTTTCTTCATCCGATCCAGTAATCTAGGAACCAAAATATTAAGTAATGAAGCTAAAACTTGACAAATATTTTTGCATAAAATTATGATGGAAAGAACAGAAAATTTTGAATATAAAAAAATAGGAAGAAAATATTCACAAGACGCACAAATCATGGCCAAAGTGAGGAAAAATCAATGTTCGAAAGTTTTTACCATGATAAAGGCCTGTTTGTTTGACCAGTAACAAAGGCATGCTATACTATTATCTGTGTCCTTAACTGTTTTATATTTAAGGTGGATTTCGAAAGGTAAAATGGAACTAGTATAATCAACCATATTCCAACTCGAAAATTTCTCTTCTTTACTCATCAAATTATCCAACAAATGAAATCTTTAAATTCTCTCCACTTCACCAAGCTCCATCTCTCTCGAACCAAACAGTGTTAAGCAACCATTTTCAGAATTAGGTGTTTGCCAAATGCAACAACAGAATTATTACGTATGCCAAAACATACCCAGGGAGGATAAGCACCTTCAGATATTTCTTGATGCCTAAAGTACCTAAGTTGCTCATTGAGCATCGATGCAGGGTGAGTGTCTAATAATCCCTTCCAAGTTGTCCAAGGAGGGAGGCTCTCATTTTCAGCGCGCTTATCAAGACGTTCATTTACTTGTTCACTCAATTTGCAGTTCTCCAAATGAGGGGCATTTGGCACGGCAGATTTGTTAAGTCCAGCACTTTCCCAGAATGCAATTTCTCCATCTTCTGATTTGGAGAGTAATGCACTCCAAGCTGAATGCAATAATGAAACTCTCTCATCATCAACCCCATTTTTACTTCCCTTTGAATCAACCCACCTCTCCGTAATAATTTCCTTTCTTTTAAGTTTGCAGTCTGCACTTGAAACTGTATCTGCAATTAAATTCATCAAGGTGCTTTTAGGTATAAAATTAAAGCAGTAAGTTACATGTGATCAACAATTCATCAAAACTAATCAACAGCTGCTAAAGCTCAGGGATGCACTTGACAGCGATTGTTTAGAAGAGTAACTACAACAAAATTTAGTTAGATCGCTTCTTCATGAAGAGTAACTCTTGAAGACCATAAATCTTTCCGAAGCATCAAAACTTATCAATCACTACCTCAAAAACATTAGTGTTATTGACCTCAATTCTAAGTGTAGAGAATAAGTGGATGGACTAATTATGTTAAACACTAGTAAAAAGCAATCTAGAAGCTTTGGCCAAAGTCAAGTGGAGAAGTAACCAACAGCTGTATCTAACAAGTCACTTGAAGTTTATGTTGCTTCACACGCACCCTTTGAATATTTTCTGACTTTACTTTTCATGCATGAATTTCTGCCTTATCATCACCAAAACCAATCGCAATTACTCTGATCAACTTTACCATGCAGTTAAGACTTGTAAATTTAGCAGTAAAACTTGTTAAGACCAGAAACTCTGTTTAATGAATCCAAAACCAAGGAAAAATTACTGGAAATTTACAAATAACAGTACCAGAAACAAACAGCAACTGAAGAACAAACAAGGGTAACTTACACTCACTGATAAACCCCGAACTTGAAGAATTCAATGGAGAATTTCCCAGAGAGATGGCTGAAAATGAAATGCCACCAAACTCAAAAGTTCCCAGTGAAGTAAGAGCAGCCAAAAACAAAGAGGTGAGACAAACTCCAGAGAGAAAACCCACCACACAAATTTGACATGGAAATGAGCTACCAATTTGCAAAGCTCTCTGTGACACCACTCTCTCAAGAGATTTCTGGTTAAATGGCTCCATATACATATTTTTTTGTCCAAAACTAGAAAGCCCCCAAGAATACTAGAAACTTTTGCTCCAAATGTATGGCATGCCAACCAACTACTTCCAGCAAATGACTCACATGAAAGGGTACTACTAAACAAAACTTTCCCTGCTCATGTAAATAGCAAGTTTCTTTTTCTTTTTCTTTTTATTTCTTGTACGAGAAAACCTTCTTTCCTTTTTCTTTTTCTTTTTCTTTTTCTGTCAAGAAAACTTGAGTATGGGCTTATAGAAAGTACCACTAAGAAAGAACCAAATTCACAGAGCTGTCCCTTCAAAGTCTCAACCATACATTTTCACAGTTTTCATATAAACTTTTTTCTAAATTTTCTGGTCCACTTCTATGCCCCTTCCAACTGCAAAAAAAAAAAAAAAAAAAAATAAGAACACTGATTTGGATTCACACAAAAATATTTGAAAAACTAAGATTAAAATAAATTTGGGCCAAGAAATAGGCAGTTAACGCAAAAACTTGAAAATATCATTTTGTTGAAAAACTTGGTGGCAGGAATTACAAGACAACAATCAAATGAACCCATGAAGAAGAGAAAAAGCACTGCTTACACTTGGATGATAAAGAAAAAACAGAACAAAATCACCAACAACTGGTCTAAAATCCCATCAGAACACCATGCGCTAAGACACGTGCCATGCTGACATAAAACACTGGTTTAATTACCACAAGATAAACATCCACAGAAATAAACTTACCAGAAAACCCAAGACAGTAAATTCAGTTTTACAAGAACTGGATAAAGACACAAAACTAAATCTGTTACTAAAAAAAAATGTCGAAGAAAAAGCCATTTTTGCCATTAAAAGCCAAAACAGAAAGAAAAGCGAAAGAATTGTCAGAAATGTCATCAGACTGCGATATCAGAAAGAGAGTTACGAAATACATTGGGAAGCTAACCATTAAAACCCAATTTTCAGCTTTGAGTTTCTCAAGAAAAATGACATCCTTTCCTCGCGGACTTAGAGCACACACTTGGTTGTGATTGTGTTATATTTCTGTGTCACCCCTTACCCTTGGCTTCAGTTTCTGCAGCCAGAGTCTCGTGTGGCAGGAGTAGTACCAAACCAAGCTCATGGATTATTTGGGGAGTGGGGTCCATTACAGTGGGACCCACATCAATCAAAGCATGATTAATTATTTGAATTGATTGACAGTGGAAGAGGGTACTAGGTGTTGAATGCCCTTCACAGCTGCTTGATGTGGATCATATATTCATTCAACTCTGTGGTGATTGAGTGACACGTCCCATCAACAATGTTGGACTCATTTGCTCCTTTTCTTTTATTGGCTACATGTATTATCATTCACATGGCACCTACTATTCTCTTTTTTAGTTTTATGTTATTTTTTAAACTTAACCTATTCTTACTTTTTGTTATTTATTCTTAAAAAAAATAACAGCTACATAAATAATTTTACGATCAAATCATTAAGTAAACTTTATCCGGAGGCTTTATAAAAAAATTAACATCATTCCGAATTATTTTCTATTATTTTTAATTTTTTATATTTTTAATATGTAATAAATAAATAAATATAATTTTAGATTTTGAATTTTTTTACATATTTTAAAAATAAATTTAATTTTTTCAAAGTGTGTAAAAATACATGGAACTACTAAAAATTAATTTTTTTTAAAAAATAGGTAATAGAAGAAAATTATAAAATAAAATAAATTTTAAAAATAAACAAAAAGATTAAAACACAAATTTAAAATTTAAAAACTAATTTTTAAATAAATTAAAATTTAAGAAAAAATTGGCTTTTTTAACCTTTTTTCTTTATGTATTTATCAATTATGATTCTATGATAGGTGACGTACGAACGCAATTTGTGTTTTGTCAATTTTATTTACGGATTGTTGTTTGTATATTCAATTAAATTTTTTGTTATTTTATGACGACTTAATGAGTTTTGAATTAGCAGAATGGAGTTGGAAAAATTTTTATTATTTTTTAATCCAAAATTGTTTTTTTATGTGTTTACCTATTTTTTAAAAGTAGATCATTGAGTAATCATTATATATATACGTTAATTATTTTTTGAATATTATAAAATTTTTAAAATAAATTAATGAATACCTCTCTTACATTCTTATATCTCATCTGTTTTTTTTTTTTTTTTTTTTTGCAAGGATATTGAAATTTGAGATCTTGTTGTAGAGATTTCAAGTTTTTAGACATTAGAATATCCCTTTAAAGATTTAATTAACACATTATTTACATATAAACTTCTAAACCAACCGAGTCAAATATGAAGGGCTACTTCTATAATTTCTCATTCTTACGTTTTCTAAATTATCTATCTTAATTATAAGATCTAATTGCCTTAAATCTTCATGGTTTTGGATTGAGACACTTTTATTATATATATATATTTTTTATTAAGTAGTAGCAGACAAGCAAAGCAATGAATTATTAAGCACTTAATTAACAAAGATTATCTCATGTCGGCTTTAATTGATGGAGAAGCAAAGCAAGTCATTAACATAGGACCACTAAAATAAAATAATAAGAAGCTATGGCGACGTGGATTATAAAGTGGTGTTGTCTCTTTAATCGGGACCGTTGATTTTTTTGATCTTGAAAAACAATGGGGCCCGTATGGCTTGTCGTTTACGATTTATATTCCAGCCATTTCCAAAGTAGTTCACGGGCCTTTCCCGAGGTGGTCTGCCGTCAGTTGGGATATTCTCGGGAGATTCATTTTCTCTCCTTCTCTTCGATCCTGAGAACTTGGCTTTGTCATGAGGAGGCAACAGAGCCTGTCTTTGAAAAAAAAAAAAAAACTGATTGGAAAATCGATCCCTAAACTTTTTGTCAAATCTAATTTAACATTTGATCTTTCGTTTTTTTGATTTTAGTACTTCAAACTATTAAGTTAAAGCAATCTACCTCCTCCGTTAAGTTTCCGTCCATTTATCCAATTAAGAAGCACACGACCTGCACTTATTTAACCATTGTCTTCTAATTTCTTGGTAAAAACCATTTCTTCCCTTCATAAGATCCAAATCTTTATCCAAAACCCTAATGATCTCCTTTAACTCCCTAATCCTCTCACACCCTTCCATAATCTTTTCATTCCAGATCCTCCAACTACCCTTGCGCTTTGAAAAAACGAATTTGGTCGCAACAAAATCTCCTTCACCAAATGCAACTCCACCACATCTAAATACCGACTCAACTTCTCCTGCAACAACGACTTCATCGTCCACATGAGTAAAAAGACATACGACATGAAATACGGGTTCATCTTGCAATGCAAAATCTTCTGTAAAATACAGAGATGAAACTTCTCTCAAACACACAACAATCGCCTCGCCTTTCTCTACAGTAGCCAAATTCAAATTGAATTCTATAGCAGCCGCAAAATCCAATTTGGATTCCTGCTCTTGCTTGTTATTTTTGGTGTGGTTTTTGATATCTTCGAAACGGGAATAGGTATCGGGGATGGAGGATAAGTAAAGGAGAAAACCAAATCGGGTGATATTGGGTTATGGTTGTTTAGGGAATATAAGGGTGAAATCGGGAGGAAAAACGGTGGTGGAAGAGGAGGACCACAAGCTGAGCCAGACGGAGGGATCAGAGGATTTGATGGAGTGAGGGTTGTTGACGTTGGAAGAGAGATTTTGGATCTTTGTGGTATCGAAGATGGATTTTTCAAGAGAGAAATTGGAATTGGAAGAATTGGAATGAGAGGGTGTTACCTTAAGCAAATACAATATTATTATTTTTATAAAGTGATTTTTCTACTTCCTTATGATTTAATTTTACGTACAAAGAATATCTAAATTTCAGATGAATATGTAAATTATTAGAAAAAATAGGACCTACACGATAGGATCAGTGTGACCCAAAAAAAAAATTCATGGGACCGCGCAATAGTTAACATAATTAATTAATTAATTACAATAGTTAACGTAATTAATTACAATTACGAAAAAACTAAAAAAACTGGAAAGGTTACTGTTTAATTACTGTTTATTCACACTCAAGTCCATCGTAGACTATCGCTCATTTGCACCATTTTACCTTCTTTGTTACATCTATGCTGCTAATTCTTTTCTTCACATGATTCGTCCAGACTTTTGCTATTTGATTTACTTGCTTATTGTTAGATTTTCTGCCCAATATATATTATTTTATTTATTTGCAAGTTATGGGTTATATATTTTTTATTGTCTATTTAATTTCTTTTATGGCATTGTTAAAGATAATGTAATCTGAAGAATCAATAACTATTTGTCACATTATCAGCCTTATCCTTAAATTTGACTAACTCGCCCATTTTTTTGTTTTCTTTAGTTGTCACTACATATCAAGAAAAAAAGAAGGAAAAAGCGTTCCCCCTCTCTCTCTTTTCTCTGACCTTTTTTTTTTTTGAGTCATGGAAGAAGATGAAGTTTGAGCTCTGTCAAATCATTGTTTCTTCGTTATAAACTCTTTTATCTTCTCTTATTTCCAAGTGGAACCAACAATTTTGAATGAATTAGCTTGGCAATGATGATGATGATCCTGGATACCCACAAAATAAAATGTAGCTGCAAGACCTTCATTTTGGATTTGTTCTCTTCATTTTTATTTTACTTAGCTTTCGTTGTTGGCATGTGAATTTAACTATGATTTTCTTATAGTTTGTTGTGAAATTTGGCTAGATTGGACTACCAAAATAGTAAGTGATTCTATGCTAATTCTCGAATTTTTTAATGTATTGAGTTATAGTGCTTGCTTGATTGTGGTTTGCATATACACAAATAAATCATTTGATTTATGTAATAGTTTGATTAATGTCTTTGAAATTGTATATATTATTCATTTTTTTATTTTTTAATAGATTTTCTTAATTTTTTTAATCATTTTCTCTACTTGATGTTATTTATGTGTTTAGGTCATTGACGAGATGTCTGAAGTGCAGTAGGTTTTGTCGAATTTCGTTAAAAAAAGGTTAGATTTTTCTTTTTAATTGTCCTCTCCTTTTTTTTTTTTTTTTCTTACTAGGTTCATGATCATGACGAATTTATGGGTCACTTACCAATCTTATTCTTTTTTTTTTTCGTTGTTGCCTTTAATGATAGAGAGTCGATAAGAGGCTTGATTATTTTAAGGTAAATTTTATCACTATATTTTGGAATTGTTGGACATTTGATTTTTTACTGATTTTTTTTTTTTTTGGATGGTTGATGTGATATTGGTGCCTTTGTTATTGTTTCATGGTTAGTTTCTTCCTTATTGTTTGCTTTTAGACTCTTTGGATTAATTTTGCAGTTTTTAACTCATGTTGTTTTCTGTTATTTTTGTTTGCTGAATGGTCAAACTTTAAGCTCCGAGTTTGTATTTGATTTTGTTTCTCTACTATATAATTTTTTAATTGTTTCGAAGCATTGTGTTGTTTCTTTGCTTTTTATAGTGCTATATTTGTTTTTCTTCAACAATGTGTTGTCTTCTTTCATTTCAAAGTTTTTTTCTTTGATGTTATTTTGTTATTGTGATCAGGAGATGTATTATCTTGCTAGATCAACTAATGTAGATATCAACTAGAATATTACAAGCTGGATACTGCCTTACACTGCGGTCAAATAACCATGTATGCAAGATAAATGATTTATATGATGCGAGTACGGGTAAAAATTTTATTTTTCATAATTAATGTAAATCAAATCTATTTGATGTGCAAAATATTTTGGTTTATATATATTTATTAACAAAATAATCAATAATATTAGCATAAAAAGTTGTATTTGAATAATTGAAAGTTTTTTCAAAACATTATTTCAATTATTTTATTTAAAAAATATTGATTTTAGAACATGAAAAAAATAAATAAAAAATAACTGGGGTTATGTGTGCAAATACATAATTAATTTATAACAAACTAATGATATATATTTCAATTATTTTATTAAAAAATATTAATTTTAGAATTAAAAAAATAAATTATAAATAATTATTGCTATGTATGCGGATACATAATTAATTTCTAACAAAACTAATTTTGTGTGTGTGTGTGTGTGTGTGTGTTCTGTTATTTATTAAAAATCATATTGACAAATAAAATTTTATGAATTTTAAACTTTATTTTAGAACAAACATGTGAATTTTATTATTTATTAAAAAACATATTGAAAATTCATACACGAGATAAAAACAATTCATATTTATTAACAAATAAAATTCATACCAAAATTTAGTTTGATGAGAATTTTTATAATAAATGACAAATTTAAGAGATTAATTTTAATCAATAAAAAAATATAATCCGATATATGTGTTTGTTCTAAACATTAAAATATAAGAAGCAAAAAATATATTTTTTTAAATATGAGGAACAAAAAATATATTTTGAAAAAAAGTGAAAAAATGAACTAAATTAAAAGCATGAGATTTCAAAATATTTTTAAAAATATGAGGATTTAAAAATATATTTTGAAACATAAAGGACCAAAAAGAAATGAAGTGTAAAATTTGAAAATGAATGCAAAAAAAAAAAAAAACTATAAAGAAATCACGAAAATGCCATTGAATAAAATCACAAAAAATGTCAAATCGTTAGTTTGTGTAGAAAAAAGTAACGATTGATATTTAAAAATTTTAACACCCAATTAAATGAAAAAAGAACATAAATTGATGGTAAAAAGCAAAGGAAAAAAGAAAAGAAAAGAAAAGGCATGTAGTGCATCAACTAAGGATTAAAATTTTTATTTTAAACTTTTAAGGACTAAAACAAAATAATTTAAAAATTATGTATTAAAAAAAAAACTAAGAGTAAATGGTAAATGAAGCGGTAAATTAAAATATAAAACATATCGTATATATTATATAATTGTTAATTTGTGTAGAAAAAAGTAACGATTGTTTTTTAAAAATTTTAACACTCAAATAAAAAAACATAAATTGATGGAAAAAAGCAAAGAAAAAAACCAAAGGAAAAAAAGAAGAAAAATGTATGTAATGCATGACCTAGGGATTAAAATTTTTATTCTAAAATTTTAAGGACTAAAATGAAATATTTTGAAAATTAAAAAAAAAAAAAAGAGAACAATACAACAGTGAGAAGTTACTTGTTCATTCACTATTCAAAAGAACAAGTAAACTCCCCGACCATTTTAGTTTTTAGTAAAATAATGGATGTTGTTCTCATCGGTTATGCTTGCTTATCTTCTTTTACTGCTTGCAAGGGTTGGTTGGTTTTTGGTTTGGGAATCTTTTAACTATTTTTGTTTATCATCATAGTTTGGATTTTAAAATTTTCTTTGTACTTCCCAATACTCTTACATCGGCCAGTTTTCAAAAGTTTATTTTTTTGGTACTATTAATTTGCCTTGCCCTTTGCTTTTTATAAAAACATTTTAAATAATACACATTTGATTTGTTTGCGGTTCATGACTTCTTCATCAACAATATTTATTATTTTTATGTGTTCATTTTCCTCCGACAATAGTTGCTCGATTGCCCATATTTAGCCACAATAATTATTATATTTTCATAATGTTGATTTAATTCATTTTTTTTCATTACTTATTTATGTGTTGTTCTTATTTCTCATATGCTATTGTACTTTGCAGCCTTAAATAGTGATTAGGTTGGCTACAACTCTTTGGCCCTCACTTAATTTACCTTCGCAAGTCACTATAGAATTCCAGCCTTTTTTTTTTTTTTTTGCTATAATAGAGTTTTTTTTATATATATATATAACTTTTTTTTTCTTTTTTTTTCTTTCACTTGACAGGAGCATAAGGTTTTATTAAATTCCATTAACAATCATCTTTGTTTTGCTTAATCTGTTTTTTTCTTCTTTTACTTGGATTAGTATAAAAAAAAGCAAGTGATCATGATAAATTTAGCTCTTATGCTTCTTATTTTCTTGATGCCTCCTTATCTCAACAAATATTTTTTCTTGATATTTTGAGTTTTGTTCACTTTATAGAATTTTGCATTTGTTCTACATTTTTTTGTCCTTTCCAATATCTCTTTTGCTTATTGCTATTGAAAAAAAATAATTACACTGAATTTCGATAATAACTACCAATGACAAAAACTCATCATGGGTTAAGTTAACGGCCTTTTGAAAACCTCAAAATAAATAAGTCATAGAGTTGAAAACGAGAAATCGATGTTTGATCTTTTCTAATGAAATTTTGGTTCAAAGCTTGACGAGTTGAAATTCATTCAAGAGTTTTTTGTGGTACTTACAATGATTAATCTATTAGAGAAAAAAATAAAGCAAGATTTGTGTTTGGCTTTCAAAATTTGCTTTTTTTAACTCTATCCTAGATTTTTCTTAATAATTAAATTCTATTCTTATTTTGACGGTGAACAAATAAGTGTAAAAGAAAATGAAAGAATAGAAAATAGAATTATCAAAAATAGTTTGGGTATTCAAATTCCACATAATGCTTTGTGGATTCCTTGCGTAAGAAATTTTGCTCAATAATATGTTTTGCAGGCTTCTCAATCAATTTTTTTTTTTTTTTTGAATTTGTGGATGATGCTCATCAATTGTTTAAGAACCTTGGCGGTCAATAAAAAATGGTGAGGAAAAGTAATCCATTAATTCAAATCTCTATAATATAAGTCTATGATATCATTGTTTTTATTTTGTTTTATTGCAGAAAATCAACATGGATTCTAAAAAAAAACAATGAAATTGCAAATTCATGTTGAATTTATATTTTCATTTCGTTATGTAGAGATATGAAAGGATTGGATTGAAAGGAACAAATCAAGCCGATAATTTTTTCTCTTTAATTTAAATTTTGCACTGTAGTGAATGTATTAATTTTTAATAATAATTTGAGTTTGAAACCTTAGTTTGATTTCATAAAAGTATAAGTGCAACTCGTGCACTTCGAATAAATAACTCATAGTTATTAGTTTTATACGGCAACAATGGTTACTTTTGCCTATTGAAAATGAACTCGAATGCTTTTAGCTATAATCGTTGCTGTTTGCTATGAATATGTTTTCAACATTTTCATCGCATGTAATAGTTATTTCTATGCATGTAATGGTTATCCAATCGCAATCTCAGTGTAGTGTGAGTATCTAATTAGTGTATACTAATTGTTGTTGTTGTTGCTGAGAGGATTCTAACTTCTAGCCGATTAAAGTATGTCTCATCAACTTTTCATTTGCTTTGCACGATTCTCTTTTATTAAGCAGACATAAAGAAACGTTACTTTCCTGCCTTTTGTTTATCCTTTCTTGCTTTTTTATAATAACATTATCTTTAATCTTCTGTATTTGCACCCTTTTTAGCTGTTCGTTGTGGCGCTCATCATTGTGGGTGTGTGTATAAAATGCTTCTTCTTTTTTTAAAAAAAAAAAAATTAAAAAGTTACTGAATATGCTGTTAGATGATTTTGGAGATTTGATTAATTGATGAGTTATCTTGTAACACGGATCAATTTTTTTTTTTTTTTTTTTTTTTTTTTTTTTTTTTTTACCTGGTAAATGCAGAAGTTGAAAAGTAAATAAAAGATAATGGAGGACTTGTGGGTGTTATTTTGTGGGGAATCTGGCAATTCGGATACCGGAAAACCATCCGGTTCTAGCTTGGTGTTTCAACCAACTTCATGTATCAATCAAGCGTTGATCATTTGTTTCAATGTCATGCTTCTAATCATGCTCTTATTTAACTGGATAAAAAAATCATCGTCACCGAAGACAGATAAAATCCCACCTCGAGACTATTCAAGTCTGCAGATAGTTTCTACTATGCTCAATGGCTGTGTTGGATTTGTGTACTTGTGCTTGGCCCTATGGATTTTGGAAGAGAAGTTGAGGAAAAGCCAGACTGCCTTGCCTTTGAAAAGTTGGTCAGTGGTGTTGTTCCAGGGGTTTACATGGCTTTTGGTGGGTTTAACCATAAGCCTTCGAGGAAAACATCTTCCAAGAACACCATTAAGGATTTTGTCCAGTCTTGCGTTCTTGTTTGCTGGAATTGTTTTTTCTTTATCAATATACAGCTTCATTTTAGGCAAAGGAATATTGGTTAAGATAGCTTTGGATGTCTTGTCCTTTCCTGCTGCAATACTGTTATTGTTATGTGTTTACAAGGTATATAGTAAACATGAAGGGATTGATGAAATTGGCCTTTATGCACCATTAAACGGCGAGGCCAATGGTGTGAGTAAAACTAATTTCGTCGACCTAGTTACTCCATTTGCTACAGCAGGATTCTTCAATAAAATGTCATTTTGGTGGTTGAATCCACTGATGACAAAGGGTGGGGAGAAAACTCTTGACGACGAGGATATACCCAGGTTGCGAGAGGCAGATCGAGCAGAAAGCTGTTATATGGAGTTTTTGGAGAAACTGAACAATCAAAAAAATGCTGAATCATCTCAATCGTCTCTCTTGTGGACAATTATATTTTGCCACTGGAAAGACATTCTAATTTCTGGATTCTTTGCTTCGTTAAAAGTACTTACTTTGTCAGCTGGGCCTCTACTTCTTAATGCCTTCATTTTGGTTGCTGAAGGAAAAGCAGGTTTTAAATATGAAGGTTATGTATTGGCCTCGACACTCTTCTTTTCAAAGTGCTTAGAGTCCCTGTCACAAAGGCAATGGTATTTCCGGAGCAGGATTATTGGTTTGAAAGTGAGGTCTTTGCTCACAGCTGCGATATATATGAAGCAAATGAGGTTATCCAATGTTGGTAGGTTGATGCACTCAGGTGGTGAGATAATGAACTACGTAACAGTAGATGCTTATAGGATAGGCGAGTTTCCCTTCTGGTTTCATCAGACATGGACAACAAGCTTTCAGCTTTGCATCTCTCTTGTAATTCTTTTCCGTGCAGTGGGACTAGCAACATTTGCTGCCTTAGTGGTTATAATAATCACTGTGCTATGCAATGCTCCACTTGCAAAGTTGCAACATAAGTTTCAGTCTAAGCTTATGGTGGCACAAGATGAGAGATTGAAGGCTTGTAACGAGGCCCTGGTTAACATGAAGGTATTGAAACTGTATGCTTGGGAAACCCATTTTAAGAATGCTATAGAAAATTTGAGAAGGGTGGAGTATAAATGGTTGTCAGCAGTGCAAATGCGTAAAGCCTATGATAGTTTTCTTTTCTGGTCTTCTCCTGTTTTGGTCTCTGCTGCTACCTTCGGGGCATGCTATTTGCTCAAAATTCCTTTGCATGCTAATAATGTTTTCACTTTTGTGGCGACTTTACGTCTTGTTCAAGACCCAATTAGAACTATCCCTGATGTCATTGGAGTGGTCATTCAAGCAAAGGTAGCTTTTGCACGTATTTTAAATTTTCTCGAGGCACCAGAGTTGCGGAATGGAAATGTTCGGCAAAAGCGCAACATGGATAGCGTGGAACATGCTGTTTTAATCAAGTCAGCCAATTTTTCATGGGAAGAAAATTCATCGAAGTCCACATTGAGAAATTTGAATCTAGAGATTAGGCCTGGTGAAAAGGTGGCGGTATGTGGAGAAGTTGGCTCTGGCAAGTCAACCCTTTTAGCAGCAATTCTTGGAGAAGTTCCACATACGCATGGAACTGTAAGTGTACTAGCTTTTTCATTCTTCTGCATTTCAATCCTTTGTGAACTGCCTTTGAAATATATGTTGCCATGCTCTTCCAATCGTTAGCCTTTTGAATTTTATAAAGAACTGATGTGCCTAAACTGAGGTAATCTAATTCCCTATTTTGTGACTGACTATTTTACTAATTTACAGATTTTTTATGGCCTACAGATTCAGGTTTATGGAACAATTGCCTATGTTTCTCAAACAGCTTGGATCCAGAATGGAACAATACAAGAAAACATTTTATTTGGGTCTGAAATGGATAGGCAGCGATACCAAAACACACTTGAGCAGTGCTCCATGGTAAAGGACCTTGTGTTGCTTCCTTATGGTGATCTTACTGAAATAGGTGAAAGAGGAGTCAATCTGAGTGGTGGTCAAAAGCAGCGAATTCAACTTGCCCGTGCTCTGTATCAGAATGCAGATATATACCTTTTGGATGATCCATTTAGCGCCGTGGATGCACACACTGCTACGAGCTTATTTAATGTAATCAAATTTTCCAGCCAGCAACCTCTGTCTCCACTTCTTAGTTATTAGCCTTCTGTGAAATCTAACTTAATTCTTGGCAGGAATATATCATGGGAGCACTTTCAGGGAAAACAATCTTGCTTGTGACGCATCAAGTTGATTTCCTACCGGCATTTGACTCTGTTATGGTTAGTGTCCTTCGATTCAGTCACTTTCAGGAAATAAGTATTACTGCAATTCTGTGGCTGATTGAACTTCGCTTTCGCTTCAATGTAAATTGTTGTCCATACAATTTGTTTGTTAAAGTTTCCACAGAAGAGTTGCCATTAGAATCTTATTTTTGTAAACAGTTGATGTCAGATGGAGAAATCCTACAAGCAGGTCCTTATCAACAGTTATTGTCATCAAGCCAAGAATTTCAGGACCTTGTCAATGCACACAAAGAAACAGCTGGTTCTGAAAGGCATACTGAGGTTAATGCTCTGCAAAGACAAGGATCATCTGCTAGGGAGATCAAGAAGAGTTATGAGCATAAAACATCTGAAGGAGATCAACTGATTAAGCAGGAGGAAAAGGAAGTGGGAGACACAGGATTTAAGCCTTATATTCAGTATCTGAATCAAAACAAAGGATACTTGTACTTTTCTCTTGCTGCTTTTGCTGAAGCGTTGTTTGTGACTGGTCAGATATCACAGAACTCTTGGATGGCAGCAAATGTCGATAACCCTCATGTTAGTACATTGCGTTTAATTGTGGGCTATCTGAGTATCGGAGTTACATCAATGCTTTTCTTGCTAGGTAGATGGATCTTTACAGTTGTTTTGGGTCTTCAGTCATCAAAATCGTTATTTTCCCAGCTACTAAATTCTCTTTTCCGTGCACCTATGTCTTTCCATGACTCCACGCCTCTTGGAAGAATACTGAGTCGGGTAAAAATCTCACCCCGAAAATGTTCTTTTCTTCATGGGAATTAAAGAGTAACTAATTGATCTTGACATGTGTTTCTTTTCTGTCTCATAGGTAGCGTCAGATCTGAGCATTGTTGATCTTGATGTTCCATTCTGTTTAATCTTTGCTGTCGTTGCAACCATAAATGCTTATAGTAATCTGGGAGTACTGGCTGTTGTTACCTGGCAGGTCCTGTTTGTCTCCATACCAATGGTTTATTTGGCTATTCGCTTACAGGTAAGTTTGTTTATCGTCGTAGAAGAGTGATTTATAAACATGTACCATATAAATCAACTATATGACTGGACAGTTGCAGTATTCTGTCCTGATCTCATTTTTTAAGGTGCACTGCCATCAAAGTTGATTTTATCTTTATAAAGTGGATTCAAAGATTATCTCGATCGTATCTACAGAGATATTACTTTGCCTCTGCAAAAGAGTTGATGCGGATCAATGGCACAACCAAGTCTTTAGTAGCAAATCATTTATCTGAATCTGTAGCAGGAGCCATGACAATAAGGGCCTTTGAGGAGGAAGAACGTTTCTTCACAAAGAACCTTAACCTCATTGACATAAATGCCAGTCCATTTTTCCACAGTTTTGCTGCAAACGAGTGGTTAATACAACGACTTGAAACATTTAGTGCAACTGTCGTTGCCTCAGTAGCCCTCTGCATGGTTTTGCTTCCTCCTGGAACTTTTAGCTCTGGTGAGAATACATAAACTTCCATAATCATGTCATTGGATATGCTTTATTATTCTTCAACTGCTTTTGAGTTCTGACTGTGTCCAATGCACTGTATAATTACTTCCATTGTTGCAGGATTTATTGGTATGGCACTTTCTTATGGACTTTCATTAAACATGTCCTTGGTCATGTCAATTCAAAACCAGTGCACGTTAGCAAATTACATCATTTCTGTTGAAAGGCTTAATCAATACACGCATATACCAAGTGAAGCCGCAGAGGTGATAGAAGATAACCGTCCTCCATCCAATTGGCCAGCCGTGGGTAAAGTGGATATTTGCGATTTGCAAGTAGGTCTTTTCTTTTAATTTATGTTTAATGAGACAATCAATGAAGGCTAGAAAACTGAAAAATGTTTAATTTGAAACAGATTAGATACAGGCCTGACGCACCATTAGTTCTTCGGGGAATCAGTTGCACTTTTGAAGGAGGGCACAAGATTGGTATTGTTGGTCGAACTGGAAGTGGGAAGACTACTCTTATCGGTGCTCTATTTCGACTGGTGGAACCATCTGGAGGAAAAATTACCGTAGATGGAATTGACATCTCTAAGATCGGACTTCATGATCTGAGGTCACGATTTGGAATAATACCTCAAGATCCTACTCTCTTTAATGGGACTGTTAGATACAATTTGGACCCATTATCTCAACATACTGACCAGGAAATATGGGAGGTAACCTTCCAGTTCGTTTCACAAGTTAAATCTACTGACAATTGCCTATAAACCACTGGATAAGGCATTTTTTCCCCCTTATCCGCAGGCTTTCTAACTTGAAAAATATGTTTTGAATCTTGTAGGTTCTTGGAAAGTGTCAACTCCGAGAGGCTGTTCAAGAGAAAGAACAGGCTTTAGATTCTTTGGGTATGCTTGGTAACATATAGAGTAAACGATATATGTATTCTTTTTATTGTAATGGTCAGTAAGTGATGAGTAACCTGCTGCAGTTGTGGAAGACGGATCAAATTGGAGCATGGGGCAGAGACAATTATTTTGCTTGGGCCGTGCCCTTTTGAGGAGAAGTAGGATACTGGTGCTTGATGAAGCAACTGCGTCAATTGATAATGCAACAGACTTGATTTTGCAAAAGACTATACGGCTTGAATTTTCGGATTGCACTGTGATCACAGTAGCTCACAGGATACCAACGGTGATGGATTGCACGATGGTACTTGCCATTAGCGATGGTAAGTTTCATTCCTTCAAATGCAGTCCTGCAAATCTGTGATTTGGCTGATTTGCATTAGTTAGATGCCCTCTCCAAGATAGTCTCAATGTACGTAGTCCTGTGCTGAAGCTGATCATGCATTAATATAGGTCTCTTTAATGGAGTGACCCCAAAACATTAGAACTATAAACAGATTTATCAACAAGCTGTAGCTATAACTTCATGTTGAGATATCTCAGAAGAAATTTCAAAATGCCCCACTAAGCTATTTTTGTTCTATTTCAGGAAAACTAGTCGAGTACGACGAACCAACGAAGTTAATGAAGACGGAAGGTTCACTGTTTGGACAGCTTGTGAAGGAATTCTGGTCTCATTTACACGCAGCAGAATCACATTGAAGCTGATGACTATTTCTAATGTATCCCTTCTCACAATTCACCCTTGCATGGCGGCAAATAGAAGGGTTCCAGCGCCAGTTAGAAAGTAGGATGTATAGTGTTGCAATAATGTTACTGCAGGGCTAGAGAGGAAGATTGGAAAAGACCTTAGTTTTGTATCTGTATTCAAACATCAAGCTTCCTAATTTCTATAGGGAAGTTGAATATAATCGACCATTTTTCACGAGAGCTTTAAGAGCTTGGCTATTCTGAATTACAGGCTAGAGGCTCGGCTATTTTTTGAGTTTTTTCTCATGCAGAAAGTATATAATCTTAATTATACATACGCTTCACTGCTGAGAATTGGTATTAATAGTAAACAAACTTTAATTTTTTCTTCATATTCGCCCTTAGAAGCTTCAAAATAGTCATGTTTGTAACAAGGTGGCGTTGGTGATGATAGAAGTGAAAGGGACAGTAGTCAGGTACTCTTTTGACCGATTTCTACGATTTTTATTCATCTAGGAAACAAAAGGTTAAAATTGTAAAGCTATTAAAAATTTGTAATTAAACATTTTAATTTGGATGAATTTACTTTTATCTCTTATTCTTTCTGTTAGCCAAATGATCAACCATCCTTTCATTTTACCATATTCATACTCCTATCAGTCCATCATGTCCAATCCTCAAAAATCATTTGAATTTTGATCCAATAATAATCAATGGTTAAAAATCACCATTAGAATTAACCTCTAGCAACTTTGATTCATTTGAAATTAAATTATTTTGTTAAATTTTATAAGATTCCATTCATTAATTAATGGTTAAAAATAAACAATAATCTCTCTACTATTGAAATTTGATCGAATAATATTTTCAATAACGAAAAAACAATCGGTGATTTTTAACTATTAATTAATAGATGAAATCTTTTAAAATCTAACGAAAAAAACGTAATTTTAAATGGATAAAAGTTATGAAAAGTCAATTATGAAATGACTAAAAATTTAAGAGATGTTTGATCAATCTAACCAAAAATTTATTAAGGATAGTGGCTGCAAATGTTAGCTCAACTTCTTGATTGAAAGACTATTTTAGTCATTTCACGAGTGGAAAAGTAAACGAGGCTTTGCCAATAAAGCAGAAAAGGCAATAGCAATTCTCTAAAATGTTTCTTTTACCGTGCAGAAGAGGATAAAGACAAAGAAAAGGAGTAAATCCTTTCTTATTTGTAATTAAATGTTTTAATTTGGATGAATTTACTTTTATCTCTTCCCTTTTTTTTTTACAGCCAAATGCTCAACCATCCTTTCATTTTACCATAGTCATTCTCTTATCAATCCGTCATTCTTGATCCTAAAAAATAATTTAAAATTTTATCGAATAATAATTAATGGTTAAAAATCACCATTAGAATTGACCTTTTGTAGTTATGAATCATTTGAAATTCAATCATTTTGTTATATTTTGTAGGGTTTTATTTATTAATTGATGGTTAAAAACTACCAATTGTCCCTCTCGCTATTCAAATTTGATCCATTAACAATTCCAATAATAGAGGGACAATTTGTAATTTTTAGCTGTTAATTAATAGATAGAACTCTATAAAATATATTTGAATGATCTAATTTCAAATGGGCCAAAATTGTAATGGATTAATTCAGACCTTTTTCAATCGAGGGACTAATTCTGAAATGACTAAAAATTTAAGAAAGATTTGATTCATTTATCCAAAATTTTATTAAGAATAATGGCTGAAAATTATAGCATAACTTCTTGAAAGAAAAGTTATTTAGTCATCACATGAGTGAAAAAAAGTTAATGAAATTGTGCCAATAGAATAGAAGGCTGTACCGATAACAATTGTGAAGAAGAGAATAAAGACTAAGAAAAGATTAAAAGAATCCATTTTTATCCTTCCTTATTTAGGATTAGACATTTTAATATGGATGAATTTACGTATATCTTTTCCCCTTTTTTGTTAGCCAAACGGTTAACCATCCTTTCATTTTTACCATTTTCATTCTCTTATCAACCCCATCATTCCGAGCCTCAAAATTGGATACATGCATTAATTGATACAAATGTTTGTTTCATTATTTGCAAAGTAAATTATTATTTTCACATTTGAAATGGATGCATGAACTGTATAAAGACAAATGGATGCATTATCCCTTGTTCTTGTTTCATCATTCCTTACAAATTTTATTTTTTCCTCACCCCCATATTTGCTTTCCAAACACATGCTCATGTCCCAACGAAAAGGCACGAATAGAATTATTAGCCGATTTTTTCTCTTTCTTTTCTTTTTCATTGAAAAAAGAAGGTGACGACAAGAGGGCTTCAAAGCTTCTATTATTTAAGGGAGTGAGCACTCTTGAGTTCAGCACCACCCATCAATCATAATTGATGTTGAATCCAAACAAAAAAATTTGAAAGAATCCTAACGGTAACATTTTCAAGCTCCTAGAATCAGAATCAGATTCCCCAAATTTCTTTCACCGCTTTCTTTTCCATCTAATCCAAAACATCTCTCTCTCGGAGACTATTTTTTAGTGAGTCTCCTGTCTTTTTAAACAACAAAAGGAAGAAACTTTTACATACTAGTCAAGTCAATAGTTAGCGTCTAATAATGGGGTGCTTCTTTTTCGCTTGTTTCAGTGCTCGTAAGCATAGAAAAGGCAGGCATTTGGTGAATGCAACTCCCTCTAAACCTCATGTAAGGCCACTTTCAAGCTTCATCCTTTATGGGTCTTTTTCAGTTTTAGCATTTAGTCGTTAGTTTCTCTTTGAAAACGGCTAATGATCCTTTGTTTTGTTACAGGGAGATGGAGCTACTGAAGCTTTGAAAATTAATGAACCCACAAAGGAAGAGGAAGTTCCTCAACTGCCCATTGAGCCCATTTTAGATTCAAAGTAAGCTATTCATTGTTTTTTACTTGAATTTAAAGGATGTTTTAGTTCCCTGGGTTTGTGGGTTTTAGTTTTTGTTAATTTTTTATGCAATAATCCTTTCTTTCTTTCTTTTTTTTTTTTTTGTGATGTTGTTAGAGAGAAGCTTGAGGAGCAATTGAGCTGCAATGAGAAAAGGAAGGTGACTTTTGATTTGAATGTCAAAACCTACGAGGGCTTTCCAACTGACGAAGAAGTTGCCAAAAATGTAGTAGAGAGCAATAAAGGAAAGAGAGAGTGTGAAAAGAAAGAAGAAGAACCATCAAATGTGACCAAATCAGTTTCTAATGTGGTCACATCAAATGTCGGATCTTATCCTCTAAATAACAGATATCAAAATTGTGTTAATGAAGAAGAATATGATGATTCGGGCTTGGAAGATAGTGATTTAAATGATGCTGTTCAAGTATTGATTCAAGAAGAGTCATCTGAGTCATTGTTTTCATTATCAATCGATTCAAGAAAACAACTGCACGGAGTTGAGCTGGGTGAAAAGGAGGTTACTAGTCCAATGCCAAAATGTGAATCACCATCTAAGGACGAATCTAAGGCAGTAGGTTCCAATCGAAATGCTCGAGTTAGGAGTCAGTGTGATGACTCTGTTCGGAATCCAGTAGAAAATCTAACTCAATGGAAAGTAGCCAGTGCAAGAGCAACCTCACCGTTGCAGCATGAAGATAAGGAAAATGTCAATGTGGAGCAAGATTTTAACAAAAGCATTAGTCCAGAAACTAATTTCAAGATATACAGAAAAGATTCAAAAGAGACTCCCAGTCAGAAGAAGCTGGTGGATCAAGAAGTTGCAGTGGATACTAGCCTATCAAGTTGGTTGGCCACACCATCCATGTCTAAGGGTAGCGCTAATTCGGTTGGCAATTCACCATCCGTAACGAGGAGCTCGCCAAGAAGTCATGAAGATAGGCCTATTTTAGGAGCATTGACGGTTGAGGAACTTAAACAACATTCTGCTTCTAATACTCCAAGACGGCCAAGGAGTCGGAGTCCTGACGAAACGCCTATTATAGGGACTGTTGGGAGCTACTGGATTCATACTGGAAGGATTGTGGATTCAGATTCAGGCTCTTCCAGCAAAGGAATGCTTAAAACCAAAAATGTTGAGGTAACATTGAATTGAGGTTCATGGTTCTGTACATATATTGTTGATGAAATAATGATGATTTCTTTACGGTCGTGCAGGATGAGAAGGTGAAATGGAATTCTACCCCATTTGAGGAAAGATTGGATAGAGCTTTGGAAGAAGGCATTGCTGAAGTTTAGATGGTGCTTGGAAACGATGATTCAGATGGCACTAGAGTGGTGCTTGGAAACGAGGGGGTGGTGCCTCATGCAATTTTGCTCGTTGCTTGATGTTCTGTGTGTCTGCGATCTATATCTAGTTTGCCTAGCAAGCATTGGCTTTAAGAGCTGCGTAATGAAACACATGTTTTCTCCCCCATTTTTGTATGCAAAAAAACCTGAGATGGTTGTTAATAATAGTTTCGATGAGGAAGAGGAATTATTCAGAATACTAGTTTCGATAACTAGTTTTGGTTGTCAGTGGATGACAAGATGACCTGCTGCTTTGTTTCTAATTTCTGAACTGAATAGAACGAATTTGAAACTTGGAATACACTGAACAATCTAGTCCTCAAGAAAATCTGGCCTTATGACAACTAATGGTCAAAATTACGACAGTTAGGTAGGGAAGGCAATCTAGCTATTGCAACAAAGAAAAGGCTAAAATTTAACTGGACGCCTCGCTTCAGTTGAAAAAGTACGTTTTTCAGCGGTGGTTGAAAATTTATGCACCGGAGAAACAATACACTTGCAAGTATAAGCAATGTGTCCTTAGCTTCTGGAGGATGATGCTCACAATACAAAACTGTGTCGAAATGGATAATTGCATTATAACTACATTAATTTTCCAATCAATTACATCATATTTTTTTTCCCAAAGTTATCAATTAAATATTATTTATCAATTTTTCGTTAACTAATAACATTCTCGTTACTTCAAGAATATCAAATTACAATTTTATCTTTATTTTTTTAATCAAGTATATAGATTTTAATTTTTCAATTTGAATACACTACATTTTAAAAAACAAACTTATCAACTAAATACTTTTATCAATTTTTTTATTAATTAATGATGTGTTTGTTATCTTTAAAATACAAAATTATAATTTTTTTTTTTGTTGGAGGAAAGTTTTGTTCCAAATACTCGCAATCGAATAATCTTCTTGATTAAAAGAGTTAAAAAGTCAAGATACTCAAGTGAAAAAACCTAAAAAAAAAAAAATCATAACTTCATATTCTGAAAATAACAAATAATGAAAAAATTGACAAAAATACTTGATTAATAATTTAAAAAATCTGTTTATTCAAACAAAAAACAATAAATTAAAAATTGATATACTTATAGTGCATTTATCCCTTGTTAAAATTATATGGATGAAGCCCAACAGCAAAGTTGGAAATTAATCAATAAATGTACAATCAAACTTTATTTGGCACGAGACTGTTGAGATACATATCCAGAGTAAAAAAGATACAAAGAACGGGAAAAAACCTTGTTAGTGTAAAAATTTAGGTGACATCTATTACATGGGTCAAGAATTGTCCTGGTAGAGTAGGACTATCTCACCTGGATTGCTGTTGAGTGCACATTGCACATTATTTTGCTGCTTGTAATGGATTTGTCTGCATCTATTTGTCTTGTTCCCTGAACCTTCCGTACAAAAACACATGGATTTATCTCCTATAGTATCTCTAGGTCTCTACTCTACATATCATGGAACAGCCTCCTTATCTGATCAACGTCTACTGGCATCAATGTGACTGGGCAGCGCTTATACTGTGGTAATGTAACAAAATGGCATCTCGGGAATAAGAAATGGATTTTGGCCGAGTAGGGTAGGAGAATTGAGAGGAAAACCAAGCTTGAAGCAGAAATATGGATATTGACTGAGAATGAAATTCTTACCTGAGAAACATATTTGAATATGCAAGCATAACAGAAAACAAATCCTGAGACCGTAACAACAGAAGGATTTGCACGCTTCTGTGAGCACAATGGGCAGATTGTTCTATCCGGTGGCAGTGGAATCCCTTCTTTGGCAACCTGCTTAACAATCAAGCAAACATTATATGCATCTTTGAACCTTTTGGTTTTTTGACATCTGACATATCTATTGTCAAGATTGTGAAAAGCGGAAATATTTTTGATAATTTGTCCAAATTTGACATGCAAGACAGTTACATGAAAATTAAAGATTAACTTTATTGTCAGCAGCAACCTTTTCTTTTCCATATATCTATCGACCGGGAAAAAAAAAGGGAGCTCATACATAATTTTCTGTTATTTAAAGCAGATGCTTCCATGGATTTACACCGAAAAAAAAAACCTACTAAGATAACATAAGCGTGTGCGCGCATGAAAGTAATTATGAAATCCAAGATTGAAAAGCTCCTTCTCACCTTTGGAGCTGGAGGTGGTGGGGGTGGGGGGTACACTGTTGGAGCTGACATTCTCTCCTCAGCAGATTGGTACCACCACTCCATCATCTGTGTAATTCAGATTCAGAAAATGTTGATCTAGTCTATACTTATCGTCAAAAAAGAGAGAAGATACAAACAGAAAAACAAAAATTAATGCACGACACCACATGAATGGGGTCAACAAATCAGTTCTATTGCATGAAGCCTACCATCTTGACATTAAAATGAACTTGATATGACAAAATACTATAAGGTTAGTTCTGAGAGGTTAGGAGGCTCAAGACAAGAACAAAACTTGGAGACGAGTACAATGGAACTTCAGGGAATGTCGAATTTGTTACTGTTCAGCAGAAATAGTTTAAATAAGGCATGTCAAAAAATATTTAACATTGTTTTAAAAAGAAATCAGCTTGAATTTGGTTATAAAGGCAAAACTTTTTGAAAGAGGAAGTAGTATTGGGCATCGGGCAAATGATCATAGAAACGTTCCTTGAAAGTGGTAATGTTGATAGGGGAAGAGGGGAAGGGTTGGATTGAGCATTAGAAACAATGACAACAAGAGCAACATACAATTAAACATCTACAAGCAATTACAGTTTTTGCAGAAAGTATTAGTTGATAGTGGACAAATCCCCAACCAGGTAAATCACACTCACTTTAAAGATGAACACTGCTGCAATTAAGCCGGTTTGCGCATAGTCCAGCACTGTATATGCACAGCTCAGCAATGCTCCTTGAAATGTCTGCACATTTATGATGTTGAGTCAATATTCTACAATGAAATACAAGCTATACAACTGTGTTGTCAAATTCTGCAAACAAATACTGGATAAAAAAAAGTTCCACATCAAGTCCCCAAAGCAACTAAATAATTTAAATTATTATACCTTCAACCATGGGGGGCCACGAAGTCTCTCACGTTCATTGCTTCGTATCTTTGAAATTCTAGAAGAAGTGTCCATCTACCTTGACATCAAGACAATTGGACAAAGCACTAAGATATGCATAATTTGCAAGGTATTTAAAGGACAATAAAATAGCAGCATACAATAAAATAGCAGCATGCACTGTATTTGAATACTTATAGGGCTGAATTTATGTATAACAAAATACTTGTTAACGAAAATACAAATGTAAATTCTCTATTGTAACCAAATCTAGTACCAGCTCTTGCCCTGTAGCTCGACAAACGTGAATTCCAAGTGCGTGTAGTCCTAAAGAATAGAACCCAGTAGCATCCAGCAGATATAATAGCTGATAAGCAAACGACATTCCTGCATTGCAACATTTCAGATCAGATTGGACATTTTGACAAATATAAATCACTTCCAACCAAACATGAAGACAGAACCGATTAGGCACATAGCAGTAGGCTATAGAAGTTTCAGATTAGGGAATAGGATTTTGTACTGTAAAACTATAGATTAAATTAAAAAGGCTGCATTGTTGGTCCAGAGCTTTACTTGGGGTCCAGTGAGAGCTAAGGAAAAGGGCCTTCCAATTGACCAGTAAAATAAAGAGCAACTTCAGTACCCAATACTGGAAACATGGCACAAATTTGTCAGAAGATACCCTAATTGAATTGCTAAACATCAGAATCCCCCGCAGTAAGCAAAAGTTACAATGGCATTCATGCTTCTAAAATTATTTAGTATCTACACTTTAAGGAACATAAGGAAATAAGTTGTATGTTAATGCAATAGATGAAACCTGAATACAGTTACTTCATGATTGATGTTTATGTTCCAAGAAGAAGAATGCAGACATGCAACCTTTACATCATCATTTTATGAATTAAATCATCCCAACTTTCCTCAGTTCCATGCTCTTACATCTGACATAAAAGAATAAATTGACCAGTGTTATCCCAATTAAGACAGAACAAAAAATTTACCTTCACTACTGGCATGCAGCCATGGGTAGCAACGAAATATAATTTTCTGAATTTTTTTTGTCAGACGTGCTCTAATTGTTGCTTCTGCATCCAATGTTTCTCTAGAAACAAGAGAAGCCTCCCTCCTCTAAAGTATTCAGCATCTTCAACTGTTACATCGCTATTTCCCCACAAACTTGCTTGAAGCCTGGCTTCCCTTTCTTTGTTATATATTGAATGCAATTTTGACTTAAAATAAGGCAGCACAACCTAATCAGATGCATAAAATTCACAAGTCATAAAGCTTTATCATAATGTATTGAAAATAATTAACTTAGTATGATGCCAATCATACAGAATGGAACAAGTTAACAGTTTGTGAGCGACTGTTTATAAACTTGGTCTTAACTACAATTTACAATCTTACTAGGAAAACTATCTCAAGGAAGAAAAATATATCAACTAAAGGAAGCAGAGGACAGTACCAAAAATACAACTGAAAGAATTCTTTGGCGTTTTTCTAACCCTGATTGCTGAATTCCACCCCCTGAGTTTGGACGTGCATCATCCTTCTTTACTCTTATCTTCACTGCCCTTCTTCGCAATCCATATAGAGATTCAGCAAAAGAAGCATCTGAAGAAGAACGTAAAATACGAAAGAATGAGCCCTATGCAACAAGTATGGAACCACAGTAGTCCAACTTAAGGAAACATCATCCTCAAATTTAGAGACACAGCACAGCAATTTCAGAAACAAAATTAAATCAGACCACCACTACCATGTACCCAGCAATGCGTTGTTAAGAGCTCTCACAAACCCAACCCATGTGAACGAAAAATACCCCTGATCTCATTTAACCAAATGAGGATTAGCCTCATAATCTATTCTTGAAAAAAAATGAATTTCTCTAATTACGTTCTATATCTCCAAGAGAGATCGTTAACTCCAACCAATACAGGGAGGGACAAACAATGGAATTAAGCACGTCCCTGACACCATAGGGCACATAACATTTCAGTAAGAGAAAGAAATGAGTTTAGTTCTTGATGCACGGGGACATGGAAGACAAGCTATTTGTTACTCCAAATCGTCATCCGTGTGTTGCAGGGGTTCAATGTTAAATGCATGAAAAAGCATCAAATAGATAAGAATTAAAAATAAATAAATAAATAAAATTATGAGTACACAAAACAAGAGCATATAAACCAGAAGGATGGAGCTTCCAATTTAACAAGAAACAGGAGAATACATAATCGATCATTCACTCACTCACTTGGTAACATCACTTGGTAACAATGGCAACAACATCAAGAAATTAAAAAGCCAAAGTTAATGCTAGATGGCACTTAAATTGATTTTCAAAAAAGCAAGCAAATGGGACTATGAAAAAACAGTACGGTCATAGGAAGAAGGAATTAAACCTATTCATAAAAAAGAATTAAACCTGTAGTACGCAAGCTATGAGTCTCAAGGACCAACATAAGCAAGGAAAAGAATTCATCTTCATAGTCCAACACCTTATGCAGAAAGGGTCTTCTTAATGCCATTACCTTCAAGACCACAATCCACAATATTCAATAATGCAAATATTGAAAAAAAAATTATAAGCACAAGCCAATCTCTTGAATCAAAGTAAGTTAATTTATTACACTTACTATGCACAAAAAAAAAAAAAAAAAAAAAAAGTAAAAGAAAAACTATTAACACTTCAAAACGCAAAATCAGACTCGATTAATTTGCCAAATTCAAGCAAAAATGAGACAATTAAAAAAAAAAACTGAAATGAGTCACGAAAGTATGAATTTCTCATCCCTTAAAACTTAAAAAACGAACTGGGCAAACAATTATAATAAACAAAATGAGAGATGTAGACATGTATGTAGCTTACACCGATGGAGTAGGTGAGGGCAGCACGGAGACTGGCGGGGAGTTGTTGGGCAGCAGCCATCTCAAAGAAGGTGGGACGTGTCCCTTGTCCTCCTACTTGAAACAACATCTTCTTCTTTCTTCCTTTTCAAATTCTTTGATTTGGCTTCTGTTCTCGGTTTGGTGTTTCTGAGATCGGGTTTCTTGAGGTTTTATTTTATGACACAAGTCTTTTGTCCTCTGCAGCTCTTATCCTTCAGCCTATGCACTTGCCCAAAAAAAAAAAAAAAAGGTGAATTTCTAACATCGTGCGATTCGTATTGGTTATGGAAAAGAAATATGGTTTGCGTTTAAGAAAATAATCACCGTAATTAATCGATTTTCCAGAGATTACAAGAAAACACCTTTTAAGAAGTGAATTTTCTCCCGACGGTTTTTGTCATTAAAAAGTGATTTTATTCCCTGAAGCAAAAATAATTTGTTATTGCAAGGGAAAAACAATGCTGTTTAGATGTCTATTTACATTGCTTTTGATTCAATGTCTCGGGATAGGAACGTGTTTGTCAAGAGAGACAGTGACAAAATAAAAAATTACATCTATCTCTATCTTTAAGTCATTTTTTTAGAGAGATCTTTGTCCTTCTAAACTGAAGGGGTACCAGAAACATAGGTTGAAAGCAATATTTACCGATTGTCAGACCCGATGAAAAATCTTAAATCATAAGTGAATTTTCTCATAATAATTTTTTACCCTTTTTCATCAAAAAGTAATTTTGTTCCTTATAGCAAAAAATAATTTTGTTATTGCAAGGAAAAACAATGAACATACAACTCAATTTAATTTTCATTATTGATATTTTTTCTTGTATCGATTTTTCATTATAATTTTATTATTAGTCTAAGTTTTCGAATAAAAGAGGCTATGTGTTTCTATGTAGATGGATATACCATGGGAGAGCGCTGTTTTCATAAATCCGAAATTATTGGCTCGGGCAAATATTAAATAGACCATCTAAATATTGGGGTATAATCAATTTTTCATCCAAACTATTTTGTATCAATTTTATCAGTAAATTATTTTGATTTTCCGATTAAGGATTTCTGTTAGTATTACTTAAAAAAGAAGAATTTAAATTCCCTACAAAATGACATATTTTTACAAAAAGAAAAGAGTATAATTTAGAGGGAAATATGGACGAAAAACCTTTAAAATGGATGAAAGTCTTTGCATGGGAATTTATAAAAATTTGAGACTAAAACAAATGATATAATAACTGTTTGATACTAATATTGAGACTATCTATATAATTGGGGGTTATTTTTAAGGTTTATTCTATTGATTTTAAAATAACTTTAACGAAATTCTAAAACTCGATATACAATGACTAAGCATTTATTCAAAATTTTCGATATGGTTGATATTTATAATTGGTGCTATCGTCGATAGCGAGGTGGTTTTAAAAGGGTTTCATCGCAAAAATTACTCTTAAATTATTGAGATATAACATTTTAATATCAATACTATCAAAAATGTTTTATTTAGACCAAAATTATTATTTTTTAGGTAAATATTATCTTTTATTTATCATCTCTATTATTGATCGTTAACTGAAATATCATTTAATGTCAAAATTTACTCTTAAATTATTGTGATTATAGCAAAATATGATATATGATTAATTGGGACTATTTGAACTCTAAAACATTAATTTCTTGAAAAGTTTTAGCGTTCTCTGTTGTTTATGATCATCAAAATGTTGATTGAAATGTTGAAATATTTAAAAGCACATCGTTTTAAGCATTTCAGATTTTTTTATAAAATTAAAATTATTTTTGAAAAGAAATTAACAATTTATTTTTTAAAATACACATTATTAATTATCTAACAACAAACTATGTACGGCAGCGATAATATTAAAATACTATAATTTTTGGTTTCTCGTTTAAGGTTTGTATAGCTTCACGTTGCACGCAAACAGTAAAGAAGTGAAATTAAATTAGAAACAATAAAAAGGGAGAAGGCCAGAAGGGCATTGAACCGCTTAAGAAAACAAATATTTTGAGAAAAGTTGTTCTCTTCAATAGAAAACTAGAAAACTTTTGACTGACTGTTAGGCTGGCGAGATGGATGGATTACTTGAGGGAGTGTCAGAGAGCAAGCGCTAGAGTGAGGAAATTCTTAAAACTTTCAGTCCTAATTTCAAAAGCATTCAACCATTATAGCACAAAATGGTCTATCTTTTAAACAAATAGTGAAATTATGTACTCCGTTTGTCCCAAATAGATTGTCTCATTTTCTATTTATATATGTTCCAAACTGATTATTCGATTAAAATTTTAAATATTATACGTTTTAAAAATACCCTTAATCAATTTATTTTTTCATTTCTTATTTTTTACTAACTAGAAAATTAATATTCATTATACTTTTTTTACATAGATAAATATTTTTAACGCAGAAAAATTTAAAAGAAATTTTTTTATTGCATGGAAATTTAGGATTCTTTAATAATTTTAAAAAAATTTAATGATCTTCATATCTTTTTAAAATTTTTTGAAACTCAAATTTGACGGGATGGAAGGATATTTTGGAAAAATAAAGATTAAAAAAAAAATGATGAATCATGGACAGTTGCGAGTGGAGGCTATACCAACCAAATTAGTCAAAGCATTTCAGTTTGAACCGGCGAAAGTCTATACACATGATAACATAACGAGAATATGCAATGAACAAACATACAAGCCCAACAAAAACAGTCAACCTAAAACTTCGAACCTATTCAAACTAGATGGTAGCTGAATGAAGAAAAAAAAAAAATCAGATTTTACAATGATGACGCATGTTCCTACGAGGATGATAAGATATAACTTTTGTCGTTCAAAAGATCATACTTTTAGCGTCAAAAGCATTAGTGACCATTGTGATTGCATGATCTTGCGTTTGACGTAAATTTCTTTTCTGTGATATTTTGAAATGCTTGTGCTTACCAAATGGTGAATCTTGCATGACTTCGTATATGACTTATAATTTGCGAAATTCACCTACATATGACCTATGATTTGGAAAAAGATCACTCACTTTTGACTTGCGATTTAGAGAAAATCACCCATCAATCGACTTTATTTCATGATTTCTTTGAATGGTTTTGTTTTAGACGTGTTCATGTTTTTTTTTCTTTTGCAAACTTATTATGTAAAGGCAAAAAAAACCTATTTCCATATTATCCTATATACTAAAGCAAAATGGTTTTTCATTGTAGCAATAAATAGTATAAATCACTAGTTATTGCTACAGTTTTTTTTTTTTTTTTTAATTTTCATTAATTTTTTTTGGCTATACCCGTTCCCCCCTCCCCCCAAACTTATTATGTAAAGGCAAAAAAAACCTATTTCCATATTATAACTCTAGAACATAACGTAAAAAAATAAAATTTTATTCAAAAATTGATAGTTTGAGTTTTAAATAGGTTAAATTAATAATACAAACCTTATTTTATCATAATTTTAATAATTTAAAAATAAATTATGCCATTAAACCGTTTTAGAATACTGGTCTCGTGGGGTTTGAATTTTTTAATTATTGAATATTTGACCCTTAATGGCCTTTAGAATACCAAAGGAAAAACTTACATTTCATGAACCAAACACCACCTTAAAATTGAGCAGTCAACTACAAAGCTAATATCTCAAGAAGAACTAGCATTAGCAATATTAGCATATCTCTTATTCTCAAAGAATAAAATAAAATAAAGCATAGCTTAGTTTCCTATTTGTGAGCCTAATTGGGATAACAAACAGAAAGTAACTTCTTAGTGATTCGCATGGAACTCCTAGACTCACAGTTTCCTCCTGATACGATTTCTATACTATTATTATATATACAATTTGATATTAGAATAAATTATAAATTAGTCTTTCTAGTTTTGAAAAACTAATTATTTAATTTTTTTTGTTAAAAAAAATATTATAGAAAGATTGATGAAAAAAATATTTTTTAAAAGAACCTAATATTAAATCCAATGTGATCAACCCTAATTAAAAAATTAAAAATTTATTTTTTAAAATAAAAATAATTAATTAATTTGTTTCTCAAAACTATAAAGGTGCTATTTGATTACCAGCTAACTATAAGATCATAAAAAATAAAAAGACATTACACCTTAGTTTATGTTCCTTTTACTCATCTTTGGAAATTTTTTTTTTGGGGGGTGGGTGGGTTGTGTGGTGTTTAATGGAGGTTAAACGTTAATTTTGTAGAGAGAGTGCAAAGGAATTTTCAAGGGTGAAAATTCATGGTTTTTAGGCTAAATGGCCAAACTTTTTTTCTGAATTTTAGTTCATTTAAATTAGTCTTTAAACTTCTAATTTCAAGTTTGACCTTCTTTAATTTTTTATTTTTTTATTTTTTAGATTTAATCAATCTTAGGATTTTTAGTTGTCACCACCCCTTTTAAAAAATTTATAATTATAGGTATATTGAGTAGAAATTTTATATATAAGTTGAGGAAAATCTAATGCTTTGTTTTTTTTTTTTTTTTGAAAAAATTTTAAATTTTTTTCAAGATCGGACAATATATATTTTTATTATATGAACATTAAAAATACAAAAAATCAGAAAAAAAAATATTAAATAAGCTGAAATAGTCTCAAATTTTTTGAGAAGCTTTAGATAAATTTTACGCAATGATTTCATCACGAGACTATTTATATGATCATTATTTTTTATATAAAATCAAAAAATAGATTAAATTTTAAAAAATAAAATTCAAGAGACTTCAAATTCAAAAGATCCAGACTGATTTTCAAATTGACAAAAAATAAAATTTGATCCTTTTAGCCAATTTTTTTTTCCTTATCCAGCCCATGAAGGAATAAAATCAAAATTAAAATAGAAAAAATAAACGCGTTAAGAAAAACAAAAATAAAAAAGGGACTGTAACGTAATGTCATGCTCATGAGTCATGAGGTCAATACACGCTTCAGCGCCCCAAAAGCAAACGGTGTCGTTTTCTTTCTTCCTCCTCCTGAACCAAAGTCATCAGCCATGGCTGCCCCAACCCAAGATTACAAATCGACTATAAGTGTCACTCTCAACGCCGTCTTCCTCTCGACCTTTAACACAGATTCAGGTTTCTTAAATTATACTTTAGACGTTGCTTCACTTAGTAGGTGTCTGTTAATAATTTTTGAACGAATTTTTTAGTATTACCTTGGATAATGTACAAGTAAAATAAGGTAAGAATATAAAATGTCCGGTTCAACGCGGTTTACTTTCAGGATCGTTAACGGATTTTATATTCATCGTTCAAAACTCTGATGTAATTTTTGCCATCTTGTTCCGGAAAATGCATGTCAACGCCAATGCCTTTTGCATTTCTCTACAGGCACTTGAGAAACGCGTACAATTCATAAAAAATGTAGTTGACAATTTTAGGTTTGAGATTTTAGATTTATCACTATTTTTTTCAATAAAAAATTTACATTTTACATTTTATGTCTAAAAAAATGTCTTAATTAGTCAACCATGATGTTTGTTTGCTCCTCCTTGGATGATAAGGATAGAGACAACTTGAAACAAATAATCTCTATTGAGTTTCATTTTGTAAGAATTTTAAGTTTTTAACATCCGCTTTCTTTCTTACAAACATGGAGGTTCAACATTGCAGTCATGAACATGTCTTGAGTTTTTGAGGAGAGTGAGGAGAAATTCAAGGACATTAATGTTCCTATATGCTATGGATGTGCTCAGATCGTTCAGGGACCCTCCTGTTTTTGCAAAATCTGTGCTAACTTCTGCCTGCACAGATCGTGTATTGAATTGCCCTCTGAGATTCTACACCCCTTTCACTCATCTCACCTTCTCACCCTCCTTGCTAAACCTCCCGCCGGGTTTTCTGAGTTTTTCGTTTGTGAAGAACGTGGAGATCTTTCCTCTGGCTTTGCCTTCCACTGCAACATTTGTGAGTTCAACCTCGATGTCGAATGTGCTGTTTTAAGCCAAAGACCAAAAGGGAGTACTGAGACGAGGACAGATAGTTACCATTTCAGCCACCACCATGACCTCATGAATTTCAATGCTAGGGAGGAGCTTAAAATAAAATGCAGCGCATGTGAGCTGCCACTTTCTGGTCCTGCCTTTGGTTGCTTGAACTGCAAATTCTTCCTTCACAGATCCTGCGAAGAAATGCCACGAGAAATACGACACCAATATCACCCTCCGCACCTTCTTTATGCTGAACTTGGTGGACATGGCAGCGGCTGTAATACCTGCGATTATGAGATTGGTGACATATTCTATGGCTGTTCTGAGTGTAACTTCCAACTCCACATTCAATGCGCTAAAAATGGTCTGGGAATAAGATCCGCTCCAAAACATAAGTGTCACAAACATGAACTATACTCTTTTGTATCAAGTGAATCAAATGAGTATAGCTATTGCGAAGTTTGTGGTAAAAAGTGCAATGGCCCCTGCTACACCTGCATTAACTGCTCGTGTACTTATTTTCATCCTCAATGCATTCCATTGCCACAAACTGTTGAGCATGAATCCCACTTTCATCCTCTCACCCTTGTGGATTCATTTCTTGAAGATGACTCAGGCGAGTATTATTGCGATACTTACGAGAAAGAAAGGAACCCAATATATCCTGTCTATTGCTGTAAGGAATGCCCAGATTATATTCCATTCATTGCTCATATTGAGTGTTTTGGTGTCCGAGGTAAGTCCAGATTTTAGGCCAATGTGCTCGAGCATGCTTTGTGATATGTATTACACCATTTTTTTCAATCATATGTTGCATATATATTAGGCATATATTTGTTCAGGCCTACTTTCTGAAATCTCATGCACATCTGCTGGTGTGATATTTGACAGTATATTTTTCTTCTTACTGCTGGTGCTTTTCAAGGTCCAAAATTCTATTTCTCTTCTCCTGATGAATCACTCTAGCTCCAATTAATTGAGTTAAAAGTTCTTACCGATGACTCACTCTACAACTAATGGAGTCGAAGTTTGTGGTCTTGTTATGTTTCATCCCAGATTTATTAACTAAGTGCTTTATCTGAAAGAAGATTCAAACAATACAATATGATTCTTTTCCACAGTTCACAGATGTGGAATTGGATCCTGGGAATGCCTCATCAAGTGTCTTGGTGGTACAACCAGTGAAGCACAATGAAGAACAATTAGGTGATACAAAGTACCCTGCCTTTGTTGAGTTTGATGAAGATGAAGCAATTGCAAAACCCCATTGCAAGAAACAAATTGAGGTATGGCCTCTCTCGTCTCAAATCACCCCCTCCTCTCACGTTCCCACCCACACACACAATAAGAAGAACAAAAAACATGCTTCAAGATTATCAATTCCTTCTGATTTTGTAATTGATCGTTTCTTTTGGATAAGTAAGTCCATTTTAGAGCAAACAAAGGTGATACAACTACAAGATCAGTTCTTGTTGTAAATGGATAAATATTTCATTGAAAAAATTTTCTTTAGCTCGCACCTAGCACTGAACAAACTTGTTAATATTAGAATACTGACTCTCTTTTCTCTCTGGGGTGAAGATTGAAGATTTCAGCAATGATCATATCTTGATTTTTGAAGACAGAATGTCGATGAGTGATGATATCGATACGTGTTATGCTTGCAGAAATATCACAATCGGTCCCGGCTACACTTGAAAATTCTGCAAAATCCCTCTCCATAAATTGTGTGCTGAATTACCCGACAAGATGAGACACCCTCTTCACTCTTCGCACACTCTTTCTTTGCTTCCTCCTTATCATCCCAGAGCTCCTGCATTTATATGTGATGGATGCAGACGTGTTAACAAAGGCATGGCATGCTATCAATGCCAGGAATGGCAGTTCATCCTTGACCTCAAATGTGCTTCTTTAACAAATGATCACTGCCAAAAATCAAAGGTGCATTCCAGAGTGATCAAGATTTCCCATTTCACCCATAAGCATAAATTAACGCTCGCCAATAGTAATGAAGAGGAACGATATAATTGCAAGGCTTGTCGATTGCTCATTTTGGATTCAACATATTGCTGTCTTGATTGCTCCTTCTTCCTTCACGAATCATGTATTCAAATACTACAAGAAATACAGCACCCGTTCTCCTCAAGGACCTTGATGGAATTCCAAAACAATGCAGAGCATGTAAATTGAAAATCTCGGATTTGGTCTATTCCTGTGATAATTGCGAATTATTCCTCCATTTTACATGTGCTAATTACCTAAAATCCTCTCTCAAGCATATGTGCCCTGAGCATGAACTCTTTTGCTTTTCCACATTTGATTTAACAAATGATGGATTCAGGCAGTTACAATACTCCCACAACACAGAATGTAACTTTCAATGCCAGGCTTGTCGTGAAAAGTGCGAAGACTGCTTCTACCGTTGTGTGCAGTGTGACCTTAACCTACATCTCAAATGCATTCCTATCCCGCTAAAAGTTAAGCAAGAATGTCACATCTATCCACTTCTTCTCTATGAAAATTTGGTTGAAGGTGATTCTGGGGAGTATTACTGTGATATCTGCGAGAAGCCAAGGAACCCGAATCATGATGTTTATTATTGCGAGGAGTGCGAGGTTGCCATTGCCCATATTGGATGTGTGATACAAGAGGTGAGATTTCGTTCACAGTTTTTTCTCCATGTTAATGGATCAGTACTCTCTGTCCAGTTTTGACGGTTGTGGTAATATGTTAGTTGGCAATATAAATTTCAATCACCGATGTTCTACTTGGCTATATTGCTTTATTACAATTTTGTTGAATTTTAGTTTTGTATGCGCATTAATAGATTATGAAGTCCTTCTCAGAATGATCACTATCTGAACAACATCAATAGATATGAACATATGGTTTCAGTTCTAAATTATTACTGTTTTATTAACTAATTGCCTAATTTCAACACATTTCATTTCCACTTCTGAATTTGATTTCCAGGGAGATACTGCATTAGAGGCGCTTTTATGGTGGAGTGATGATGATCCAGGGTCAGACATTGCAGAAACCTCTGGCCAGATGGATCCTGGAATTGTCCTTGGGAGTACTGATGGAAGTGGCTCGGAGTCGGAACAAGATTGGGACGTGGGGGATTCAGAACTAGTTAACGAGGTGAGTGATTCAGAGCAAAACAATGATACAATGAAAGAGAGCAATGCAGAAGTAGAACAGTACCATATAATTGTTAAACCAGATGAAGAAATTAAGGACCTTCGAGAGGAGATGAGCAAATTAGCTACAGAATAAGATTATTAAATCAATAAGAGCAGAATTCTCTCCACCATCCCCCTCTAGTATAGTATCTTCTTTCCTTTTTTGTTTGGTTTGGTCCTTACCTCAAGCTGTGCAAAACTGCATATCAATGTTACAGATAATAAATGCCTTTTGCCATAAGATGCTGGAACTATCGCTGCTAGATGATAAGTATGAATATTCGGATCCTTTGCTTTGAGAATTTAGACAGGTGACATAAGAGGGGTCGGACTCGGACCTAGAGGTCCCTACTCTCTAGTCTGCATTGTTCTGTTCAAACTGTAAAAAAAAAAAAAAAAAAAAAAAAAAAAAGGCAAACCGAACCACCATAATTTTCTTACGTTTGGATCGGCAATTTGATTTTAATTTTAATCGGTTTGAAAAACGAACGGAACCAAAAACAGATTTCTTTTCTTTCTTATTTTTTAAAATTTTATTTTCAAATAATATTAAAATGACATTGGACATGAAAAAACATATTTGTGTTTGGCATATATGTATGAGATAGAGTTTTTGTATCAGTCTTTTATTTGAGAATTGTAGCACAAGTTTTATTTACGAGAAATTTTAAATTTTATGTAAATTTTATGTAATTAGATCCCTATATGTTAATAAAAAATTAAAACAAATTAGTGAGTATTAATAGGATAAAGAGTGAATCCTTGAAATCATATTGATAGATATGTATTTTTTTATTTTTACTTCAATATCCATTGAATATTTTTAATAAATAGTTATTAATCGGATAAAATAAATATCTATTTTATAACCCCATCCATTAACATTCCTATTGCATATAATAATTAATCAGAAAGGGAAAAGTCGAGCACTTGGGTTGTGACTTGCTGCCTTTACCATACATAAACTTATCATAAATCATAATCACTCCAATTCCCGAAACTTCCATACCACACTTTAGAGCTAATGCTTAGCTTGCAAATGAAATCGACCAAATTAGTGTTGAGAAAACATTTTCCCATTTTTGGTGGGAATGTTTTGACTAAGCACCAGAAAGTAGGATTTCGCCAAATATTACTGATTAAATTTTTCTTTACTGAAGGAGTTAGATTCAATGTTTAAGATTTACTGGTGAGGAGGCTGCTATTATCTCTCTGTGAAATAGATATTGCTTCCACATGCATAAAATCAAAGCAAAAATCGCATTAAAAAAAAAAAAAAAAACTTAGAAAACCAAAAGGTTTAAATAAAGTAGGTTGGTTAAGATTTTAAAATTTAAAAAAAAAAAAAATCCGGTAAACTACGAATGTTTTTTGGTAGAAAATACATAAGAAAACTACGATCTACACTACAAAATGATAAAAAGAAAGATAAATTACAACAGATAAAGATAAAAACTTAAAAGAACAATTTGTAATATATATATAGATATATTGGAGCTGATAAAAAAAAATTATAATGAGAGTGAGTGCTTATTTATTTATCGATAATATTAAATTTAATGGTCAACTAAATTTAAAGAACAAACTAGAATAAATAAGAACATTAATTTTCCTATGACAGTTTTTCTAAACAATAAAAGACAATTGAAAATTAATTACGGCCAACCCTATTGCTTCCGGAATCTACACTCATGGCAATAAGTCGGAATCCTTTTCCGATATATCATAGTTTGTCTTGACTTTCTCTTGTTTGGTCCTTTGTGTTGTTTGAATGTTCGGATTTAATCCTTAAACTCCAACAAACCTTAAAGACAGACAAATAAATAAATAAACTAATGTCATTTATGCATCAAAGCAATTTTGAAGAAATCCAAATTATCTTGTTTATTCCTTTGATGAGTACAAGTTCATTGTTCCTATTGATTATGTTTTCAACGAAATAAAATTTTTATTCACACTTTTTTTTTGTTTGCTTAATAAATTTCAGACAAATATATTTTAATTAATACACATATTTTATCAATATCAACGCATTTTAATTTATGAGGGAGATAATTTATTAGAAATACTTTCAGCAACAAGGATGATATCATATAAAAAGTTGGAGAGACATCTGACCAAATGGATTAGAGAACTGTTCTTGTAAGTAATTCACAACAAGTTAATTACAAAGAAATAACATAATAACACCCTTGAGCTGATGATATTCAAGATCTTTGACAAGAGGATGAAGAAATAAGAATGAATCGTAAGAGGGGGAGCTGTATATAGGTTAATTAAGGAGCACAAGCACCAAAATCAAAGACTCTTCAGGAAAGAAATGGTACCGTACGGCAGCAATTATTAACAATATTTTTAATGATTCTAGATGACGTTACAGCTTACTCCAACCAACAGTTTTGAAAATCTATTGGGCAGTAGTCCTTGAATTTAGCATAGGGTAGTTAGACATTAGTAGACAATCATTAGTTCGTAAAGTAGGTCGCAATTAAGTTATAGAGGTTATATTTACAGTTAGTCCCTAAACTTTTTATACTGGTCCTTGAGGAAATTACCTTAAAAAATTGTTATGCTATAGAGGACGGCATGACTTGATGGTAAAACAAATGAAGGAGAACGAAAGTGAAGGAAAAAGATTGAGGTAAGATGAAAGGTACAAATTGTAGCAAGAAATTATCGAATTTCAACTTTTAATGGTGTGATTGACTTTACAATTATAATTTCTCATATTTTCAGTAATCACCATCCACAGATTTATTATTTCTAAAGTCGTTAGAGTTTGACAATCATGTTGGATTTCGGAAAAATACCATTGACTTTACCAAAACACATTTTTTTAAATTTTTTTTTTAAATCCCAAATACTTCTTAAATACTCTTAAACTCAAACCTAATCTAAAAAATCACTTTTCAATATAATTCCAAACAACAATTTAGATAAATATACTCATATTTTCTTATACAATACTCAAACTTTCTCATATATCTTTACGTTTTTAATTATATCTCATTTATCTCATAAAATATTTAAAATATTTAATTTATCATTTCGATCAATTTTTCGGATCAAATGAATTTTTTTGACCAAAACACTCTTGATTGAATGAAGGAAAATAAAAGAATTTCTAAATACTTCAAACATAGAACATGTAGGTCATGTGACTTTAAGTTTTTTTTTTTTTTCACATTTTAGTTATGGATATTTTGATCAAAAAATATTATATGATCGAAAAATTTGATTAGAAAAACAAATTGAACATTTTACAAAATTATCAGAAACATATGGGATGCAATTAAAAATTTAGAAACGAGATGAAAGACTTTGACTATTATATAAGGATAGATGAATATATTTACTCCAAAAATTTTTATTTTATGCTTTTTAAATTTAAAATTTTCAAATTGAGGTTTACTCTATATTTGGACTTTGTACTCTTCAATTTTTTTTATTGAGATCCTATGCTATTTTTTTTGTTTAATTGATATTTTACTTTATTTTTTTACTTGGTTGGGATTCTTTATTTTTAAATTTTTTTACTTTAGGCCCTCAATTATAATGCCACCAATTAGTGTCAATCACTAATTAGTCACATTATAATATAAGTTTTGAAGTAAAAAATCTCAAAAAATAAAAGATTTCAGTCAATATAAAAAATTCAATGAAAACAAATTCAAAGCACAAAGTTAAAAAAAAAAAAAAAAATCAAATCCACTGAACTTAAGGACCTATTAAGAAAGTATTTGTGATAGTGAGTTATACAGCACGTGATAATAAAAAACGGGTACTACTTGAAATGTTTTTGGCACGTGTCATTCGTAGAGAGCAAAAGACATTAATACTAAACTCATAACAAATGCGTTGTAGAATTTCCCTTGGCTTAGTCTTGACGACTAGCCAGTAAGCATATTGTTTATGGTAGGATGCAGATGGCAATCCAACTCATCCCGAAGCCACCCCGCCGCATCCCGTTTGGGGCGGGGATAGGGTGTAAAATTTTGCCGCGAACGGGGCACGGGGCGGGGATGAGTGTTTTTTTTTTTTTGGGCGGGGCGGAGATGGGGATGGCGATCCCCGCCCCGCCCCGCCCCGCCTTTTTACATTTAAAAAAGGTTTGAGGCGGGGATGAGGAGCGAAATTTCGCCCGAACGAGTACGAGGTGGAGATGGGTTTTTTTTAAAGGGGACGGGGCGGGCATGAGGATGGCTATCCCCGCCCCGCCCCGCCCCGTTGCCGTCCCTAGATGCAGGTCGCTGGGGGGTTGGCTAATGGCTACTATAACTTTCATGGAAGTTGTTTTAAATTGTAATCGTTGGCTTGGATCGTGCCGGATTGGTCCGAATGGATTCAACAGTACAAAAGGACACAGAGTTGTTTGAGTCTGTGCACATAAGATGCTTGATGATATTCAGAATTGGATGGCCAAATGACGTCTCTATCTTCCCATCAACTTTTAAACCAACAACTGTAATATTTCTAGAGTGCTGCTCTTAAAGTCTATTTTTTATTTCGGCTGTTTGTATTTTTCCTTTTGCTTTTGCTGCAACAGATATTGATGCTGCTTCCCTCCCGCTCCAACTAACGTGGCTGCTGCTAGACCGCTACTCGATTTGTCTTCATCAAAAACGGTTGGTTCTTTAGTTTGGTTTCCTTTTCTCAATCTTGTCTTTTCATTATCTTTTACTGTTTATGGTACTGTTCTGCTTCCAATCTCCGGTTTTTTGCGACTTATTAATTGGTATGCTCTGAATACCTGTTTTGTCATGTTGTGAACTCTGATTAATGAAGCAAACTCTGATCCATCGAAATAAATGAATGAATAAATAAAAATGTTATTGCCCATACAGAAAGTTGATCAGCAATGGTGAAGCAATCCCAATGGGCTCACAGTTCTAGATACAGATTTTCTGTTGACCGTGACCCTCCACCCTACTCTGAGGATAAAAATTTGTAGTTTATGCTTTAAAGGGATTACCCAACACTACAAGTTTAATAGATTATTCTTTACATATTTGTCCAAGTATCATTTTTTTTTCTCTTGGTTCTTTTCCTGACAAAATGTGTTCCTATTCGTTCTGTAGCAGAGGGCCAAGGTTGACTTATCGATGCCTTGTTTTGTATAACAGTGAAATTTAAACTGCAACAATTGGTGTTTTTTCCTTTATTGTCATCATTATTGCTGTTATGGTGTGTTTTCTTTCTCCTTCATTTTCATGTTTGCTAATAATTTATCTCTTCTTTATGGAAATTATTTAAGGCTTCTGAAAAAAAAAACAAAAAAGAAAAAACTCATTGGATCGAAAGGAAAAAAATAGGCAGATTTGGGCTGCAAATTTTAATGATTTCAACCGAACTGCTTATTTTGGGAATAATCTGTTCTATTCAGTAGCTCCCAGATGCTCTGGACCAAAGAATAGTTGGATTGACAAATTCCAGCATTTCTAATACGGAACAAATACCAGAGGTGACCTAAGAATGACTTTTCTAGTTGGGTGAATCTTAACTAGGATGCAGTGGGTGAATAGTGCCTGATAGAAAACAGAGTTTTGGAGACAGATCTTCCTGCGTTGACCCAGCAGAAAAATATTGTTATAGATTGAAAAAAAATCGTAGCTGACACTCACTGTTTATCAGTTATCACCCTTGCATATACAGATGTTCAAGCTATTATAATGTATATTAATTGCAGCTGCCCCATGCTCTCTCCATCTTTTATAACAACTCAGTTATGTCATCGATTGGCACCATCAGATACTAAAATCTTTGCATTTCTTACAAATTAACATAGTCAAGGCTATGTTGCTTTTCCCTTTTTTATAATAACTGACCATTTCCTGTATATAGTTGACCTGAAACAATTAAGCATCCATCTTCGCCAACTGAGAGTTTAGTGTTTTAACTGCCTCTCTCTCTCTTTCTCTCTCGCTAAAAAGGGGATAAGACATTTCAACCATGATGATCGCGTCTTGAATTTTTATAAGAAGAGAGGGGAAACTCAAGGAGATTGTGAAGCAGAGATATAAGGAAATTGAGGCTCCCATTTGCAAAGGGTGCGCTAAAATCATTCATGTTCCAGCCTATGTTCGCGAAACTTGTGATAACGATTTTTAGCTGCACAAATCATGCTTTGAATTGCTCGCTGAACTAGTGAATCCTCTTCACTTGCCTGATCACCCTCTCACTCTCCTCCCTACACCTATCGGTGCCCACAGTTCAATTTGTACTGAATGTAGAGACTTTGTGCTATAAGGCTTTGTCTTCCACTGCAAACAATGTCTGTTCAGCCTCGATGTCAAATGTGCTCTTTTTAACGGATGGTGTTGAAGTCTATAGATCAGAGAGGAACGAGTCAAAGACCCAGATTTACAATTTCAGCTACCATCATAAATTGTTCTCCTTCCACTCTGGAGACTACTTTGCTCTTTCTGATTGTAATGGATTTGCATTGCCAGTTAGAGGTCCTGTGTATGGTTGCGTAACATGCCAGTTTTTCCAACATAAATTCTGTGCAGAGATGCCAAGAGAAATACATCACCCATATCATCCATGGCATCCCCTTCATGCTGAAGCTGGTGATCTATTGAAGCATAGGAGGGCCTGTCGTGCCTGTCAATGGCCAATTACAGGAATTTCCTATCAATGTTCAAACTGTAACTTAAATCTCCACATTCTATGTGCCAATATTTCTACTGGGGTAACATTCGCTCTGAAACATGAGTACCATAAGCATGATCTGTATTTCTTTCAGGCATACTATCATCTCAAAGATGAAACCTTTACAAGTGATTCCCGAACTTTTTTCAAGAATTATGGGAAGTCTCGATGCAAAGTTTGTGACTGAATTTGCTGCGGCTCCTTTTAACTCTGTTGGGAGTGCAAATGCTATTTTCATCTCGAATGCATTCCATTACCTCGCAATGTTGAGCATGAATGCCCCTTCCACCCCCTCACCCTTATCAAATCATTTGTTGAAGATGACTGTGGTGAATATTATTGCGATGCTTGTGAGAAACAAAGGGACCCTAACTATCCTGTTTATTACTGTGAGAAACCCTAACTTCCTTGTTTATCACTGCGAGCAATGCCCTGATCGTAACCCATATGGTGCTTATATTGAATGTGTGGTGTCAGAGGTGTGGTCATAATTTTATTTTCTAGGAAAAATTAAAACTATGCTTCCTAGAATTAGCTTAAGTGAAATATGTTTTCTATGCACGCATTCCCTGATGGTTTTAAATACTGTAATTTTTTCAATAATGGAAATACCAACTATTTAGTGTTATTAGAGAAATGTATGTGGATTACTACAATTCAAACTTTCAGTTCCTGCTTATTCTTTGTCTGGAAGAAGATCCACAATAGGTAATGTCCTTCTCTGTTCCTCATGCAGTTCCTCAGGATGACCTCTGGCTCTGACGGGGTAGTTGGTATTTCTTTTTGTTAGGATCAAGGGTAAAAGGATCAGAGCACAATGAAAGCGAGAAGATTGGTGTTACAAGCACACAAACTGAGGTAAGACGCAACACGTAGCTGAAACAATACTAGAATCTCTTTAGTTCCACTTACATGATTGAACTTCTATTCTTATTTTCAAAATGATGGACAACAAACCCAGGCAAGATACAACAGTTTGTTTGTATCACTTGTTAATTTCTTTGGTTGTTTATTGGTTTATGAACATCACTCATTAATTTCAAGTTCAGTTCCTAACAATTTCTGACATTTTGATTTTCTTTTTTTTCTTCATTTCTCTACCCTTTTTTTCTTTTCTATTTGTGCGTGCGCGCTCATGTGCGCGCGTGCGTGTGTGTGTGTGTGGCTACAACACAATCATTTTTTTTTTTTGACAACACAAGTCATTCATTGAAATCCTACTGAGTTTTTTTTTATCCTAAGCAGGATTGTCAACTTGAACAACAGGCGTGTACTTGTTTATCAATCTTCTTTGTTGGAATACGTTAAGATGACTCTTAATTAATCTCTTTACTTTTGGTTCAGATTGACGGCCATAATCATATCTTAACTTTTCATGATAAAAGAGGATCGGAGGGGATCGAGTGTTATCGATACAAAAGAAAAGAGGGAAAATTGCACTCACTTTGTTATACTTGTAAATTTTGCAATATTTATTTTCATTTAAAGTGTGATGAACTCCCCTTCCAGATAAGACACCCTCTTCACCCTCTGCACCCTCTTTCTAAGTTTAATAATCAAAATAACATATACTTTGTGTGTGATATATGTGGAAATATTTCCAATAATGTCAGTGGTTATGAGTAAAGTGTCTGTTCAGAATTGATACCAAATGTGCTTTCTTACCTAGTGATCTGTATGAGAAATTAAGAAAAAGGATAGGAAGTCATTATTGAACATTTCAGCCACCACCATGAGTGAAACAATCGCCAATTTTGAAAAGAAACTTGGTGCGACCTGTGCAACGCATGTAATTTGCTCATCTTGGGTTCAAATATTGTTAGACTGCAGCTTCTATGTTCATGAACCATGTATTAGAAAACTTCCTCAGGAAAAAGAACACCTGTATCACCCTCAACAGTCACTCGTTGCTGGAGTTGGGTCTTTGATAGAAGTTTTAAACATGCTTCGCATGTAAATGGGACATTCAAAGTATTGGCTATTTCTGTGAGGAATGCGATATTTGCCTAGATATCACATGCTCTAATTACTTGACATCTATTCTCAACTTTAAGTCCCATGAACTGTCTTTTTTTGCTTCAAAATACATGAACTGGGTCGCAGAGGCCTTTGCAGTGCTTTGAATGTAAGAGCAATGTGAATGATTCCTTCTACGGCTGTTTGGAGTGTGATGTTTGTATTCATCTCAAATGCATTCCAATACCCCAAATGGTGAAGCAGAAGGGGCGTCATCTTGATCCTTTTACGCTTATGGATTCAACGCACGAAGAATACTGTTGTGATTTTTGTGAGATGCCCAGGAACCCAATGCATCCAGTTTATTAGTGCGGCGAGTGTAAGTTCATTGCCCATATTGGCTGTTTTATTGTCGAGGCGAGGTTTTCGTTCACAAACTTCTCTTTTTAATTATAAGTTGTAGGCAAACATTGGTTGACTTATTTTATCTTAACGCATGTTTATTTATCAGGGAGATGCTTCCCAAAATGTACTTTAATAGGTGGACTAATGAATTGAGATCAGCCATTGGAGAGATATCTGGCAAGGTAGATTTTGGAAATGCCCACGTAAGTGATTCTGATTCAGAACAAGATGAGGAAGCCATAAAAAGAAGCGGTGTCATGCAGAACCTCTAATTGCTGAACTAGCAGATGTTGAAGATCTTCAGTGGAAAGTCAAAAGAATAAGGAAAAAAAAAAAAAAAAACTAGCATCAAGATAAAAGTTCAAAGGCAGGTAGAATTTCAACTACTGCATCTTTAATAAAGCTTTATTATGCTAGACTGTTGATTGGGATCATCATTATTATGGGGATATAAGACTAGCGTTTCATTGATGTTGACGCAGTAAATCAAAATGGATGCAGTGGAGCACTTGAGGTGGGACTTGCCATACGACATCTTTTTATTGTCCTCCCCATTTTTGCCGAATGGGGGCTACTTGATTTTGATTCCCATAAATGTGGCATTAGCTAAACTCCATATATCTAAAAAAAAAAAAGAAAAACTTTTCGGGTCTTCCACTGCTTGACCATATGTGGGGAATTGGCACTAATGGACTCAACAATGGTAATGTACCAATGGTATTTGAGTTTCTGCACGTATGGTGTGTGCAGAGTGAAATTTTTTGGCTAAATGACATTTCGTGTGCCTTCCCATTACTAAGATAAGTGTCACTGAATTTCGCTCGACAGTAGGCATGGTTATTGTTTGTAATTTGTTCTTATGTAGGTCTTTTGTTTTGAACAGGTGGTAATATTCTTGTCTAATTATTTTAATGCCAAAAACAATTTGCATTACTCTTTATTTGAAGCAAGCTAACTGAGCATAATTCAAAGTGCATCCTCCTAGTTATTAGCCAGGACAAAAAATGTCCTTAATTGTGTTTTAAACACAGAAACTAGAAATATCAGGTTACATGAATCACTGTCCTTGAAATAATAGAAGTGTGATTCTTCTATCTCAAGAGACAAAATTTCTTCAATCTGAAATGCTGCAGCGCAAGAAGTCAAAGCCCACTTCTTGCTCATTCACAAGCAGGAAAGCGCACCTCCAACAGCACCTCCCTCCTTGGGAGCAGCTTCCTTGATGATCTTTAGTGGCTGAAGCCCTTCTCTTTTTCTTTATCATTCAGTTCTGCATGTCCATTATCACAAAAACCATTCTCTTTTGCTTGCTCTTTCGCATTTTCTTCAGGTGATGGATCTTTTTCTTTTGCTTTTTCTTCAGGTGACGAGTCTTTTGATTCTGCTTTTTCTTCGGGTGATGAATTTTTTTCTTTTGCTTCTTCTTCAGCTTTCAATCTAGCGTCCTCTTTTGCCTTCTCGAGTGCTGCTATTAGACCGTCCAAGCAAACCTTGTCGTCTCCAGGAAGAGTCTTTGGCATCAAATGCTCTGCAACTTCAGCGGGAGTCATTTTGGTTTCCCCCAACAACTCTTGGATTTTAGCAAACAAGTGGTGCGATTCAAGCCGCAGGTAATTCTTAGCCAAAACCTGGAATGCTTCAAAGCTACAATAGGACAACTCTATGTGCTTGTCCATCCTTCCTTTCCTGATGAGAGCTGGGTCAAGTTTCTCCATGAAATTAGTTGTGAAGACGATTAGTCTTTCTGCTTTGCAAGCTGACCAAAGTCCATCAATAAAATTCAAAAGCCCAGAAAGAGTGACCTGACTCTGTTTGCTCTCTGTTTCTTCCTTCGGCAGTTTGAGCTTTGGATCCTTCTCGTCCCCCCTCCCTGTTCCTCCTTTTTCTTCTTCCTTTGACCAGTTAGGTCAAGAGAACAATCAATATCCTCAATCACAATAATGGACCTGGTCGATGTCTCGATCAGCAGCTTTCTCAGCTCAGTGTTATCTCTCACAGAAGTTAATTCTAGATCAAAGATATCATAGTTCAAAAGATTGGCCATGGCTGCAATCATAGTGGATTTGCCAGTCCCCGGGGGACCATAAAGGAGATAACCTCGTTTCCAAGCCCTTCCAATTCTTGCATAGAAGTCTTCTGCCTTGCTGAATGTGATAAGATCATCCATGATTTCCTTCTTTTTCTCAGCCTCCATTGCAAGTGTCTCAAAACTAGCCGGATGCTCAAACACCACATGCCTCCAGTATGATCCACTGTTAGTGTAGAGCTTCCGCTGCCGATTTCTCAACTTTATTGCATTACCCTCTTTCAAGACATGAGTCAAGTAAGGCCCAAGTATGAGAGTCCGGTGTCTTTTATGGAAAGTGAGCTTGTAGTACTTTCTCTCATCCGTCGCTCCTGGATAGAAAGAATACGATGGTGTCTTGGAAATATGTTTCCCTGAAGCCCACCGTAGTTTGACTCCTTGGAATTCATCAACAACCTCTTCATAATCATCCATGCTAAGAACAAGCGACTGGCTGTTCTTGACCACATCAGCCTTGAGCCGCTTTGCCTGCTTGGATGAACTAGAACTAAGGTAGTTCTCAATAGCATAGTAAGCTTCACTCCGCATGAAACGATCTCCGGTGAATTCATTGAAAGTAATCTGAATGAAAGGGTAGACGAAAGTGAAGGCTCTTTTGGAATACTTATCGAAATAGTTTTGTAACTGATATGGACAATATTGCTTGAACATAGCCCAAGCAAACATAACACTCGCAATTACAGATCCTAGCTGGGTAAACATATCTAAAGGCTTCATTTTTCTTTTCTTTTCTTTTTTCTCTATCTTCCTCCTTCCTCTCTCTCTCTCTCTCTCTTGAGGGTTTTATGCAGCAGTTATATAGCAGCCCAGGAGGCAAAGACGAGTTAGAAGAGCAACAAATCTTATTGGCTAAGTTAGTAGTGTCATAACATGTGACGTGTGTATGCTTGCTTGTCTTGCAACTTGCAGTGGAGTTGTTTAGCTTTGGTTTTCTTGGTCGACTTACACTATATTTCTCCGCTAGTTCCTAGCATAAAATGCCAGGGACCATTATTTCTGTCTTGGATTGTGACGGTGATGTGAAAGGATTTTATATATTGGGTGGTTGGAATAGAAATATGAATAGGAGGAATAGTAGCAGTATAGATGTAGGCATGGCATGCTCAGCGAACGTGCATTATTTATGGTGTCTTCTTCTGCGTTACTTCCTCTTTTCTTTTTCTGTAGAAAGCTGGGAACATTTTTAGCGCACGGCTTCAAAATATAGAAAAAGTAATAAAAGAAAACAAGTTCGTCCTTTTCAAGTCGTAAATCGTCTCTGACTTGAGGAAGCAACCATTGGGGCTATTTATTTATTTTTATCAAACCTAGAAAAAGAAACGGCTTGAGCCTTGAGCTACTTTATGGTTTCCTTATTGATCATGTTCACTTAAATTTGGCCATGGATGATGCAGATACACGTGGCAAGAAGCTCTCCCGTGGTCTTGTGGATCCACCAGCCAGGCAATACTTGGCCCCTTTTGCGTGGGGCAGGCTTGGCCGACCGAACGGACTCATTCTAGCCCACATATCGTTATTCCGAGGTTAATTAGTGTAGGGGCCCCTTATTTTAGATTTTGTATTACTGAAGGACCTAAAAAATCGTTGAAATTTCTTAATCAAAAATTTCTAATATACATCTGTTAGTACCTTTAGTCCTTCCGTCAGTAACGGTATTATTTGACCGTTAGTTTTGGAACATCCTTGGAATATGTGTATATGTATTTTTCTAATATCTGAAAAATTCATAAAAATAATAGATAGATAAATAATTTTAAAAGTAAAAAATTAAGTTCTACCACTGATTCTTTCCCCTCATGTATTAACTCATTAAAAAGAAACTGATAAAAACATAAATTAATAATATAATCAACTCAATTTTAAAAAAAAAAAAAGATAAAAAAAATTAAAATTAAAAAAAATACATCCAGATTTTCTCTCCCATTATTACATGAAAACGAAACTATTACGACCCTCAAATTTAAATTCTTATTTATTTGATTTAAAAAATCCAATGTTGCCACCAGGTTTAAAGGTTTTTTTTTTAATTATTATGGAGATAGAATTGTGATAATGAAACGTTTGTAATGCAAAGACTTTTTTTTCTGGATTTAATCGACCTTTTCTTTATTTTCTATTTTCAATTTCATACTTATTTTTATTTCGTTTTTATTAATAATAATGTACTTATAAAATCAAAGAAAAATAAAATTGACAGGAAATACTTTTTTATTTTATTTATTTAGTTTTTTATTTTTATATTTGTCGTTTATATTTTTTATTTTTTTTACTTTTTTATTTTTTTTTATTATTTGAAAATTAAATTTAAATATTCTTAAAATATACTTTTTTATATAATTATTTGACTCATACATATATATAAGAGTTTTAAATAACATTTTCATAATTGTGTTATGTTATTCGAACCAAGTAACTCTTTGGTGGAACAATGTTATTGGTGAACCGATCGGACTCTATCCATTCTTAACTAAAAGACAAATAGAATATATATGAAATAATTCCACACACTTAGAACACATTCTCTAACTAAAGATGAGGGTATGACTTAGAATCAACATCCCTTGTACCTTCATTGACATAGAACCATCATATTGTAATAGGTCTCAATGTCCAATAAGTTACCATGAAAATAGTCATCCACTTATATGTAAACGTAAATCATTTTTTTATTTTTTGAAGCACATATTAGCTTTCTTTAGAAGAAATGTATTTCGATAGAGGCATTGTGGTGGACCTTTTGTATAGTTGTTTGTCGGACGGGCAATATCACACCAACTCGTCTTGTTAAACAAGTGGCCTCTATCCTATCCGCATGAAGTGTCTTATTTTTCAAACACTCTGCTCAATCGATGTTTGTCAAGTCTCTTTGCTCGGTTATTGGACTACATAGTCCACTATAGGCTCATCTTGTTTTTCGATGCTAAGTTTTTTAGGACTTCTATCCATACCATATTTGGGACATTGATAGGGTTTGTACTAACTAATTTTGATAGAAAGTTTGCTTGTGTTCTTTTCCCTAAAGATTTGGGAAGTGGTAATTGTTTTTCTTTCTTTTTTTTTAACATTCTCAATATCTTTATATACCAACTGGTAGTACTTAGATATAGAGAGCTCTTTCATCTTAAAATGCTTTTTATTGTCCTACTATCAACTAGGAATCATTATGAATATGGAAATGATAGGCCTTTAAAGCTTTTTTCACATTAAGATTGACTATCCGAGCTTTAAACTCAACTATCTTGTTTATGAAGGAAAACTCAAAATAATGCCCGTACTCAAATACTTTTTGGTATGGATTGATGAGGATTATATTGACACCATTTTCTAAAACAAGTAAATCATAATTATTTATCTTTATTTCTAGTTAAATTCGATCTATCACAATAGATTTGTTGATGCACATTAGTTTATTAAGGATCTATTTGAGCGATTGGTCGACCAAGAGTGTGATGAGGTGAGCTTAGAAGTAGGACTTAGCTTTTTGGTTGCATTGACTAGTGCAAGGACAACTTTTTTCACCTTTAAATATAGTGTCTTAACATCCTAAAGAGTCCTATTAATGTAGTAAATCAGTATTTGTTTGCTCATTTTCCCTTATAAAGGCAACATTAATGGCTACGTCTATTGCCCTTATATACGTAAATAAGGCTTCCCTATCCCTTGGCTATGATAGCATTAATGAGAAAAAGAAGGATGCCTTTCATCCTTTGAAGGCTCTTTTACACTCTAGAGCCTATAAGGCATTGCTGATATTCTTAAGGGTGTCAGAAAAGACAAACATCATTCTTTCAACCAATAAATCAAGTAATTCCGCACAACTAAACTCCCAATAAGCCTTTACTCATCTTTTTATTGATTTGGAAAGAGACGTGTCTAAAATGGCTTGGAGTCTTATAGATTCGGCTTTATTTCTTTGTTACTCACGAAGAATCATAAAAATTTCCTCTTAATGATGAATGCATATTTAGCAAGGTTTAGTTTCATTTGGTGTATGTGTAAGATCAAAAATACATCTTGGAAATCTTAGAGGTTATCTTTAAAGATCGTGTTTTTGACTAAAATGTTATCCATATAGATCTCCATGTTCTTTCCAAAATGGCCTCTAAACATCTTATCCACCCTTCTCCGATAAGTAATCCTTGCATTCTTAAGATCAAAAAACGTGGATTTATAGCATCGTGTCCCTCTATCGGTGATGAAAGAGGTCTTTTCCTTATCATCGGGGTGCATAAAGATTAAGTGATATCCCGAATTATCATCTAGAGAGCTCAAAAATTCAAAGTGTATGGTTAATTCCACCAACCTATCTACTTTATGAAGGAGGAAGTTGTCTTTAGGATAGGTTTTATTGAGGTTAATAAAGTTTATGCACGTTCTTTTTTTTTTTTTTTTGCACTTTTTCTTTAACATTACATTTGCCGACTAATTAAGATATATGACTTCCTTAATGACTTTGCCTTTTGGAGCTCCTCCACCTATTTAGGAATTATTTTTTTACCTTTATCTCTCAAAATTCATCTTCTTTTTAAAATTTGAAGAGAAAAAAAGGTTAACTTTTATTTTATATGAGGCTATATCTAAACTAATCCTAGACATGTCATCCAAACAAAAAGCAAAATTTTTGTTTTGGATTTTGAGGAGCACAACAAGTTGTTCCCTTTATCCGATCATCAAGTTTCATCCAATTTTAGTTAAGGAATTGGGATTTTTCTTTTCTAGGGCCATGCTTTTTAACTCTTCGAGTCAATTTTGTTCGCTATTCCTTTTTTCTAGAATTTATCCCCAATTCTCAATTATTATGGCTTTTTTCTCTTTTAATCAAAGTAAGGTATATTTTCAAAAAAAGCTAATTGGTTGTCTCTTTTTTATAGCTACGTCACCTTTTGTAGGGAACTTTAGGGCTTAGGTACCTTGTGTTGATGGTTGTATTTATCTCGTGAAGTAAAGGCCTCTCGGTTATGGCATTTTATTAAAGACTTATCTAAATGACATGAAAGTTTGTTGGAGTTTCCTACACTACGAATAAGTATCCATGATGACTAGTATTTTAATGGAACCCTCAATTGGCACTTTCTTTTCTTCTATTCCTACTAAAAGGGTTATAACAAGGAATAATTTGGAGACAAAAATCTTTATCAAGTCAAAAACTTCTCACTAAAGAATGTTAATTGTGTTGTTATCATCCATAAGGACTTGGTGGACTCGATGGTTGGAAAGGACTATGGTGATAAAAAACCATCTTCATTGGGAAATGAGACTCCCTTTATGTCCTCTAAAATGAACATAATAGGTTCGTGCTAAGAGTTGGGCATCCACGAAGTGGTAAGAACCTATTTCTCATATGTTTTTCTTTTCTTATTGGAATCTCTTCCTTTAAAAAATCTCATTTAAAATCGCCTTGATTTTTTAAAAGCGAATTATGATGCTCATTAGGTTCTCCTCAATTATGATCTTGCCCATTGATATTCTTCATAAACTGTTTGATATAACTCTTAGCGATCAATCATTCTATTTCATTCCTTAATGCAAAGCAATCCTCCGTGTCATGTTCGTTGTCTTTTTTAAAGAAATAATGCTTACTTTGATTGTGACGATGGAGAGCATTTTTCAAATGAAAATAGTCATAGATATATTCATTTCTTTGTATTGTAGTATTTATCTCTATACGGGTGACATTTAGAAGGATAGTTTGGAGTTTAGGAAATACCGGATAACTCGTAGAGGGACCTTTTAGGATTTTTTTAGGGATTTAAAAAGTTTGAGGAGACTTATCTTTCTTGGTCTTTTTATCTTATGCATTTTAGAAATGAGAATAAGCTCGTTTAGCGGAACTAGCCTCATCTACTCGAATGTGGCTTTCTATCACTCTTCACTTAGATGAGATTTTTTTCAAGAGAATCAAAGTTTTCTTCATAGCCCAACATTATAAACCTCATATATTAAAGCTTATGTTGCAATGTATTCCAACGATCAGTCTATTTTTAACATCTTCTCATAAAACCTAGATAGGTATGGTTAGATACTCTCGTTTTCCTTTGGGGAGATGGATAATAGGTTAGTGGAGCTTTTCTCATCAAGAATGTTGGTGGAGAATCAAGCCATAAGTTTAGAGTAAAATTTTTGAGAACTAAGTACAAACTCCGGGTTCAAATTATGATACTATTAAAGTATGAGTTCAAGCGTTTCTACGACATTCCATACATTTTCTCGAAGGTCGATCAATCTATCATATATGTCTAAGTTTATCTTTGTAGATATGAACTCTTTTAAGAGCTTGGTATCTAGTATGCGGGGAGCAAGCGAGAGGTCCGGACCTCGTGATCATAGTGGTTTGATTCGAGTTGTCGAACCACTACTATCTTTATTCCCATTTGATGTTGTTCGAGCTCGGGATCGACGAAGGCCGTTGAAGAAAATGAGCCCTTCGATGGTGGTTTCCTTGTCGATGTCTTTGATATTGACGATACTCGGATTCGTCCTCTTTCTCTCTCTCTATCCCCCTTCTCTTTCTCTCTCTCTATCCTTTGTATTAAGATTTAACTAGTTGGTCATTTCTTGTAATGGTGGGAGCGACTTCTTTAAGGGTTAGAAGGGTAATAACATTCTCTTTTTCACTTTTCATCTCGTTGTGTCTCTAAATATCCTCCTCAAAAGATGGTCGTTTGTGCTCATTTCGAAAAGAAAGTGGTGGGGATTTTTCTCTTATGATGGAGTCAATTAAGGCATTAGTGGTACTTGCGGTGCGACGATGAATTAGTAAAGATTTTGAATTGCTTTTGCATGATGAGAAGCATTTGTCAACCGTTAAGCTTATTCTTCCAACCGAAGAAGGTCTATTGGTTGAGCGCTTGAATTGGCTAAGCTCGTTATAATAACATGATTGGTGTTTCTCGATTTTCAAAAAAAAAAAAACTTAAAAGTTAAAAATTTGCATTAAGAATTGACTTTTAACTCAATTCCTCACAAACAACTCCATTTGATAAGGTGTGAACATTAGAAGATGATGTGGCTCTTTTTTGAAAGGTACAGTAATGAAACTTGATGATGAATGTAAATCAAATTAGCTGAAATATATGCAAAACAAGTTATTTTAGTGAGTTAGAAAACTCTTAGATGATAAGTCAATGCATGAAAGAGAACGATGGCTTGAAAAGATAGTGATGTAATAATAATAAAGGTAGTTAAAAGAAAATCAAAACTCCTCACTCTAGATTTATTGGCTGTCTATGTAGTGAAGAGTCTCGTCAAATTGCACAAAAAGGACAGAGTCGTATATTTTCTTATTGCTATGAACCTCTGATTCTGATTAAGGGATGCGTATCTGTAGCGTTGACGGATGCTGAATGGACAAAGTAACGTCATGGTTGTTGTTCATTTGACAGAAATAACCTTAGAGACATGATTTAATGTTTGTACTTTTTGTTCTTGTCGTTGGTGAGGATAAGAGCAAATGCCTTTGGATCGTTGGTAAGCTGCTTAAAGGAATCACCCATGAAAGAATCGTACAGGTGGTCCAGGGTCGTCCGGATGGTCTTGGGATGTCCAGGTTTGGTCTGGAACTTTCAGGATTGTTCCCGTATAAGGGGTAATGGATGTCGGATCTGGTTTCTCCACGTATCAACCTTGGTTGAGTCCACGAATTTCCCGTATATATATATATATCACATTCCATTACCACTCAGAGTCAAGCAAAGCTGTCATCATGACACTCTTACATTCAAGTACTCATGTACGTGGATGATTATGGCAAGCATTACCGTGACATTTGTGAGGAGCCAAGGAACCCGAATCATCCTGTTTATTATTGTCAGGAATGTAAGGTTGTCATTGTTCATAACGAATATGTGAACTACGAGGTGAGATTTTTTTCTTCTCCATTAATTATTGCACCCGTTATTTATCGACACATGGAATCCCAATAACAGATCTCAAGATCTATATTTAGAACATTCTTCATTTTTTAAAAATGAAATATTACACATGTTTGAGGGAGACACTTCACTGAAAATACTTGAATGCAAGAGTAGGGATTTCGGACTAGGCTATTACAACGTTGAAAAGCGGGTGAATTGTGGGAATGTCCATGCAAGGGATTATGAAGAAAAGGCTTGGTATTGCAGCGATAGTGTAACGGAGAACAGCTTGCAATTGGGAATTTCCATGCACAAGAGCATGATGCAGCGAAAGGGTGTAACCTAGAACAGCCTGTAATTGCTGAAATAGCTGAAGAAATTGATGAAGATCTTCAGCTGGAGATTAAGTAAATAAGAATTAATGAAGAGGTCCAAGCTGCAGGATGGTGATCAGCACAACAACAAAATTAGATGCAATTCACAAGGTAACTGGCTAGAAGAGAAATGTACCTGTAGACTTCTGTAATGATTTTTAGAGTTACCTATGGTGGTGGGCTGGTTATTGGCCAGTTGATGAAACAACTGCATTTAGCTTGTCAAAATTTGGTCATCGGCAAATAAAGATTTCACTACCGGTGTACTTTATGATGGCATATTACTTAAAAGAGTGCAGGAGGTGTCTGGTTTCAACAGCCGTGGTTAATGAAACCACAATCCTTGAGGTGCAACCCTTCTAGTGCTAATTATGGCAGATGATGGAATTGGTCTGCTGATTTTGCCATTGGTTCTGCTTTGTTGCTAAAGTTCATCATTTGTTCTCTCACTTTATTGTTCAGTTCTTTCAATGTTAGTAATGGTCTGCTATTAGTTTCTGGATTATGTCTACCATTTTTTTTTTTTTAAGGTAGTAAAATTCTCACAGTCAACAGTCTTATATATATGGGGAAAAATAATAATAACAAGATAAAAATTGATGGAGTTGGTATTCTGCAATTTCTGAGCAGTTCCATAACTAACTTCATCAAGTGCTCCTGTAGATTTGATACACCAGAAGGTCACCGTTTACTTGAATTACTGTGTGAATGTAAGCTACAAATTCTTTTGAATAATTAAGATTGCAGGAGCATACAAGTAAAAAGTCCACAGCATGAGCATATACAAATAAATCCCCTAAACTGAAGAAGGAAATTCAAAATGGAGCTTTTGATTCTTAGCTAGACGAACAAAGCTAACATATGCCATGACCATAAATATTTACCTACAGAAAACAGAGCAACTTGAGTTCCAAAATTTCCAGGTCTTCAGTGATTACGCCTCATTTCATGGGACATGCAACTTTTCTTCAGGCTTTTACCACATCATCTCCAGGAGTAGCTAATTGTCTATTGTTGCAAACATGTTCAATTGGATGCAGGCCCGGTAGACAATGCTGCTGGTTCATCTGTTCTTGGTCGTTTTACTGGTGCCAGACTGGACTCCTCTTCAGGTTGGTCAAGAACCTGACTGTTTCTGTCCTCTGGTGCCTTTTGCTTCCTGCTTATACTCTGGGAACTTTCTTCCAATAGAGCACTCGCATTACTTGTGTCAAATCTTGTTTCGACACAGTCCAGCTCTGGGGCTTCTAATTTGTTATTTGCAGATGACTTCTCTAACTGTGACTGTAGAAGGGAAGGGTCATCTTGGGAAGAGGAAGGAGCCTTGGACTTGTCATCCCCCATCTTTCTTTGTTTCTCAAACATTTCTTGAAGATACCTCCCCTGTTCCTCAATCCTCAATTGTAAATTTCTCTGGATCTGTTGGTATACAACATCATTATCAGAAGATACACCAAAACTGTAGTTACAAAAACCACGCACACATTTGTTGTATTTCCGCTACATCAATGTAATATTAATGGTCACCAACTTAACTAAAGGTTAGCATAACATCTAAACTGTTCAATCAAAAAGGTAATAGAAATCAGCATCTCAATTGTTAAACACAAACACTGTTGCTCGATGCCAATAGCATACCTCAAGTTGTTCGTGGAGTCGCTTCTGAACTTCCATTTGCAATCGCAATGCTTCAGTGATCCCCATACTCCTGTTTTTTGAGCCATAGGTCAGCCTAAATTCAGCTTAATAATCCATTGTTATAAAAATAAAAAATAGAAAAGCAGTCCAGTTTACAGACCGAGTAAAGGAAAAATGATGAATGTGTATTTTCTCTGATGAGACGCTAATGAACCTTAAGGAGAAGAATATCATCACAAAAACCAATTGACTTAAAGGTTGACAGATTAGAGAGGAGTTCAAATGGTGGTTATTATTATTTTCTAGTTTAAACCTTCATAACTACACACATCAAAGTTTCTAGGAGTTCTCAATAAAACCAGAACGAAGGAGAAAGGCATTTTCTCTAAAGTCAGCCACACAAAAAACTGCAAATTTCCTTCCCACACAGTTCCTTCCTCACCTCTGTCAATTTATATCTTCTCCTTCTACGGGAAAAAGAATTGAAGAAAAAAAGCGAGCAATTGAAGTATCCCTTTGGTCTGTTTTGCATTGTCATGTAATAACTATTTAATATGGAGAATTTAAACACAAAAAAGCTAAGCCTTCTGTGTACATTGGTCATAACCACACATTTAGTCTGCTTCCCTCTCAAAGGAAATCTAGTTGTTGTGCATCGTATAACATAATCTACATGGAGATTCCACCAGCCACCATTGAAGGAGAAATATTAGAAACTAAAGTCAGAACATGAAACCTATTAAGTGCCTCTAACCATCACATCATTAAAAATCTACATATGTAAACCACAGTCTGCAGTCATATAGATGAAACTTCTAAGACCTTATTAATCAGGAAAAAAAGAAAGTTATATTGGATAAGTTCGATAACTAAAAAGAAAGCATTCATTATCAAGAAAGGTTGATGTCACATTAAAACAGTGGCAGAGGATAACTTACGTCTTCATGTCTAGAGATTTCATTTCTTCCACAGGACTCGATTTTTTCTCCGAAGTTCCTGAAAAAAGCAGAATTATGTTTTGGAAATCGCATAGAAAATGAATAAAATTATTAAAAAAAAATAGTACTAAACGTTTTTCTGAGCCTTGCCATAATCTAAAACTTAGGAATAGAAGGCCACAAAGATACATACAACTATAAAAGGCTTTTGGATAAAGTATACAAGAAGTTAGCAAAACTTGCATAATGTGAGAAAAGAAAAGGAAGGCGATTGTTGTTACCTTCAGATGACTCTGGTTTATATCTGGCTGTTCTGTACTTCTGAAATTCAATACGATACAAGCTAGATCAGTAAAATATAAAACTAGATTCTCTGAGGAAACTGTACAAGGCTAAGAATTTACATACCTGCAGGTGGCTTTTGACGTGATAGATGGTCAAGCCTTCGACATTCATGTGCTTTAAGACACCCTTGGGAGTAGCTCCTGTAATTCAAAATCAAAGTGATAAGCTGCATTTTCTGACAAAAGGTACAAGATAACTAGTAAGACCACTCACTTTCACTACCCCCAAGATGATTGACAGCATCCACAAAAGCCTCATGAAGTTCAGGCGTCCAGCGCATTCGGGGTTTTGTTAGGGCTGCAGAGGACTGTGGATTAGTAACAGCACATACTTCTCCACTATGGGCAGTTTGATGCTGGTGAATTGGGGGTTGTTGCACTGAGATATTAAGAGACGGCTTCAACACCTGGTATTATAGTTTAAGGAGAAACAAGAGAATGTGAAAAGAAAAATAATAATAATAATAATCTTATAAGATGGAGAAATTTTACATCTCGAACACTAGACACAAAGGAGGCATCTTTATGCTGTGTATTTAATCACTGTACAGGAACAAAAACCATAATAATAAGAGGAAGAAACCTTCAGGGTGGAATCTGTCTTGTTGACATCATTCAAAATTTCACTCCAATTAGGTTCCAGTTCATCATCAACAGAGATCAACTGATCTGCCCACTCCAACTGATCCTCAGATGCAATGACACCTGCGCTGCTTTCCACCTGAGCATTTCGGACAACAACATTTTCAGAAAAATCAAGTAAGTCCTGAAGTGGATCTATAGGCCAGGACATATCCTTATTGTCATCATAGTGATTAATGAATTCTGTTGATTGCACTTCTGAAGGAGAATAACGGGTTGGTGGAAAATTTCCTCTGTCCCTTAGTGACTGAGAAATGAATGGAGAATTATGAGACTGCCTTCCTTGTGGTGAAACTGAAGAAACACACGTATCACTGGTAAATCTAGAAGATGATGAAAACAAGTGCCCAATGCTCCCATTACCAGGACTCAATGGTGATGTCTGCTGAGATGCAGAATTTCTCATCATTTCCCTTTCCAAAGAAACCTGAAAAGAATCAAACAACTTAGGGAACTTTTCTTCAACAAGAGTATGAAGAACCGGAAAAGACGAGGCCATAGCCTCAGAAACCCTGAAAATTACTTGGTTACTAGGCTTACTTACACTAAACGCTAGGCAACTAGAGCAGCGAATGAAACCAGCGCCAGCAACACATTTAGTAGATACAATTTGAAACGTTTCCCAACATAGCACCAATAAAAGACACACCAGGACTGAAATTGGATTCTGGCACCTATGAGAAGAAAAAGATTAAATCCAAAATGGTGAAACTCATGCTGTTAGCCCACAGCATTTCAAAAATTATAAAAAAGCCAACTTTCTATTAGTAAAGGATATAAAAAGCAAGTTAGTTCCGTGAGATAAGATTGGACTGGAAACAGTCAGTCTCAACCTCTCATCAAATTGAATTCAACAGGTGTTGCAAGAGACATGAAATATCATAAGCAATTAGGAAAGGATATTTTGTTCAGAAGATAATCTTGCATTGTATAAATGCTTGAGAAAGAAATTCTCTGTGAAAACGAAGAAAAGGAGCAACAAAAACAAAGAAATCATCCTATAAATCAATCACACTACACAATCCAATTCAATCGCTTGCAATTATGTCAAAACCAAATAACATTCATAATTTCTGTAGTAAACTACCACTGTTTAAAAAAGTGAACTTCTTAAACCATGAAAAACTCCATCGTTGGGTAGAGATAATCATCAAGTTCAACACATCAAAACAACAATTTCCACCACACACACACGGGAAAAAAAAAAAAAAAAAAAAAACCCTATTCCCATTATTGAATCCCCACTCAAGATGTATAAACACGCATTAAAAAAAAATTATTAGCCACACAAAACACCATTATCAAAAAAATTGTAACCCCACAACACAAAAAGGCAATAAAATTAGCAAACAACCCAACTCATAATCAATCAAAACCTCATAAAAAACACACTCAAATTCACTAAAACAAAAATAAATAAATAAAACTGGGTATCAATTGTTATTAGCTAAAACAAGTAATATCAATCAAAACTTCATAATGATATCACATAAAAGTTCAGAACTTTAAAACTCAAACCGGGTTCATAAGAATCTCACCTGGAATTCAATGAAGATAAAGATTGAAGTTTGCTATGATTGGATAAGAACCCAAAATTTTGGAAGAACAAGAATATAGAAACAAAACACAAACTTGTGTCTTCTGATTTTCAACAAACTGAGAGGACAAAGCTCTCCTGTTGTCATTCAATCATGAGAGAGAATACGTAATTAGTAGTGCTTTAGTATTTGTCAGGTAACACATTTGTATGTCTTCTGTTTTTGTCTCATTATTTCCCAACCGTTGATTTTGATTTGAAATTATTTAACGGGCGTTAGAGCCTATTTTGGACGGTCAAGGTTGGAGGAGGCAGAGAGAAAAAATACGTGATGGTGTGTGGGAATTTATTGGCTGCTAAAAACTTGGTGGGGCCAACTCAAGTAGTTGTTGTTTCTTTTGGTACTTCTCAACTTGCCTAGTCCACCCGAGCATTTATTTCGTTTTTTGTTTTTTCTTCTGTGATTTTTTTTTATGGTATGGTCTTTAATTCTTAAAACAGAAATAAAAATTGCATTAGTTGTGATTGATTACATTTTTGTCGGGTAAGACATTGTGTGGCAAAAAGATATTAAGTTTTATGAGCCGTGTTTTGCAAAGTCTTATTAGGCCTCGACATTCTTTTCTATTTACGGCATTATAATTTCGATTATTTTTGTCACTGGAAATCCATTACTCAAAATTTGGATTGTAGTTAATTAATTAATTGGTAAGATTCCTTTGCTATCACCTCACTAGAATATTAAAATCTGAATTTACTTAGAAAGTGTGTAATTGATAAGATTTACGTCAGGATCATATGCACCGGGACTAAAGGATTTTGCCAATTATATATTCTCTGTATTTTTCTTTTCTTTTTTTTTCTATGGTGACTGAATTGTTATATTATTTATTTCATTTTGTTTTCGATTATATGTTATAACTTCATTAGTTCATGAATTAACGTGATATATATATTTATGGATAAATGATTCGTGTTATGCATGAAATTTAATAGAATAATAGAATCAAAACAATTAAAAAAAATTGAATTATGAGTGGTTGAACATACTACATCGAAAAAACACTACCAAATATGCAATCAAATTTCAAAAAACGGAAATACATATAAGAGTTACATGTTATTATTATTTTTTTCCTTAAATTAGTTCAATTAACAGAACCTGGATAGCGTCAAATGTTTTTCAACCCCGAAGTATCAGAAACAAGATGGAAAAGAGAAAACAAATATTGTAAGATGAGGTGACTTTTCGTTTTCTTGTGAATCAAGTAAGGGGCACGATTGTAGAAGAAGTGGTGTGCGTAGGTGGCAAGATAATCCATAGCACAACAGGGACTTGATTTCTTCATATTAACAAACCCATCCACTTCTCACAGAATCTGTTAAATCCGAAAGCGTCAAGTTATGTTCTTAGAACTTAGAGCACGTCAGGACAAAAGATTGAAGCATAAAGCCACAAGTTTTTCCTTGCCATCACCGTTAGGATATATATATTGGTTAGAGTCATCGTATCCCTATTAATTGGAAAATTAATTTATACTTTATGGAATATTCCGTCGAAAGTATAAAGTAGTTTCGCGGACAATGAATCTCCGAATCAAATTTTTTGGTTGGAAAATCATCGGTCGATAAATTTTTCCCAACGAAATTTTTAACGGAAAATAAGGTTCGAACGAAATATTCTCTAGGGGTTTATTTGTTTTTTTCAATTTTTTAAATAATTAATTTCCAATGGAACTTTTTGTTGGAAATTAATAAAATATAACTTTCCAATCGGAAATACAAATAAAAAGATAATGTAAATAATTGAATTTTTTTAAAAGTATATTTAAAAGGGTACGCTACTCTTATTATAGTTATTTAATGCTCTAAATCAATATTCAATTTCCATTTTAGTTATAGAGTTTATAAATGCTCCAAATCAATATTCAATTTTCTTTTTATTTGTAGAATTTATTGTGAATTTATAAAAATAATATTATATAAAATAACGCTTACTTAATAATGTCTATAATCAATACTTTCATTTTCATTCTTTTTTTTATCACGATACAACAATAAATGTAATTAGATAACTCCTAAGAGATCCTTGTTGTTAGCTTTTAAATATTAAAAATAGTAACGAAACAAAATTTATTTTTTTGCAATTCAATTCAAACAGTCAATTGAAAAACATCATTAAAACAATATATTCATAAAACTCAAAACCCATAATATCAAGAATAAATTATAATGTAGTCCATACTAGGTTTTTTTGCCCTCATTACATTGCGGGTTGAATAAAATATATAAAATCATTTAGAGAAATTATTTTATTTTGATAATCTGTTTTATGGTGTGAATCTACAAAAATATATGAAATCAAAGGTGACAAAAAGTTATTTATACCATTTTAATCAAAAAATTTGTATTTAACTATTTCTTATTTGTATTTTTCATAATTTTTCATTTAGAAAAAGGATTCATCCTTATTAATTCATGGATTATTAACAAAAAAAAAATTAAATAACTTTTTTTAAAATTTTTTTAGTATTTTATAAGATTGTGTCGAAAAACATAAATAACAATTATTAAAAGCTTACATAGAATTGAACAATTTTTTTTTAATTTAATGTTGATGAGAATATCTCGTTTTTGAAAAAATATGAATTTAATTTTTATATATTTATTTACAAAAGAATGAATAATATTAAAATAAAAAAACTATATTAATTTGAATCATTGAGTGGTTAAGCCAAAATATTATTTTAATTATTTATTTCAAAAATAAATAAATAAATAGTAAATGCTTAATGTAGAAAAATAATAATATTATTATATGATCATAATATTAATAACATATGACTTTATTAAAAAATGACAAATTAAAGTATTAAATTCTAAATGATTAAAATAATTAAAAGAAAATACTAAAACAAAATAGGATCAAATCACAATACAATTAAAGTTTAAAATTGAAAAAAAAAGGTATAGAAAAATTGAGGATCAAAGTGTTAAAAAAAAAAGACATAAATAGTAAAAGGAATAGTGATTTATGAGTATGTGAATAGTATTTTCAAATAGTGAAAATGAATAGTAAAAGTATGTTTTACTTTAGTTTGTTTTATGATGTTTTTGATAATTTTATAAGTTAGTCCTTTTGTTTTTTTTTTGTTTTTCTAAAGCATCAGTCCCTTGATCGAAGTTGACTATTATTTTGTTTTTTTATTTCTAAATTACTCTTTTAAAATAGTTTAATTGTAGTTTTTGTTGTTGAACTATTGAGCTTGTGAAACATTGAAATACATACCATCAATTTGGATAATTTTATTCTTGAACTATCATATTTTAAGCATATATGGTCTTTCTATTTGATTTGACCGTTATCATTGGCGCAAAAAAAACCATTTTAAAAGATTCAATTTTGATATTTTAAGCTGAAATTTTTTACTTATCCTAATAAAAATTCGATCTATTTTTATAAATAACTTCAATTTTTTTAACTCATAAAATTTTATTTATTTTATGAACAATGAAATGCAATAAGTTATGAAAAATATAAATAAGCTTGAATTATCTTTTTTTTTTTTTAAGAGCCCTAAGGTGATCATATGGATTTACATAAGTAATTTTAGTGTAGTTTTCGAAAAAAATTACATGTATTGTTCCCAAAATTAATTTATTTTAAGTTTGGTTAAGTGTTACATATTTGAGTATGCAAATATTTTGATAATCATACTAAGACTATGTGTGTGTGTGTGTGTGTGTGTGTGTGTGTGTGTGTGTGTGTGTGTGATTTTTTTAGGACCCTAATAAAATTCGAGATCACTCCAAATTATTTTATATTTTTAAAATTTATAAATATTTAATGTTTAAAAAATTTAAAAATTACTTCTTGATCTCAAAATTTTTTTAAATTATTTTTGAAAGTATATTAAAATTTTATTAGTAGGTGTGTAAAAGTTCGGCTAAAAATATCAAAATTTATTTTTTAAAAAAAAATTGATCAATGATAATAGTCAAATCAAAAGGAATGATCGTATTTGTTTACAATATGATAGTTTATAGATGGAATTAACCAAAACAGGTTTCACAACCCTAGTAGTTTAGGGGTAAAAACAAACATTAAACCCTTTTCAAATACACTTTTAATTTTGTTTGGAGTGGATAAGATTGAAAAAATAGATTGCAAATGACGGATATATTATTTAAAACGATAATTTAATTATTATGAAATAGCAATATGAAGACCAAGTTACAATCAAATATGAAAGTATAAGTACTTAATATTAGGTTTTTAATAACAAATGGATTACTGATTATTTCATTAAAAACACAAGGAGCAAATAATAATTTACTCCAATATCAATCAAACCAAGACAATCAGACATGCTCATAAATCTCCTAATAATTATAACCACCAATTATATCATAAACACCATCATATTTTGGAGGAAATCAATTACCATCGTCAATTAATTTTAAAAGAAGAGAGGAAGATGAGAAATGAAAAGAAAAATAAATGCTAACGTCATAATAAAAAAAACTCTAACATCATGACAACAATTAAAAAAATATATAAAGAGTGGAAAAAGAGAAAGGCATCCTTTTTTTAAAAAAAGAGAAAATGTTGATGTGAGAGGTTATTGGTTCTAATATATAATGACAAAAGAGATTGGAATGAGATAAAGATTGGAAACAAAGCAGAACGAGTCAAAGATAGACGGCGGTGGTTTAAAGAACAAAAAAATGATGCAGGATGATGGCTTCGAGAGAAATTAATTTCTTACTATTTTTCAGTGTAAACCAATTTTTTTATAGGTTTAGTGGCAAATATTATCTTTATTTTATGATAATATGATAGTTTCAGATTTTTATTATCAATTTGTAAAATTTGAACCCTAAACTATCAGTTTTTGAACAAATCTTTTTTTTATTTTCGTTATTCGTAGCTGCCAATGCAATTAATCGTCGTTTAAATATTCTACTCGTTAATTAAAAAAAAACTTATTCTTAGTTTTTCAATGTATTTATAACTTAATTCTTTCTATTTAAAATTCTTACATATTAATTATGTTGATTTTTCATAGTCAATCAAATTGTTATGTGTATATAATTATTTTATTTTATTTTATTTTAAAAACCGACTTTTATGTAGTTTTATTATCCATTAAAACAATCAACTTCTATAATTAATAAAATACAAATATATATTGATTGAATTTGCTCAATTAAAATTATCAAATGATTAATTTTAACTAAAATTTTTTTTGTCATGTCAATAAATTTATTTTTGTGATTATCAATAATTAAATTTTAAATATATCTATATTTTTTAATTATTTTTTTTCATCTTCGCATGTTTTATAGGATTTTGTATTTTCACAATTGATTCAAATATGTAATATCCATTTAAAATTGTCAAAGTTAGAAAATCATTTTTTTTAACTTTTCTAATTTTATTTTATTTTTAGTTTTTAAAGATAGGTTCAAAAAGTGAAAGAATTTTTTTTTTTTAGGGAAAACCAAAAGAAAGTTTAATGATAAATTTAATGAATTTTTTTATTCATTTATAGGCAAATGGGTGGAAAAAAAAATTATCTTGAAAATGGAGGAAAAGCATTTTCAACTTTTTTTAAATTAACAACAAAATAATAATAATAATAATAATAATGGAATGCTTAAACGATGTCGTTGAAGCGTTTCATTTAATTATCAATTGGGTCGACCTTTATAAGCAACGGAGAAAAGAAAATTTGGATAACATCTCGCCTAAAAATCGATATTTTAGAATTCAAATTATGATAATTGACAATAAAGACGTGAAATTGTCTAATTATAATAGAATAGGGGCAACAAGGGTAATCTTTGCTGTAAATTAAACCCTTTTTTATATACATCATTCTTTAACAAGTTATAATTCGTATTCAATTTTTTAAAGGGTTATAAATGAGAAATTTCTTATAAATGGATCGTCTAAAATCTGACCAGAGAGGGATTTCTTATATAAATGGGCGTGATTTTAATGTCAATCTACCTAAGTTAGGAATTAATAATATAAAATAACAATAACTCCATTAACATAATAGAGTCACCGTTCGTCAAGATTTAGAATTATGAGGAAATGGAGAGGTAAAAAAGGATTGGAGATGCAGGGGATCGAACCCTGTACCTCTCGCATGCAAAGCGAGCGCTCTACCATTTGAGCTACATCCCCAGATGGATACCTGCATATTCCATGGATGAAATAACAAAATTAATCTATGTTTTTAAGATTAATATAGACCAAATAGTAAATCGTGGATGATATCTTTACGCATCATTAATGATTAATTTACAATTCTTTTTTATTTAATTAATACTTATTTGATTTTTTCTTTTGAATTATTTATTTGAATTTGACAATAAATAAAGTTTAGAAAGGTAATTAGCCTAGTCTATGTGGAATTAATCTCGATTTACCACTAATTATAGTAATAAAATTTAAATAATTAATTTGTAGTGTTACGGCACGTTATCATTAACTGATAGCTATCGATGTTATCTTTACAAGTATCATTTAACAAGTATGTAGGTAAAAATCTCCATTGCAATAATAGATGAATAGGAATACGATAAAGATAGAAACAGAATACAAAGCCGTCTAAAGAAAAGGCAAAGCAGATTCAAAATTTGAGAAAAGCAGTGGAAAGTTATGATATTAAATTCACAGAGGTTAGTTTATTGCGTGTGTATATCAACACTAGATCAATTCATCTCTAATACCTACAACTCTGAATTCTTACTGCTAAGCTTGTACTAATTGAATTGCCATTTTTGCTACACCAAATCAGGTTCTGATGAGTCCCTAGCAACACCAACAATATCCTCCCTATCTCTAAGATAAGGGGAAAAAAACTCCTCCTCGTCGATTCCGTTCAACTATGACACACCAAATTCCCTGGAATTTGCATCTAACTACGGATAAGAAAGGTACAACAAAATTGAGTCTTCGTAACTAAAATAGCAGCTGGGGATGTAGCTCAAATGGTAGAGCGCTCGCTTTGCATGCGAGAGGTACAGGGTTCGATACCCTGCATCTCCATTCTAAATCTTAACTGTTGATTCTCTGTTAATAACAATAAAAAAGTGTTTTTTTATGTCCAGTCATATATATAACAGGACATGCATTTATGAGAAGTTTCTTTCTTATAATTTCTTTTTAGATTCAAACTTAAATAATATTTCTCTAAACGAGTTAATGTACTTGAGAAACTGATCCTTACATGGAATGCATGTCATTCCCACAGGTAACCGAGTTTTATTTAGCAAAATCAATCTGCCAAGCTTTCCAGTTTAACCAAACTGATCCATCCAAAATAATAATAATAATAATAATAATAATAATTAGGAAATCAGATCCAAGGCAGCAAAGAATCCAGAGTTGATCTGGTGTTGGTATATGAACGCTTGCACGAGATAAGATTAATTATATCCCACAAGATAAGATTAATTATGATACATGCATTAATTATAATACATGTATATTATAAAATATATCTAATTAATTATAATAAATATAATTAATTAAGATACAAATACAAGTCTCCATGGGATAATTGAGTTTAAGACTATAAAAAGAAGATGGTACTCTCTTTGTCTCATATGTGAAAAATAATAACATCAGAATACCAATTTTCATCATTAAGAAAGAGATTAAGAGAAAGAGATTATATTTTATCTACCTTCTTCTCGGTATTGATTCAAAAATCAAAATATAAATCAAGGTAATTTTTTTTTTTTAATATAAATCAAGGTAATTGAGATTTTGATATATTAAAGTTTTTCCAATCAAGTATATATATGTCAAATGAACCAAGTATACTTGCAATTTAAAATTTTATATGAAGAATGATTTGTTAGTCATCTATGTAGCTAAATCATAACGTAAATAAATTTTAAATTGTAAATTATTTTCAATTATCCATAAACTCTAAAGTTTTAAATGAAATTGAGTTATATATTATATTCTTTTGTGAATAAATTGAAGTTTATTCATAGAAGACATTTTGGGAGCAGCCCAAAGGTTGATTAATTGTTCTTACAATTGACAAATGTTATTGTGGTGATTAGCATGTTCTATTAGTTTTACTTTGCATATCCAAAGATAACAAAATGGATCTATTTAGTACATATGTTGTTACCAATTATTATTTATGTTTGTATATTTTAGTTTCAGCCAAAAAAGAACTTTGATATACTTTATGATTATAAATATTTGAATCTGAATTTATAACTTAAAACACTAATATATGAGTATCTTATTTTATTTGCAATATCCGTGTCTATTTCACTTCATTTGTATGAATCATTTGTTCGTATTTTAATGAATTGAATTTCTCCGATTGGTGGAAACAAGTCCAATTTTACTTAGGTATTCCGGATCTTGATTTAGTACTTCAAATTGACATGCCCGCTAATATCACCGATGATAGCAATACCGATGAAAAGACTTTTCATAAAACTTGGGAAAAATCAAATAGATTAAGCGTAATATTTATACAAATAACGGTGACAAATAACTTTAAAACTATTTTTTCTAAAACTAATAGTGCTAAGGAATTTAAAAACTTTATGGAAAAACGCTCTCAAAATGCTAATAAACCACTTACCGGTGCAAGTAATGAGTACTTTAACCACTATAAAATATGATGGTTCATGTACCATGCTCATGTTCTTGAGATGTCGACTTTAGCAATAAAATTGAAAAGCTTAGGAATGAACATTGATGAACACTTCTTAGTCTACTTTATGCACAACTTCTTGCCTCTTTAGCAATGTGGACCATTTCAAATGAATTACAACACTTTAAAGGATAAGTAGAATGTAAATAAATTGACCAATATGCTTGTTCAAGAGACAACATTAAAGAATCAAAGAACTCATTCTGTTTATTTGTTAAGTCATCGAGAAGCTGAAAGGAATTATAAAAGAAAGGTAAACGAGATCAAGAAAAAAGGTTTATACGAACTTAAATGAATCTTCAAAAGCTGCTCACAAAACATAGGAATGTTAAATGTCATTTTTGCAATAAAGTTGGGCATTTAAAGAAAGATCATATAAAACATAAAGTTTGGTTTGAAAAGAAAAGTAAGCATTATGCTTTAGTATGTTTTAAATCAAACTTCATTGAAGTTTCTTATAATATTTGGTGGATTAATTCCGGTTTTGCCACTCATGTTTCAAATCCGATGCAGAGATTCCTTACGATCCAAACTATAAAATCAAATGAAAGTTTTGTGTTCATAGAGAATTGAAATAAAACTCCGAGTTGAAGACAATGCACTTATCGTTTAATTTTAGATACTCAACACTATTTGGATTTGTTTGAAACCCTTTACGTACCTATATTTTTCCATAATTTAGTTCCTTTATCAAAACTTAATGTAGCAGGATATGTTTTTAAGTTTAGATCTAGATCTTTTAGTTTATTTAAGAATAATAATCTTATTAGTTCGGGAATATTATGTGATAGTCTCAATAAGTTTAAACTTGATAATGATTTTGTTGACACTATAATGCCTTTGTATAATAATTTTGGCACCAAATACAATTTAGTTTATGACAATTCAATTTTCTCATGGCCTAAATATTTAGGTCATGTATTCAAAGAAAGGATGGAAAGATTAGTAAAGAATGAAATTCTTCCTAATTTGGATTTTATGATCTTGAAGTGTGTATTGATTGTATTAAAAGAAAACAAATAAAAGAAATTAAAAAAAAGAGCCACAAGAAGCGCACAACATCTTGAGATTATATACACCAATATATATATATATATATATATATATATATATATATATATATATATATATATTTCATGTTATAGTTATATTTATCTATTGCATGATAATCTTAATCAATTGATGCACTTAAAATATATATTAAAGAGGTTGAGAGGCAATTAGATAATAAAGTGAAACTTATAAGGTCGGATAGAAGTGGTGAATATTATGAAAGATATAATGAATCGGGACAATGTCCAAAGTCCATTTGTCAAAATTTTTAAAAGACATGCATCAAAATGGTGTTGTAGAAAGACGAAATCATACTTTATTGAACATAGTTAAGAGTATGATGAGTCATTTATCTTTACCCTTATCTAAAAAAAAAACTATATTAATAAAATTCTAGAGAGTTTTAAGATGGATGAATGCTCAGCAGGGGTTGTCAAATTTTTTTGAAAGACATGACATTTGTGCTCAATACATAATGGCAGGAACACCACATCAAAATGGTGTAGTAGAAATGCAAAATCATACTTTATTGAAAATGGTTAGGAGTATGATGAGTCATTCATCTTTGCCTTTATCTAAAAAAAACTACATTAATAAAATTTTAGAGAGTTTTAAGATGGATAAATGATCAGCAGGGGTAGTTCCAATTCAAAAAGGTGGCAAATTTAGCCTTCTGTAACGTCTAAAAAATGAATTAGAATAAGAGCAGATGAAAAATATTTCTTTTGCATCTCTTGTTGGGAATTTAATGTATGCTCAGACTTATACCAGACCAAACATCAGTTTTGCTGTCGAAATGTTGGCTGGTATCAAAGTAGAAAACATGATGGTGAAATACATGCCTAAAATAATTGGGCAAACCATCTGCCCTGATCCTTCTGATAGCAGCTTTAGGTTATTAAAAGTTAAGGGAAAGAAACAGTATAAATACGGTACTGTTAGAGAACAAAACAAACATTGATTTTATATTTTTATTGCTCACTGGAATCAATGCCCAAAAGGTCTACATTATTAATTCTGTACAAAAAATAAAGGAATTTTGCTAACAATGGTATCTAACTGCACCTACTTTACAAAGATTTGTTCAATTATGTCAATCTTATACAGCAGCAAGGAAGGTGCTGGTTAATGGATACCGCTGCAGTGCATAGAGATTCCAATGCAAGAACACCTCCAGTCATAATAGTAGAGCCAGCAGCACTAAGATTGTCTTCTGCATCATCTGACCAAGAAGAGAAGGAAGAAACCTCTTCCTCTGGTGTGAAACTCCAAACTTCGGAACAGGACGAAGCACTGAATTCATTGTCTGGCCCAGAGGAAGTGACCGTCGAGTCCGCCCCTTCTGCATCAGAAAACTCCGCCAATTCGATGCTATCAAATCCTGACACAAATGGATGATCCAGTAACATCTCAGCAGTCAATCTGAGCATCGGCTTCCTCGCCAGACATCCATTCAGGAAATCTCTCGCATCCTTAGAAATCTCAGGAGAAATTTCAGGAAGTTCATCAGCAATCTTTCTCAGAAGCTCTTCAGTAGTGGTTCCAGGCTCGACATCCCAAACAGGCTTCCCTGTAAGCATCTCGAAAACTATGCATCCAAGAGCCCAGATGTCAGAGGGAGCATCCTGGACATGATCAACTACAGATTCTGGTGCCATATATAAAGCAGTCCCCCTGAGATAAGGAACATACTTTCTTTTCTTGCTCTTCTCAGCTTTCTTGGCCAAACCAAAATCCCCTATCTTTGCCACAAATTCAGTACTGCTAGTGCCACCCCTTCTAGTTGACACCAGCAGGATATTCTCAGGCTTCAAGTCACAATGAACATAATCTTCCCTATGAATATAATCAATGCCTTGAAGAATAGACCTTGTGTATCTCTTGACATCCAATTCAGGCAACCCAAAACCACCATTAGATTTCTTGATTAGACTGGCTAGGGTTCCGCCAGATGCGTACTCTAACAACACATTGTAAATCATCACACCATTCTTGTTGACAGTCGTTTCTTCACCAAAACAAGCGATAATGTAAGGACAAGCGTTGAGATTGTTAAATACCTCTTTTTCCTTTTGAACAGAACCTGAAACAGAGACCTCTGCAGATTTGACGGCCATAACAAGAGGATAACAACCGTTTCTTGATTTGGGATTCCTCAAATTAGCCAAATAAACAGACCCAAATCCTCCTTTTCCAATCAGTGGCCCTCTCGACCATGCCATTACAGGATTATACAAGCCACGTTCTCCTTCTTCCTCCTCCTCTAATTGCTCATCAGCCTTTCTTTTCATTGCTAGCTACTTCAGTATCAATAACTTCTCAGTTCAAATTAGCAAACACGACTCGTCAAACAAGAATACAAGAATTCAGGGAAACTGGGGCATCAGAGAATGCAAGAAGAAGAGAAAAATGTAGAGACAAACAGTTAGAAGAAAGAAAAGTGAGTCCGTTGAGGCCTAACGTTTAGAATTTAGTAAGAGTGAAGGTGTAGAGTCGGTGCATATGGTAGAACTTATAACTTGAAAAATAGTTTATAGAATCCGTATGCCATACGGAGTTGCAGTCTGATACTTGTGCTAAAGTTTTTATTTTTATTACTACCACTGCTGCTGCTACTACTATTATTATTAAAATAAAAAAAATGTTGAGAAATAAATGACAAAAATTTGTGAATTATGGGATCATGAGATTAACGCGAAATCATTGGCAGGTTCCAGTTCCACTAATCTTTTTCTTCTTGCAAACTTTTCTCGTGAAAGAGCGCAAAACCATAATGGAGGAATCTTTCTTGTCTAATTCTTCACGTTATCAATTGCGAGGACCAAGGAATTAATGAGTCCCTAATGTTTAAAACAGTGAAACAACACAGTAGCTTCATTGATTTAAAGACTGAATTCTCCAATAATTTCCGTTCATATATAATTTTAAGTTGGAATCCCATGATCCAGCAAAATATTGCCATGGGAAATGAGTGTCTGACGGAAGTGGTACAATTAGCTAAGCCCGAAATGCTAACTTGTCCACATTACAAGTGTACAGGAGTCACAATAAATGATGGGTGATAAGCCATAGAAAAGGAGGGGATAGCCTCCCAATAAATCACAAGGAGGTGATCATGTACAAGGAATCTGAACTGAATCCATATACGTCTAAACATGAAGTTCACACCCAAGGCAGTTGTTTGCCCTGAAAACTGACAAGGGATGACTCCTAATTTTCTATAACCCTGTAATTATTAACCCAAAAAAGCCAAATAAAACTCGAACAAGAACTGGGGTCATCCAAGAGCAACAATTCCTGCACCAAAAAATTTATGTACTAGTTAATGAACAGAGAAGACAAATATCGAAATCCTTCTATTGCTAGTAGAGGAAGGTGAAAGTACACTGTCAACTTACCTCTTCACGATCAAACTAGAATGTCCTAACCTATACGATTCACATCTCTGCAATCTGCACTTCCACAAGAACATTGAAATGCCCTTACTGGATGTTCCTGATCATCAAAGTCGATTCCATAATCCTGCAAACCATATCATATGGACTTTCTTAGTGGATATCTTCGGGGGTGGGGGGGTGGGGGGGGGGGGGTGGGAACTCAACTGCAGAGCACACTGAAACAGGGACATAAAAGTATTTCACGAGACATGCATCCTCTACATTGCTTAATCCTGGGAAGCCCAAAACATTTGTCAGAAATGGACTGTCTGTACTGTTAACCATTAACCATAACTGTTACAATAGAATTTGGATAAAACCCCAAAACATTTTCAAATAAAGGAAGTAGATACTTTTATCTTTTTCCCCACTCAGGTTGGTGGCTCTACCCAACCAGACACTATTGACAATGAAAGCAGATCCTATCTGTTATCAGAACATGAAAGCAATAATAGAGAAAAAGTTGCCCTTCGAGCACACTTCAAAGTTCAAACAGCAACAAGGAAAAAGGGCTCAAATAAGCTTTACTCGAGTAATGACTACCAGTACCAATCAAGCATTGATCAGCTTCTTCTAGAGCTTGAAACATCACTTGAATAGGGCATCAGCATTAGTCACTCAATAGTAGTAAGTACTCGCAGTGAGAAGTACATATATCTATCTACATTGTAATATTGTATAGCGAAATGGTCAAAGTCTTCAAGCCAGCAGGCATGAATAGGTCATTGTGTTGGTGTCAACCACCAAACAAAAAGGAAAAAGAAAAGAAAAGAAAACAGATGCCACATGATCATCCATCTCAAAAGTCAAAACACCATGCTGGACCTCATCGATTTTTCACCCCCACCAAGATCTGGTAATGGTATGCTTAATGTGGAAGACAGTTTGGTGTATCTCAGGAAAGTGGATTTTTTGTTCTCAACCACCAAATGATGAATTAGTTCATAGTTCTCACCTAAGTGCCAAGTCAAACGCTATATAGAACATCCATTAACCATTTTGTCAGATGCATTGGAAATATGCTGACAAACACATCCATCTTTGATATGGAGAGGCAGCCAGTAACCATAGGCCCCATGTTGCCTGGTGTACAGGTTTAAATTGGCTGGATCTTAAGGATGGAACAGCACCAATCACAAGAGATTGTTCATCTAATTCACTCCTTTCCTAACATAAGTTTGCTTGCAACCTTTTCCAATATTTGTAGATTTGACGTTTCAACAATGAACAAGTCACAAGCAAATGCCAATCAAGAGTATTTGCAGATGAATTATATGTGCTTGATTAAGTGTGATGGACAGAAAAGACAATCCTTCTTGGTCCAACTCTCTACCAGGAAGATTAAAATGGCAAACCCAAATGCTCATGGGTAGTTTCACTAGGACAACTATTCATTTCTGGTTTTCATAAAACTTTCCAAGTCTCCCAAAAAGTAGAAAGTGCAAAGTAGAAAAAGTACCGAGTCTCGATACCAAATTAATCCCATTGTCATGAAGGACGAGAAGTACAACTCAAGGGCAGGGATACTTTTCTCAAGATGAAATTCCTGATGTTGAATTTAGGTTCTTTCAAATTATTTTAGAAATGCCCAAAAAGACAAATATATATATATATATATATATATATATATATATATATGCAAATAATTGTCCTGCTCGTGTATCAGCATGCTATTCCTCTGTCTATATTGATTTATTTATCGTGCATCAGTATGGATGGCAAGTGTCACTGGTTCCTTCTTTTTGCGAGAACATGGCAACAATACAAACACATGCATCATCATACACCCTGTTTGAAGGCTAACGATTTGCATAAAACATACTTATAAGCAAGTATTGCCAGATTACTTATCACTAGAACGCACTTACCCACGTTAGTTCTTCTGAGGCAGTTACATCCCTTGTAGTGAAAAAGGCAAGCTGCATGAGGTGATGAGAAACAAGCTCTTCAAATTACTACTTCAAAAATGGGTCATCACAATAATGTTTTGCCAAAAAAGAAGAAGAAGAAGAAGAAGAAGAAGGAAAAAGACCAGGCAAAATATGTTATGTTAAGAGATATGGGCAAATGATGCTACAAAAATGCATACATGGTAATAGTGACGATCAGGTGTTTCCACTTCAACTGGAATATCAATCAAATTTCCATCATGACATCTGCAAAAGGAGGAAAGAGAGAATGACATGATAGAGAAAAATCAAATGGAAAATATAGGAGGTGAGGAGCACAAACTAAAACAAATTAAAGGGCAAACCTAGAGATGCAGCAAAGAGAATCAGTGTCGCTCAATTCCATGGAATATAAAAAGAATAAATATTAATTAAAAAAGAGGAATTGATGCTATATGCCCTCTCCTAAAAAAAATACATTTTTTCTCCATCTCATCTTTATTTTACAGTATGCTTTCTTCGTCACCTTTTTGTCTTTCAAGAAATTTGTCATTGCCTTGCTTCTATTGCCGTTCATTTTAATGGAGTTTTAGGTTTTCTTTTTGCTCTATTTCATATTGTCTGTTAAACTAGTACTGATGCTAAATTGAAGGATTGCACGTCATTGCAGGTACCAGAAGTAGTGAAACTGATCGAGTGACTAATATAAAAATGTGAACTCTTCTAACATGAAATTAAAGTGATAAAACAAAAATTAAAACATTAATAGGAGTCCCCAGTATAATAAAAAAGAGGCAAGCTGGTATTGTGAAAACAAAGGGTGAAAGCAAGAAAAAGTACCAGTTTACAAAAATGTATGCACACAAACATTACCTATGATTAATAAATCTTGCAACATTGCCACTGAAAGTTGCATCAAGACACAATGCTTCTTCATCCCTCAGCACTTTCTCTGAGCCCCAGTCTGCATCAAGTGTAACAGGATACGTATGTTTGTTACTGCCTCTGTTCTGAATATTTCGCTCATACAACTCCGTGTTGGTCAGTATTTCCCCAACATATTCACAGACGAAGGATCCTTTAGGCAAATCCTGAAGTGTTCTAAGACCCCAACCTTTTCCTCGATGGGTCATGAACACCTAAGACACGAGTAAACCATCAATAGATCATCAACAACTCACTTTGAAAGCTATCACCTCACTAAACTATGCAACTACAAACACACGGATACATAAATCAATATAAAAGGTACAATCTGTTTAAAGCTAATAAAATAATAGTACTAGTGCAAATATTGGTGGTGTAAGTATACAATAAAATACAAACTCATCTTCACTTGCCTTCGCTCATGGAAGTTTCAGGAGTCGGTCATATCAGCTAATCTCAAACCTGTCCCAGAGACCATTCTATAGTAAATATTTCAGATAAACTAATGTAGTCCGTAGTGTCAATAAAATATTGACCAATCTTGGCTAAGAGACCAAGTGTGGTGCTGAGGGATACCATGCAATATTCATTTAGTGAAAGTAACGAATTTTAGATACAATACTTGTAGCTATTGAAGCCATGGCTAGAAGGAGACAGAGGAAAGGTATTCGCTTTTGGAAGATTGGTAAATAGGTGATCACCCCTTCTCTATTACTTTAACTCTTCTCTACCCTTTTCTTATCTTCATGGTGTCACCATCTCATATTTCCATTATGCCACAGAAGTGAGACCTACAAACCTTCATTTTATAGAATACTTATATGATAAGAGTCGAGAGAGTTAGCTTCTCTCACCCAAATCCTTAACTCTTCACATTTCCACTAGAAGGGGCAAGAGAATATTGTAACTAGAACTTTCAGGAAACAATTCTTGCAAGTATTCCTTATGCATCTAAATTCTAACCCACACTTCATGATCCCCTAATCTACCTCTGGCAAAGTGTATTTGGAAGGCAAAGGTAGCTTCTAAGGTTAAAAAGACAGGCATGGTTCTATAGTCAAAGCAACTTCGTGGGAGCAACTGATACAGAAAATTCAAACTCAAACTAAAAGGATGAGAGTAAGAAAAGTGGTCCAAAGAGACTCAAAAGAAACCACCAAAGCAAACCTACTCCCCAAACCAAAAAAACCCCAGGCTGTCCTCGCTGGCTTGATATTAACTGGCTTTTATGAGGAAAAGCAAGATTGAGTTCAGAACAAGAGAAGTCGGACAATTTTTTTAAATATGCTGAAATATTTTTTCCCTTTCCAATTAATTCGTCCATCCTGCTTCCTGCCTTGGTGGCCTTAGTTTAGTTGATAAACAAAGAGAGGAATTCACACCTCTTAAGGCAAGATAATCCCCAGAAGACTCAGACAATGGATTGGTATCAGTGGTCTGACCATTCCTTACATCTGCCCTTACAAGACCAGGCAACTGCTGATTTCAATAGCCAAGACAAGCTTTCAGCAGACGAGACAAATGTCATCGCCTGTCTTCTCCTCTGGTGCTAGGTCTAATCCACCCTCTCCCCTCTTTCCTAATAGAGCTCAGTAGACCCTTCTTTATCCGATGTAATCGCCTGTCTTCTCCTCTGGTGCTAGATCTAATCCACCCTCTCCCCTCTTTCCTAATAGAGCTCAGTAGACCCTTCTTTATCCTATGTTCCATGGTCCTTGTAGGGGAAGCAGTGAGTGGAGATTCTCCTGCAGAGAGCCAGATGAGATGAGACACAAACTGGACAGCTCGACCATGGTCCACAGTCCTTAACAAGATCAATACTAACTTGTTGCAATTAAAAGACCCAAAAGGTTTTACTCCAAACATATATGTGACGTATGCTTGCTGTAATGAAACCCTGAGTCATTCATGCCTACACTGTTGAGTGGCAGGGAGGATTTTGTGTAGGCTTTTCTCTATTTTTCAAATATTTCTCTGCCTTAATAGCCTGGAAAAGGTACTTTTACATGGGGGAATCTTAAGAGATTGGAACGAGAGATTATGCTGCAGAAATGTGATGTGTATGCTAATTAAAGTCGGTTGGTACTAGCGCAATTCAAGAATTTTCCGTGATGAGAATCTTCTATTCCTAGTAATTACATTCTGTTCTTTGCACCCTACTGCTGCTTTGCTACATGTTTTTCAGGAGCATTTCAAACATGCAAAGGGATTAGAAAGCTTCATTACATTAGTTTTATTCTGTTGTTTTGAGGCTAGTTTTGCAGAAGGATTTCAAGTCCTGTTATGTCATCCTTCTTCTATATGATGAATTTCTTCTTCTATATTAAAAAAGAAGGTCCAAAGCCATTCTTAGTGGAGTTGTTTCACAATGTTCTATCATCAAATAGGCAAGTAAAGATATAATGGAAAGCCAATTGCCATCAGAACCACTATCAGAGATTTCAAAGTTCATCTTACCTGCAAGTTGCATGTAACACCACGTTGAACCACTCGATTTCCACAAGTCATATTGCATCCACATTTTCTCCAGCATTCTTTAATAAACTTTCTGAGCAGGTGACCCTTGCATTCTTCGGGCAGATACTCGTTCCTTGATCTCTCTAAAGGACAGTCTTGACAATAAACAAAATGGTCTTTTTTAGGGTTCCGTCTTATGCGAACACAAAGAGTTAGAAAATCATCTTTCAAAAGGCCTTTCGGAGTATAAGCAAATTCTCCACCAGTTTCACGAGCACATGCACAGGGTATCCGAGAAGAAAGGCAATCACCTGAACAACTTGAACAACAATCCACATCCGCTATCCGAGCCAGTGATATTAGCAAGTAAGCATTTTGATATATAATATTCTGTGGCATGTAAGTGAACTTTGGGAAATCCTCATTGCCAATTTCATCTACCAATGAAATTTTGACATTTTCTGTACCTTTTGTTATGTCACTGAGGCTACGAACAGACCTCTTCTGGCCACAAGTAGTTGGTTTGTGCTTAGCTTTTACTAAATTATCACAAGAATATGACAATCTGCAAGAACTTGAAGCCTTCTTTTCCATAACCATATCAGAATTGCCAATTATCAAAGCTTTGTTGTTTGGCACTGGATCATGAAGTTGACCAAGTTGCATATAACATTCGCACAAATCTTTGAATAAAGTCTTCACAGAAAAATCAGGTGTGACAAGTTTGTGTGTCCTAAGATATTTATCCTCCAAACACTTGAGAACTGCATTGAAATCTGGAACTTTGAAGCTTTGGCATCTAACTGCAGGATCACAGTTTAGTGAAATCTTTACTTCTCCGGAGGCCGATGAAGCAATAAGAAAATTGCTCTTACAGTACATACTATCCTTGGAACTTGAAGCATCACATTGAGAACCCAGGTGAGTTACCAAATTCTTCCTATTTGATGAACCAACGAAAGAACCTCGGAAAACTAAACAAGCAAAGAAAGAAGGTCAGGAAAGTAAAATAAAAAAAGAACGGTAATTGACAGGTGCTACTGGTGAAAATTAGTAGGAAGGAAACCATTAATACTATAAGAGCATGATAGTTTAAAAGATGGAATTAATTACCAAGCAATAGATTTTAACAGTAAAGATCCAAAACAAAAGGGTTATAAGTTCTATGAATCTAAACAATTACATCAAACCAAAACCGATGAGCTGAAAACAGAACGTGGACATCTACATTCAGCAGATCTTTATTTATTTTATTTAAAGAAAAAAAGAGCGCATTTTAATTTTTCTCCAGGGGAACGACAGCTGATTAGCTGCACCTTTATAGATGATATTGCCCACCCTCCATTAGAATTTGCATTTGTTGATTAAAAAGCAGTACAGAGGATGAGAGAAGGCTTAAACTCTAACCAGATGAAATTCAAATATTTTGACCGTTGAACAGGAGGTTAATTCAATATAACAAAAAAAGACCTGAAGCTTTTCGCCACAATTTCCAACTCTTATCCCTAAAAGATACATGCAAGTAATACATCTTTAGGTTTTACATTGCAAAATTCACACTATCATCCATAGAACACTGAACGACTGAAAGAAAGAAAATGATATTCTAAGCATTATCAGAAAGTAGAGGGATACTGTTACTTTGATGGCCCACTGCTGGGGGTTCAGCAAAATCTGCCACATCACTGACACTTTGCTTAGTCCTCGGCTTAATATGCTCTCTGGTATGACAATTACTAGGCACTTTTTCTTTCCAGAGATGAGAACTGCTAGGTTCAACAATCAGTTCAGAAGACAGCGTGCACGATGCCCTCTTATAAGTTGTGTCTATAGGAGCCATGGAAGAGGAAATCACTTTTTCAACCAGGCTCAGGCTATCCGTTGAAGAAGAAATTCGATCTTCCTGTTCTTCATGACGTGGTCTCTTAGAGGGTCTTTTAGACATAGAGTGTTCCTTAAGAACTTTCTCCTTCGATCCCCTCTATTCATAGAAAAAACAAAATGGAAAAAAAAATATTCATTTAATGAAGATTTTAATCATCAGCAAAACAAAGCCACTGACATTGTAATCATGTCTTCTCAGGCTTGATAAACTTACAGAATTCCCAAAGAAAATCTATCAGTAAAGAAAAGACTGAGTAGAGGAAGGATTGATTGAAATCTACCTTACTTTCCTTTGACTCAAAATATGCATCTATGAGTGCTCGATAATCTTCTGCTTCAATAGGTTCCCAGTTCCCATCAAACAGCTGAAAGAGATTTAACAGCACTGGCTTCACCTCTTTATCTGGAATTCCTAGAGCCCTTGTAGCCTTGAAGGCATTATGAGCTCTCTCTCTGTCGAAGGCATTGTGAGCTCTCTCTCTGTTGGCCATAAATATCTATTAAAGACAACGAGCACCTCTTCAGTTCTATGACTACACATGGACCGCCTACCTTTTCTATTCCATGCTCCTGAATCAAAAGATGACATGCATTATCAGGGCCCGTGAGACTGACTTTATTTCCTCTAGAATTTGAAGCACACCCAACCCTTTCAAGCAACGCTCTTACAAAAACCTATAATATAAATAATGCTACATAGAACAAATCCTTTGACACTTAAGTCAATGATTGACCACTATTTGGGCGATGAGATTCCCTCAAGCAGAAGTTATATAATATCATTGAACACTGGAGAATCATGTTTCTCAAATATGGAGATATAAGCACAACCATAAGCCTGAGCAAGGGAAGGAGGGACTGAATAGTTTTTGGACTAATCTGTACATATGTGCAGAATGTGTTGGGTTGGGACAAGAAGGTATTAACATACAATTAGATTACATATTTGTCATCAGTTTATCCTTTATTAGTGCCAAAACTTGTATGGAAGGAAGCATCACAATTGGCATTTAATTATAAAAGAAAAAAGCAATTCAAAAATAATTAAACCAAGATTCTATCAGAGAAAAGCATGCCCAATAATAAAGCACAAACAAATAAGAAGTAAAATTTTTAAATCTCAAAATTGCAAAAGAAATTTCATCAAAGAACTAATAAAATCAGTTAAAGCAATATAAATGCAATAAACAAAAACATCCAAGAAGATAAGATGCAACACAATTACAATGTAAGCAGCACAAGAGACTGACACTCACTAAGGAACCATGATTCCTGTAACCTCATCTCCACATGCAGTGCTGGATAGAATAAGCATTCAGTTCCAACCTAGCACCCCAAGCTTGAGAACAAATGGGAGAAAACCAAGCTCTTATCATACAAGTACCCCAGAGTTATTAAATACATAATTCACCCAATGCATTTCACATTTCTTGCTCACATAAAGTGTGTCAATTTTAGCATAACACCAACAAATACATAATTGTTGTTGGCCAAAAAAAAAAAAAAGAAACATAGAAACTAAATAGTCCCTGGTTGAGAATAAACAGCTCTAGAAACTAAACAAAATGTTAAAGAAAAAGGGAAGAACGAGGAGGGGGAGTGGAGAGAGAGAGAGAGATAACGAAATTCAAATCAGTGCAAAAGAAGAGTAATTCCAAACAGGTTGACGTGTTCAGCGGAATACGGAATTATGGTTCACCTTACAATCTCAACTTAAGTACATTAAAAAAAAAAAACCACTTAAGACATGCCAAGTAGAAAGAATAATGCTCTGACTAGTCCTCACCTAAGCCTCCTTTTCCAATACATAATCACTGCCTTCACATCCAATAATTTATTGAATAAGAAAATTCTTGCCAAGATATGCAACCAAGGCTACAAATATATTGGTGAATATATTACCTTTTATTTTTGCTAGACATTAATCACCAAATATATTCCTGCTGGTATTCGTATAGATTTTATTCTAAAGAAGGCTCAACTCTCAAAGTTAAGTCTTCAAATCACACATATGCAAACCCAAATAAGATACCAACTCCATAGCACTTCGGTTTAGACGATAAGCCACAAAATTTTATTGCAAGTTTATGGTGTCTAAAATTTATCCTGCACAAGGTCGAAAAAATAAATACAAGTTCATTTTGTGGATGGGTGAATCCTGCCATATCACAAGGGTGGAATAAAAAAAAAAAAGATTAACTAGAATCAAAATAACAAAGAGATCCCTTTTATGAATACTATAAAACTCTAATATCTTTTTGGTGTTTAAAACTCTAATCTCTTGAGTAGCATTCTACAAAACCAATTTCTATTCTTATGGTAATTATATATCATTATTTAATTTTATAAGAAACCAATACAGTGGACACATCGACTAACAAGGAACAGAAAAATTTCCACTTGATTCAAGCCATTAATTTCCGGTTCAATACTTTCAAAAAATAAAATCTAGAAAATAAAACAATAATAGAAATAAAAAGGTGGAGCGGGGACAACCAAGTGAATCGTCTAGGTAAAACCACCTCAAAGTAAGCTCCACAGAACTACTTAAACATAAAAGCAGGTTTTCTGCCAACCCGGCACTGTCATAGGCCTCAAATTATATTGTGTTGCAAATTTTACATTACGACCTTCAACACATACCAACGTCATTGATGACAAAGCTGATATCAAAGTCAACAGCAGAAAAAGAAGAGAATGATTGAATGAAAGCAGAAAGTGAAGAGACTATTTGAGTCTCGGGTTTTAACAGTTTGGTAACCAAGATCTGAAATGAGACTCCACCAATTATTCCCCTCTGTTTTCTTCAAATTCCCAGTAAACAAAACAACAACTCATTTACACTAATACAGTTTCAGAATTCAATTTCATTCCACCACTAAAATAAATCTCATTCAGCTTTCCATAACGCACTGTTTGGTTGCTTAAGCACCGAAAAAAAAAAAAACAATTCTGAACCTTCAGAGTTTCAGAGTATAGATGTTTTTACAATCAGAGAATGAAAAATCAAACACTTCACCTCAACTAAGCCTTTGAATCCAACCACTCAAAAGCTTCGATTCATGTGAGTCTTCCATTTTTCACACAACATAGGCAAAAAACAACTAACCCCAAAATCAAGAATTTCCCACATTTTCCTTTGTTTCCTCAGCAACCAAACAACACCTTTTTCTATTTACTAAAATACCCAGAATTTGTCACTTTATAACCCAGAATTTAATAACAAAAACAGACCCTGAATTTTTTTTTTTTTTAAGTATTGATCAAATGATACTATTTTTTCTCAGTAACCAAAGGGAGAAAGAAAATCCCGAAAATAGAAGCATTCTGTTATTTAATTGAAAAGAAAAAAACTACTCTAACAAAAAAAAAGTGCAAAAGTTTTGGGGTAAAGTGAGTTTTCTCGGTAACCAAACAGAACATAAATTTCCTTCGCAACCAAGCAAACCATAAAACTAATACAAATACCTAGAACTATTAAACAAGCCGGGGAAAAAAGAAAAAAGAAAAAAAAACGAATACGAAACACAATATTCGACATTTCTGTTTGATTAGCGAGAAAATGCATGCAATTTTTTCTCTTTATCGGGAACAAGAGAAAACGATTATTATTATAAAACTTAAAACCCATTAAGAAAATAAAGAAAGAAATCGCAGAATCAATAATAGTATTTAACATGCAAATAGGTGAAATGAAGAAGGGTATCTATATTTTAACTTACCAGAGCTTTTGATTCTAAAATGTCACTTTCCGACTTCGTGGATTTTGATTGTTTTTCTTTTTCTCTTTATTTTTTGGATTTCAATTTAAAAAACACTAAAACAATATGTGTGTTTATTATTCATGATAGTATTTACATATTCATAAATTACTATTCACATGTTCATAAATCATTACTCTATTCATCATTAATAATATTTTTACCACTTTGGTCCTCAATTTTTTTACATATTTTTTTTAAATTTCAAGCTTCAATTATATTGTAATTTGGTCTCATTATGTTTTAGTATTTTTTATTCATTATTTTTATTATTTCAAATTTAGAACTTTAATTTGTTATTTTTTATAAATTCTCATCCAGTTAATTTAAAATTATTGCTACTGAATGTTTTGATTTATTTTTCTATATATATGGATTTGGGAATAAGATTTTAGAACATGATTATTTTTTTTGAAAAAAAAATTTATATAATTTTTAAATTATAATGGCATGATTAATATATATAATTTGTCTAAAATGCATTTTTGGATTAAAAGTATATTTCAAATAATTTTTTCTTAATTTTTTTTAAAAAAACTCAAATTAGTTAATTAATAGTTGAAATTCAAATGTAAAAAACAAAAAGGAGAAGGTTGTTCCGCGCATGAGGTCCGCATTTAAAGACTAGCCATGCATGGCATACAAATAACAAATTATTTAACAAAGAGGGAAAAAAAAAAAAAAGAATTCACGTATTTTATTTGTTTCTTCTTTATATAATAACATTAAATAAAAAAAAATTTTGCTCGATTGTATGTAAGTTTTTATTAGTTGTTATTTTAGTTTTTTGACACAATCTTATGAAATACTAAAGCTTTTTTAATTTTTTTATTTAATTTTTTTAGATAATAATCCATGGATTAATAAGGATAAATTCTTTTTCTTAAAGCAAAATTATGAAAAACACAAATAAAAAATATTTAAATACAAAATTTTAATTAAAAAATTATAAATAATTTTTTTCACCTTTGATTTCATATATTTTTATAGATTAACACAATAACACACTATTAAACTAAAATAATTTTTTAAATGATTTCATATAGTTTATCTAATCCACGAGCATAGCGCGGACAAAAGAATTAGTTACGTTCTATTTTCGGTATGTTAGAGCATGTATCATTTAACCTCAACTGTCTAACTCTATATAGTAAGAGAGTCTCATAGTTTAGTAAAAATCTTAGAACTCATGTCACTTACGGACCTTAAAAAGATGGGTCAAAGTAAAATTGAGAAAGAACTATCCACCATAAAACTTAAGTCTTTCAAATAGAACTTAAAATAGATTTGATATTGATCCGTATTCGATTTAGTTAAAAGAATCGATAAATATTTTTTTTATTCAAGCCAAATTATGATTCGAATCTACCAAATCATTTATTAAATTGATCAAATATGAATTTATCTTGATAAGATTTGATGATAATTTAATTCAAAATTATAATAATATTATTTTTAATAAATATAATATATTAAAATTCTAAATATGAGCACAATATATAAATTGGAAACTAGGTTGAAATTTAGAATTTATTTAAGTTCATTACATTTCTACTATTTAAGCATTAATCAATTTTAAAAATTATTGTTTGTCTTCTTTTTTTTAACGTGTTTATATTCTTTTTTCTATGATAGGAGTTTTTTTGTAGAGTTGAGCAATAAATAATTCGAAATTAATTATTTCATATGTTTCGAATTTAATGATAAGAATCGTAGAATGTAGAACCATT